GCAGTAAAGAATCCAATCTAGATAATGTTTAGATATATTTTCCGGTGGTTTTTCGCCAGTCACCAACAGTGGTACAACATCGTCTCCTTGCACCCAATCTAAGGTCGTTTAAAGTATTAAGTAAAAATTTTACTGTCAAATGTTACTACCTTGTAATGGTATGCAAATATCTTTTAACCTCCACCAACTGAAGCTCTTCTGTGTTCTCTCGTTTTTGCATCCTCCGCTTTATATGTTGCAATATCTGGCAGTAAAATTCCTGGGATAAGGCTTTTAAAAATTTCAATTTGTGCCTCTCCAGCATTTTCGCGTAATGCTTGAAACCATAAAAGGAAGAGTCGCACTCCTTCGCGCCGAATCTATAATAAACAGGATTGTAATATTGAAAAATGCACTGTTGAATTTTTATATTAATTTTAAGAAATAACGACGCCTAATAAGATCTGGTTACTGATGATATAGATCATTATCAATCACGCTTATTGCATTAAACGCACCTTAGAAGCATTTCCTGGGTGCAATAATTTTCTCATAATACGATCTAATAATAAATTTATTATTAATGAGTGCAGTATATATTTTAATTAAATGACGATAGCTATAATATAGAGTTTTAGAAAAGAAACCAGAAGTTGCAGTCGTTATCTAAAATTATCTATTAATGATTAAGAAAATAAAGAAATATAAACAGTTATAGGTTACTCAATTGCATAGGAAGAGATATCACCTAATTAATTTACTAAAATATCGATCATACACGCTATTCAAGTATTAATAGAATATATCTATAACAATTTTCAGTGGTCAAAATATTTAAATTATTTCAAGTTAAAAGATTATGTAAGAGTAATTAAGTACATGGATAGGCCGACAATATAAATGAAAGAAGGTTAGTGGGTAGTTATCACATTGCATGATGATTTTATAGGAATACTTACAAAAATTGAAATTATCGAATCTTTATGATTATAGCTAAATAACTAATAGTAATAAATAGCAAGAATTGATATTCAATCTTACGATTTACCTACCTAAACAGTTTAGCTGCCATTTGCTATGCAAGAGATCAGGTAGGAGAATTAGGATTCGCTAAGAATGATGGCAATTGTGGGTGCGATTAATAGTTTGATAATTAGAAGCCAGATAAGTCTGGGTCAATAGTTTTGCCTTCTTTGAATATTACATCGGCTTATTAAATAATGCTAAAATAGTAGCTTTTTAGACTATATGGAGTTAATGATATAATCTGGGAATAGATCGGATTTAAATGTTATTGGTGAGTATTGGTCTTAGAATCTACTTTTGTCTACTAACCTCAAGTAGAAGCAATATAAGATCTAAATCTTCCTTTAACGATTTGGTTGCTATTTAAGAAACGAGACAGAGAAATACGTTTAATCGTGGTGTGCGGTATGAGGAATATCTAAAAATCACTACATATGTACAACGACAATAACCCAAATCAGAACCACCAGATACATTAAAATTACAGTCATAAAAATCATAGCAAGTTTTATTGCGAGATCAAACATGTAGTTATGTAATTGTGCATGATTACTTAAGTACTTATCGATATAAGGATATGTAATAGTAAATACTGTTAAAGGCTGTATCATTTCTACAACCTTAAAATGTAGAAGTACTGTAAATGAAACAGAATTTACAACATGTCAAATTCTTGCAAATTATAGAATATTCTACAATAAATTCTCGAACATTGAACAGAAGGGTAGCGAACAAGATGGCCGAAATGAATTGGAGATTATGTTTGAGTACTTATTATTTTTAAAGTAAGTCAATTCTTATACATTTAAAAGAATGCATCGAATAGTCGCTAATGCACAGAATTACAATCCAGGTGTGTGATTTAGTGATTGATACCGGACACAATCAGCACAAACTAATTATAAAGCTATTTAATGTAAATTAAGTAAAATAAAATAAGTGACGCAACTTGTGCACTGTAGACCATATATACAGTAAGTAACAATAGTTGACGAGGTAGAAATGAATACTACTTTGGTTAAGCATTATCATTTATAGCAAAACTAAATTCAGATACGTCACTATCTGTAATTAATTAAACCCATGGTTACCGTGTGTGGTCAACGTATTAAAAGTATCTAGGCTTTGAACAGGAGCCCAATCGCTATGAATATACTTACGAGTATTCGTATGTTTTTAACTTGTTATACCTCAAAATATATTAATTATATTTAATTAAAACACACAATAGACAGTTGGATTCCCTTCACTATGCTACCTTCTGCACTACTACAGCTGGAAATATTAATATTATTATCAATTAATCTACTTGATTTCTCATAAATACCAAATAATCTTATACTAACAGATATACAATAGATTAATGCTGCACTGTCCAGAATTTTTACCGTTCATATAGATATTCAACTGTAAAAATAGGCGAGATACTGATCTATTTTATGCATCATCTGTGATCGTGCCAATTTTTTTCAGCAACGATCCCTAAAAAGAGCCAAATCAACATCTACCATTTTGCTCTAGCCACAATAGAAATGTAGGATGCTGCGACTTTGATAGCTAAATAAATTTTATACATTTTACCTTTCGAATTTTTCAGGCTATTTTCAATGAGGAGAAAATTCTCGTAGAAGACGTAGACAACATGAGGATAATGCTCTTTGAAAATGTTTTGCAATTCATTAATTTCACATCCCTCTGCAGATAATAATAAGGCAAAAACACTTTATTAGTGAACAAAGCTAATAAAATATAACTTTTATTTATCTTGGAGAAGGTCGAGGTGGAGTAATGAAAATACTACCGTCCAATGTATTGAAATAAGAGTCTATGATGTGCGGGTAGTATAGGATCCCGTTCGTATATGGGCTTAGAAATTTGGTTGCACTTTCTATTTTTTACAAAGTGAAAAGCATACGCTCCATCGATTTACAACGTAAGCGCAGAAATTTTTTGCGTATAGCACGATAATTGTATTCGGCTTTCTGTACTAAGCCTACAACAACAATGTCGCAGATTGATCAATATTATCATAACTTTCTTAGCGAGATTTAACACTTTTATTATGCATTGTGAAGGATTAACTGTTAATCAGCAGTCTATCTGATTTACACCATAGTTGTCCTAGCGGGTACGAGTTGTAGAATAAGAGTTTTTAGGCTATATCTGTTGTGAATTATGGTAAAGCTCAAAAACTGTCAAATTCTATCAGCATGTACTTGTAAGTGCGTCCACTCTAAACTATCGCTATACTGTACGGCTCATGTAACCTGAGTATCTAGTCGGTGCTAATTGACTAGAGGGATTGTTTACAGCTATCTCAAATGCATTATACGATAAAAAAATATGTGAATTAATGCTGACTATACTATATATAAGGAATCGCTACACTAAGATTGGAATTTTACTTTACCTAACATTTGCAAAATTCAATAACGATCTAGTTTTGGTGTATCCACGAGTACTACTGTAGTAATAGCAATGCAAAATGAATAGCAATTTATAAAGTCAATATCAAGGGTGGGTATTGAAGCGGTTTTAGTCTGAACCATTCAATCACACTCATGGCTACTAAAATAAGATAGCAACAACATAAATTATAGTCCATTTGTATGAAGTATCTTTGATACTGTATGTGTACTTTCTTGTTGATGCACATGGAGTAAAATTCATCCAATTTGAACATTAAAACTATCTTGGTTTGGACTAACCCAGTAGAGCTTTAAGAGATTTGTAGCGTCCAGGAGCATCCTTTTTTGTATCCAAAAATTTTTGCAGTTGGCGAGCTTTGTCAACAGGCTTTCTAGGCTTGAGAGAAGGGAATCTTTTTCTTGGGGCTAACATCATCTACTAAATCTCATATTTCCTGACAGTTGGATTTGTTCCAGAATAGGAGAAAGTGAAAAAATTCACCAGAAAAATCGATTGGCAATGAAAGTTATTTTCTGCAAAGTACAGCACTATGTCATCAGTGGATGGGCTTCTTTTCCAGTGGTCCTTGTGTTGGTTTCTTATACAGTATTGGTCTTACTGTACTGTACTGTATGCCTTGGCAGTTGGTAGTACCAGTACCGGTACCGGTATCAGTACCAGTACAGTACTAGTACCTGTGCCAGTACCGATGTACTGTACACTACAGTACTGTACTGTACAGTACTGTAAATGCCCGAATCCTCACATGGACCGTGTGACAAGTACAGTACAGTACTGTAGTCCTACAGTAGTCCCTGCCAGTACAGTATCTAGCTACAATTACTGTAATAACGTGTACTGTACACTGTGTACATCAGCCATAGAGATATCAAGATCGCATTCTGTTCGACACGGAGCCAATGGCGATTTCTCCAGTACAACTAGTCATAAACAAAGTAGTATATTAAAGTACCCAAGACACTGCTAATTCTCCATAAATAAGTACAGTACTCGTTGCAGTGTAGAATAGAACATGCAAAAGTATTTACTGCACCCTACATTTCATGCAATCCTATAATAAATAGCTTATAGTGCACGCGATACCATGCCAAATTACAAGAGCAGTAACTACGATCAGTCCCGGAGTACAGTACTTATGCCAGCCTATCGTATCGTTCACTGTACTGTAAATATCGATAGCTCAATCCGTTGGCCTGTTTTCGAAATTACAAAATAAATACAAATGCAACCTAGAGCAGTACCTACTATTGTACTGCATATTGCGATTGCAAAAAAATTCAGCTAGGAATACTTTTTTGTGAGTACTGTAGTTTCTCATACGTTGCACTATCACGTCGTTATTACTGTACGTACAGTACTGCACTAACTGTATCGCGTCAGCATCGGCTCATAGAGCTCCGCTTGGCATGCTCAAGAGTAAATATAAATACCAATACTGTTGACTGTACTCAGTGTACTGTACCTAGTGTATAGCACTGTTTTTATTTCTGAACTAGTGAGCTATAGTAATATTGGCAAGTTGATTGCTGTTAGCCAAGTAGATGAGAATTATAAATGTAATTCAAATGGCTTCAAATATCGTCAGTAGTAATACCCTTAAGCTAAGATTGATTGATATTGGTGCTAATTTAACGGATCCAGTCTTTAATGGTGTCTATCGTGGTAAGAATGTACATAAGGACGATTATAATGATGTGTTGCAACGTAGCTGGAATATCGGAATGCAGAAAATTATTATCACTGCTGGTAATTTAAAGGAAAGTTACTCTGCCTTGGAATTAGCCAAGAAAGACCAACGACTATTTTGCACTGTTGGTTGCCATCCAACTCGGTGTAATGATTTCGAAGAATCTGGTGATCCTGATCAATATTTAGAACGTTTGTTCTCTCTCATTCAGCAAAATAGAGATAAAGTTGTTGCGATAGGAGAATGTGGGCTGGATTTTGATCGCTTGCAATTTTGCGATAAAGAAATTCAGTTGAAATATTTTGAAAAGCAATTTGAATTAGCGGAACGTTCCAAGCTACCCATGTTTTTACATAGTAGAAATGCTGATGCAGAATTTTATGATATTGTCAAGAGAAATCGGCATCGTATGAGCGGAGCCGTAGTCCACTCATTCACTGGACCCGCGCAATCTATTTCTGGTATACTTGACCTTGGATTGTATATCGGGATAAATGGATGTTCCTTAAAGTCAGCTGAAAATATTGATGCTATGAAAAGAATACCCTCAGATAAGTTAATGATAGAAACTGATGCACCTTGGTGCTCTATAAAACCAACGCATGCTGGTTATAAATTACTTCAGACCCATTTCAAAGAGAAAAAGAAGGAGCGTTGGGAACCGGATCACTGCATCAAGGGACGCAACGAACCTGCCAACATTATTCAAGTATTAGAGGTTATGGCTGGCAGCCGCGGAGAGAATATACACGATCTGAGTGAAGCTATTTTTATGAATACCGTTAAACTATTTTTTAATGAGAAATCCCTATAAGATTTTGATGATTGCAATAGTCGATGTGAAGCCTATGCAATAATTGCTATTTTAAAGCTCACTACAGTATATGCAAACTGAAGTTTTTGACTGATTGACGCTGACTGCACAGCAATATACAAAAAACGGGACAGAATTATTTTAGAGTATATAGATTTAGCATGGGCAGCAATGATGCAAAGGTACCGACAATTTGAAAGAATGTGCCATTGTGCAGTGGAACTAGAACATCAAATTTCGTGTGTGACTGTTGTTCATTGCAGTCATGTTTTAAAGACTTTGTCAAGATTATTTTAGCTGTCTTTAGTTAATTACTCGTATATATAAATATACTGTATATATATATACAGATATGTATGAATACTATATAATAATTAAATTTAGCATGAAGTATGGATTTATATTTTCTTGAAAGATCAAAGAATTGTTCTATCTGCATATAGAAGAAATACGTGCAAATACACTGATGTTGCTTTGTCTACTGCCTATCTGTATAGTATGGGATTGGCATTCTACAACATCATAAACTACCGTACAAGATGATTGCAACTATTTATTTTCAGTTGCATAGTAGCATATCATTTTGGTTGAATGCCTTCATTTAATTTAATAAGATATTAAAATAAAGTCAATAAAAACTTATAAATTTCGTAAATGATTGCATCATTGCTATCACATTAACAATAATTTAATTTAATTTCATACATATGCTGTATTCATACACTTTATGGCAGGAATTGAAAAAAGACATTCCAATCGTGTCAGCAATCAAATACATTCTCTATTGAAGTAACGGTATCTACTACAGACAAATATATTAATTAGATCTAGATTTTGCATGCTTTACACTTTTATCCATACAGTCTTTAAATGACTTCATTTCTTCTTTACACTTTCTCCAGTCTCTGTTTTCAAACATACAATCCTGAAAATTAAAGGTAGACATACAAAGTACGCTTAGAATGTATCAGTTGATGATTATATGTCCAGAGAGTGACGATTGTGTACTACAAATCAAATATGATTTAAGGAATATAAATATACAATAAAGTTTGTAAGATCTCTATTAATACAGTAGTCACTGCTGGCATAAAAGCAAACATCAATACGTATAGCTAAACGACTTTATATGAATAAACCTATTATTCTGCGGCTTATCATATCACACAGATTGTAGAGTTACAAGATCCATTTTCCTTTGCAGTTGTTGCGAATGGATCTGCAGGCTCAGACTAGCAACCAGTAGGTCATATTTGTTCAAAACAGATGTATACATCGTTTATGTTGTTTACCATGAAGTCATTGCAGTGAAACTATCTTGTTCCATTATTTATTAATTTTAGTGCAATCAGTTTGACTGGTATATACAGTATAAATATGTTCGCTGTTATATAGTATACTGAATATTTCTTGCAAATACGATTACCTGCAATGCATAATGGAAAGCTGAACAACCAGATTTTTCAATAATTATTTCGAAAGGATCCTTTTCTTCATCGTCATCTTGCTTGCTTTTATTCCAGTGATGGGATGGACGCTTGGATTGATTGGCATCTTCCGTCATGACTAATTTTAAAGATTGTAGAGACTTTTATATACTTCAGTTGTCCAGTTAAAGCTCGAAATTTAGTTCGTCAGATCTTGATCTTGCTTCGATGCATGTAGGATCATCACCAGGGATACCCACTCTGGTGATCTGCTTACGGTGCAAAGATCGAGAAGTCCCTACTGTACTGAGTACTGTACAGTTTGGCATACTGTACAGTACAGTACAGTACAGTGCACAGTAGTCCAGTGTGCGGTACGCTACTGTACACTGTACGAGTACACTAAAGTTCACGTCAAGTCACCTGAACGTGAAGCGAAGTCTCAAAATCCAACTTCACACGTTCCCTAGCTACACCTGCGTGTCAGTGCATTGCAATGGCAACTCGTATTTCTTTTACCTGTATGTTGCAGCGATAGAGATTTTTTTGTACCTCTATGGCTGCAGCTAAAGACTTCTGTCAGTACTGTACAGTAATATTGTGAAACGATATGCAGATGATATATAACTCGATTATATAGTCTCGCTATACTTGCGTCAAATGTTATGAATTAAGTTTCAGCTTCTTGTTGTAAAATGAGAGCAACCAACTTGCAAGGAAATACTGCTAATTTTGGTGCTTGTTGACCTCTCCCAAATATTTACATATATCATACTATCTGCATATATGTAGATATTTACCAGCATATTTGCCAAATGTGCAATACCATTGTCAGTATAATCATCCTTTATTATATTAATTTTAATTTTATTATAATAACTAATTTTTATTAAAAGCAGCACAATGTCATGCCATACTTCACCAAGATATTATCGTAAAAATGACTAAAACCAAGTCTTATATAACTTATGTAAGGGCCTATTTAATTGCGTAGTAACATGACGATCCATTTATGAAGACACGGCAGCTAATTTTTTCTTTGAGTAACGTTTGGGCTTTTTAGATAGTTCATCTATAACTGTATTTCTAGCTGCTGCTTCCTATATACAAGAGGCAAACCAGTATAATTAGCCGAGTTAAAAGTATTGGGTACAGCTGTGCCGTATAAATTTTATCCCGTTATATTACTAACCTCTAATAGCTTTGTAAGACTTAATTCTTTTCGACTTGAAACAAGGCTTATTACTCTACCCGTACATTTGCTGCCAACACGCCCAGTTCTACCAGCACGATGAATGTAATCAGCAACAGAGATCGGAAAATCGAAATTAATTACACATTCAACCTATGTCATAAAATTGGCTGCATTTAGTTTAGCCGAATTTTACATGGTCGGCGGCAAAGATTATTGAGGTGATATAACTGTATGCATTTTGAGAAATTTTCCAAATAGGAACCTACATTCTTTGTATCTAAGCCTCTAGAGGCTATATCGGTTGCAATGAGTATGTTATATTCACCACGTTGAAATTTATCATATCGAATTAGACGCTCCTGGATACAGTATATAATTTTTTTAGTGTAATCATAACTCGTTCATTGGATAATTTTATAACAGTGGAATTATCGAGATATTAAATGAAAGTAAATGCTAAATCGCCTATCTACCTCTGGTGGCATACCACCGTGCAATCGTAGTAACGGTAAATCTACTTTTGCAAGATAATGCCCAAGCCAATTGCAGCTATCAACTGTATTGCAAAAAATGATTGTTGAACCATGTCGCCGTTCTTTCAATAGTTTTAGTAATGTTCCTAGGAGGAAAGTAGAGAAATAAAGTAAAATTTTTCATCTTCAATGTGTTTACGCGTACATTGATCAATGCTCCTTACCTGCTTTACTAGTTTGTTTTAATTTTAATATATCTTGCTGTATGTGGGGTAATAATTTATGGAAACCTTTAGTAGTTACTTTCTTTAGATTCTAATAAATATTTAGGCAGATGGTTAAAATCTGAACCTTTCAGGATTTTCACTTATGATAATTCTTGGTATTTCAGCCGATTTAAATATCGTCAGAACTCAAATTATTTGTACCGGAATGACTGGGTTCAAAATTGCTTCAACTCTCTTAGGTAAGGTAGCCCCAACAACGGTGACCTGCGCATCTTTTTGAAGAGTATCCAGAGACATTGGCTTACCTCCACGGATCTAATATTCAAATAGGAATGACAATACTTCAAACATCGTCCTTTCGATTTTACTCAATAAAGTATAAATTTAAGAAAAACTTCATCAAATTTGTAAACTTCAGATCATTGTAATTTAATATGGATTAAATTATCACCTTTATTTTCTCTAGTATTTCCAAACTCCTTTCGTAGAAGGATTCATCAAATAGAGTATCTGCTTCATCTAGGACCAAATGAGTTAAATCGCTAAAAAAAATTTGATCTGAAAGTACAACGTTCAATTTTAGTTATAATAGGAAATGTAGTTATCAGTGTACCCTACGAATGACATTAATTATTGGCATTTTTCATATCAAATTAAATAGAACAATGAATTAGGGTGTATTCTAAGGAAATACACAACATACTATATCTATGATACTTTATGAGCATTCCCGGGGTCGCCACAACTACGTCTGTTGGAGTTTCCAATGCTTTTTCCAATAGTTTCTATTCAATATATGACATATGAAGTTTTTGATAGCTTAATGAATGATTGAATTTATTCTATCTATCTACCGATCTGTAATGCATTGCTTGTGCTATATATTCTTACTTGTTTTTTGCCTCCTATTACACCTACGACTCTATACTTTGATACGTGGCATAGCGATTTAGCAACTTTCTGTTAGAGCGTTGATGCGGAGATCAGAAAAATATACAGTAAGTATCTTTATGTTGATTATTATTAGCTATCGTTAAGTTCAGTGATGGAAAGGTTGTTAATAAGGAACAGAAGATAATAGTACTATCACATTGATAACTACTGCATAACTAACCAGAGTCTGCTGAGCTAATTCTCTGGATGGAACAACAATACAAGCTCGAGGTCTGTTTAATCTTGTAATTAATCCGCATTTTTCCTCTTCTTCTTTAATTCTATGAATTAAAGGCGCCAAATAAGCTATTGTTTTACCAGATCCTAAATTAAATACTGTGTGGTTAGATACAGTCTTTCTACGTATATATTGGTCGTACAATGTACATGAGTCATTTAGAGTTTTACCTGTTTCGGATGCACATAGTACGTTCTTTCCAGCAGCAATTTTAGGAATTGCTAGAGACTATAAACATCAAGTGAGATTACAATCGTTATACAACGATATCATTCCTGTATAGTGCATACTTGCATTTACACATGTTTAAACAGTTGATTTAAGAAGAGGTATATTTGCAGGACTGTTATACCGTACTGTGTATCTATTAATAATTATGGTTATAATGGATGAATATCTTTAACTATCATTCTGGTAGCTGCAAATTTTTACGGGTAATATATATTACATGTTATTAAGGTGATAATGGTCTATAAAGTAGAGTAAAGAACAATAATACAACTATACGCTAGTAATGTTATCTACCTGTATTGCAGTTGGCGTGGTAATATTAATGTTCGCTAAAGAATCAATCACGTCATCCCTCAGGAATAACCGCGAAAAAGACGATGTACCAGAATCAGTAATAGCTCTAGGTTCCTATTAGATAACAAAGTAATCTTGCTTATGAAGGCGTACCTTAAATCTGAATAGCATCATGTATCGCAACATGTGTGTAAATGTACAAGGCAGGTAATTCGATAATTTTTGCATGTACTCATGTTCGAATCGTAGTCGAACATTTCATTTCCTTATCGCCAATATCAATATATTACTCATGCAACGTAAGGATTACTTATTAATATAATCCTTAGTGATACTGTAGTATCTTAACTGTAATGCAGAAGAGCCATTGGCTTTCATTTCAACGCAATCACTGACTAACCTCCTTTTTCTTTTTAATGGTGGTTTTACTTGGCCTATCAAGGATCCTATTTTGTCGTGGTCTTCGAAATCTACGCTGATTACGCATACGCGTATTTCCCTTAGTGCCTGTAAATTCCTTGTGTTTGCGAGATACTTCTAGCTGACGAGACGATCTGGTTTTTACCGACTTTAGCGCAGGAGAGGAGTAGTGACGATGACATGGCACTAATTTTGAATAAAGCTGAGATGTGAAGCAGTACCGGTTGAAATACTGGTAAGCTAATCCTGATAAATTCATCCAGCTTCTACTTATCAAGTGCTCCTATAAATGCGTGCAGCATAAGTTCAAAATTAGCATCATGAGTATGGCCATTACATCATTGCATCTTCTCAGAAGAGCTACAATATAATACTTTGCTCCATTCACTTACCATAACTTGTACGTGTATGCATACGGGTAATCATAAATAACATTAAAAATTGGAATTGAACTCGAATAAATGCAGCAGCAGATTATCCTGAGCTCCGCTGCACAATTTAAGCAATCTCTAATTTCAAAAGCATTAGAATGGAATTACTAGCGCTATCAAACTATAAGAAAGTTAATCTCCTTTAATTCACTCTTTAGTAGTCGTTAAAAAGTGAGGACTGTAGCTTGATGAATGATTGTGATTACCAATATTCGAAGTTCAAGTTGATTCGAAGAAGGAGCAAACCAAGAAATTTCATTCAAAATGATACTTTTAATTTTTGCATTGATCAGCTCGCTGCAAAATAATAACGCATGCGGTTCTCCTGCACCTCAGAGTACTGTTCCAGTAGTTTCATAGTGGTACGGTACTGTAATCCAAAGCTGTACCGTACTTCTACAGTACAGTTCAAGCTGTGGTGCCGAAGATGTCCGTTTCGGCGCGGTTCGATACGGTACAATGTTCGGTTAGGGTTAGACCTAGCTAGGGCTAGGGTTAGGGTTAGGGCTTGGGCTAGGGTTGTACTGCTAATCTAACCCGAGCTGTAAAGCAACTCTTCCCTACTGCCACTCAAATATGGCGTCCGTTAATGCCAATGTAAATTTAACCTCTCAACTCGCATCGCATATCGTTGTACCGCTAACAACGTTTCTAAATGGCAATAATACTTTATTTTCTGAAAGTCAGCCTTGGATATCTGACCTAAGATGCAGGTAAGGATTTAGGTCGGTTATTTTGAATATAAACACACGTAAATGGTGCACAGTCCACCATAGATCCGAAACCCATCACTATTGCGTGAAGACTGAGATATCACAGGTATTAACTAGGTGGTAAAGCATCAATGCTTTAATCATTGAGATATCACAAATAGAGTTGCTTTCCGAATTAAAATTTTTATCAGTTTGCCTTTTTACCATCAATCTATGCTATCCTAACAAATATTGCGTCATTTTAATTAATGAAAGATGTACTTTTAAAAATAATCGTATAACTATACAGTACACAGAGGACGTATTTAACCTCTAGTAGATAGTTGGTCAGATACTTAAAAAAAAATGTATTCTACTCAGTAACTCCCAGGTTGCAAACAATTTAAAACTTGTTTCAAAACTGATCACTAATTTCATGATATAAGGGCCATTATATTAAGTGCAATTAGTATACAGTATATGTATCTTGCAATCAGGATTAACGTATTTCATATCGTACGATATGATGATTATTCAAAATAATCATCATCTAATTTCGTAGAATGCATTTAGTGTTTGCAAGCTTAATAGTTCTTGGAATGTTAATTCAAAATACCTCTGTAAAGAGGGATACATACGATGTAAAGTGGAAATTATAACAGTCGAATTGGCTATAAAATCAAGTTAGTTGAATGGTAGATAAATATTTAAATTATTTTATAATTTATCTTTGGAACTTGCCTGAATAATTAATAATACTTGTTTTAATTTTTGTTATATTGCTGTGGACTGTAGTTCTATATAGGAGTTCTAACCAGTTAGCCTTAATATAGGAATAGGCTACTTCTATATATTCGCATGTTAGGTACATGCTCCATTAAAATCAAAATGAACAGTTACGACTAACAAATTGGGGTATGCAGCTATATGCATACCTTGGGAGCTTTGAAAACACTTTAGAATTACTGCACAGGTCGTTGTAATTCTCATGCTGTATACGCGTATAAAGGGTAGTAAACCATTGTAAATGTTGAGACATCGATCAATCATATATCCGTGCTACCTAAGTGGGTTCTACCATATGCATGTGTAAAACAACATTAATGATTTGTTGTTAGTGACCAGTTAAGTCAGGCTCCCATGATCTGGTATGTGCTTCTATCGTATTGGTGTAATACGTACAGCTGGACTATTTATGCTCTACACATGCAAATGATTTCGTTGGTGGTTAAATAATCTTTGAATTGCATTTGTCCTGTGTAGCCATGCTGCCTTGGATAGTGACACCAATTGCGATAGGTTTAAGTTACACCTTCCCTATAGCCAGCACACTTTAATTTGTAAGTTTAAGTCATACATTTTTCAAAATTGATCATTCTCTTTGTTGTTATTTTACAAAATGTACTTTGTATATTGTTATTGTACTGTACTCATTTATACGGATATAGCCACTCTGTTAACTAGTTATGTTGCTATTGCGTAAATATTATGGACTTTTTAAATTATCGAACATTTTACGTAGGGGAAGTAATTTTTGATCGAAGAAGAAACAATCAGGCACCTGATTTTATATTTGGCGAAGAAGATAAAGATTTTAATCCAGATTCCGAGAAGCTAGAAGTATGTCTGGTGGACATTTATTCGTATATACCATATCATTATTAATAGAGTGATGCTGTAATTAGTGTATTATACCGTACTTGTTTCAATATATACTAGTGCTAATCAATCATCATAACCGAAATATTTGAGATGAGTAATAAACTTATTTTTCAGTATAAAGACTGCTTCAAGAAAGGGTTGCTAGATATATTGGATAGATTAAATTATTTATTATAAAACTGTTCATTAGACGGGTCTGTGATTGATGTATAACCATAGATAATGGCATTCATGCCGTTATAAATATATACATATATACCGTATATGTCATATAATGTATTTAAGTGCTTGACATATTATATCTTGATAAGCTTATTCTAATTATTATATTTTGTACTTGATAATATTGTAATTTAACACAGAGCCTATCATATTGGAATACCAGTAATGCGAACTGCTTTTCTTTGGTCATAAAAGAACTGTTGTTACAATATGCTCTTCATCAGGAAAAATTACTAGGAGCTAATAGTCGATTAAGTTTCGAGTGTTCTAAATTACGAACTAGTAAAGACTTTGACAGCTTTGAAATTTTGGTAAAAAAGAAAAACACTAATGTTAGTAGAAGTATCACCTTCAGCAAATATTCTTGTATTTAAATTACATGACGAAGAATAACCGATTAATTACCTAAACATATTATATTTCTCCTAAACTCATATTACAATTTTGTACAACTGATTAAAAACTCACTATACCTAGAGTAGAATAATTGCTGTTTTTTTGGCTAACGGCTTTGTTTTTACCAATAGGGATATAACAGTTATTTTGAGGCTAATTTTCTTATCAGAATCAACTTGAAAAGTGAATCTTTGCCCCACTTAAAAGCGGTAAGACAACTATAATACTGTTTCTCATAGAGCTTACCGTTGTTTATATCAACGTAATGATTGTAATTTTAGTATACTCTTAACAGAAATGTGCCTTATATAAAATATTACGTTACATTTTTAAAGGGCTTAAATAAAAGTATTCAGGACTTTTATGCTAATCTGTTGGTAACAATGGTATCCAATGATACAGCAAATGTGGTTACAAATTTACAAATTAATCCTTGGCTAGAAAAGTATGCAAAATTTTTGTGTAATACGTTGTGTGCCTCGTATTGCCTTCTTATGATTTGCATGAATCGTTAAATTACGTATATGATTAATTATAGGTTATTAGGTAGCAATACTACAAAACAATGCCCACGGTGGGGAGGTTCAAATGCTTCGAGCTTACTTGAGTACCTAACTACGGTACAACGTTACCTACAGGATAAAATAAATCGTATTGGTGAAAATTTTACGAGAAGAAAAGAACTTATTGAATCCTTCAAACAGCATTTTAACGGGTATGACTTTTGTTATCCATAAGATATTTTAATGGATGAAGATTATCTTATTTTACCTCTTGTATCACACAGGGCGTTACTGGAATATGATAGTGAAAACTATACAAGCATAAATTTGCTGCTCGTTACGAGTGGATTTTACTTTATTCTGCATGGTAATGTCAACTACTATTTACGTGTAAACATTATACTTTTATTACACTTTGGTTAGGATTATATACGTACATACATATATATATATATTTATATATATACTGTATATGTATAACATTGCGAAAGAAACGACTAAAAGTTTATCCTCTTATTTCATCAAGTATCATTACCATCCGGATTTCCACAAAGCATGCCAGTGCTAATTATCCAATCAGTATACCATCGTATGGGTATTTTACCTTACAAAGAAACACGTACTTCGTATCCATACAGCCCGAGATGGAGTGGTAAAGAAATGGTAGAGAGAATACAGTATGTACATTGCACAGTCTATTCGACCTAGTTCACAAATGTTCTTAGATATTCCACGTATTTAATAATCCATTTTAATTTAATTTAATAGAGTTTATCTTGCGACGATTATTGAAGATTTTAAGACATCATCCTTACGTTACGGAAAACTTTAGTAAATAAATTCTCATCAAAATGCATTATAACAAAATGCCTGATATTTATGAATTAGCTTTCCAAAAGCATGTAATAGACGTTAGGTCACTAAGGTTTGTGTATCTTGCCTGGTACGTTATGAACTTACCGGAATCGCTTTTTTGTGATAATACGCTATGAATAAATGTTACCTTAGCGAGTTTGACATGACGTAAAATATTTTATTTTTTCTATCGAAATATTAAATAACATGTGGTCATATTCCTTTTAAGACACAGATGATTGTAGATTGTAATGACTAATTGTTCACTAAGTATACCTTATAAGTGAAAGATTTTTTCAAGATTTGATTCTATATGTATGTTATAATTATTGTATAGATTACCATCAGAACTCTTTCCTAACATCAATCATAATTATTTAAAGTGTATTCACTTTTGTATATAAGATAAATGTCTTCGTAGATCCTTTATTGTCGTAGTTCATTCATGGTTGGATTTTATTATTCCGAGTAAAGATTTTGAATATTTTGTCTTAATTCTTTGAATTCACTCTCAGGTAGTGATATTTCGTGTATGAGTGAGCTTATACTTTCATCAGTAATGATCTCAAATTGACTTTCGTCTACATTTCAAAAAGAAATATGAAAGGGCTATAAATAAATTGATTTACATAAAATATTTTGCAATGATATGGTTGATGTATAATTACTTTTCACTATTAAGTGACCAGCTAGCTCACAAAATGCAACACTAAGTACGTTTTCATCTTTGGCACCTATCATTCATTATTAGACATCCTGTTATCATTCTTGATTCAGTCAAAATTGAAGCATTAATTAACTACAGTCAGGTTGTTTTTATTAAACCTAGTGAAGAAACTCTTGGCCAAACCAGCACTCTTACTACAACGTCACTGCTTATGTTGTTCTTTTGAAATGGCTTTCCTCTTGTTATAAAAATATTATGGGCTATCTCTTTCTCGTGAAGCAGTGATGTTAGTCTGTATATATTTCTAAAAAATAATGAAAAGAAATACGTATTTATGCCATTGTCATGTATCTTTGTTCTTGTAGTGAGGAATAATAAATACACCGCCAGTTATATCACAATTGTGGGCTAGAGTTCCTCTAAATAGAAATTTATTGCAATTTTTTACATACTTAATGAAACATCGCAAGTCGCCATTCACGTACTGAAATCCGAAACCCTTAGCCGGTGAATCTACCAATTCCATACAAGGCCCACTAATTGGTTTCCCGTTCTATTTTAACGAAAACAGATGCTACGTATCATTATTACGCTGCAAATAATTATATGCTGCAGACTAGGTCTGCAAGACGCAATTATTCATTTTTTAACCCTGATCTGCAATTCAGAGTGAGCTACGGAATCCCATAAAATAAAATTTTACCCATTTCTCAGATGGAAGTTCATAATTGATGCAATAGGCATGAAAATGCAAGTGATTAACAGAAGCAAATCCGCAAATACTATTAAATCCAATACGAAATCCCCTATAGAAAAGTATATCATTGATTTATGATTAAAAATTTCAAAATAGCACAAGGCATTGAAACAGTCACTATCGCACCTTCATTATTACACAATAATTATAATAATGATGTAATTAATTAATAAAATATTATTTTTACCGATACCTTTGTGAACTGAGTAGCAACATTTCCATAGCCAATTGCAATCCGTTAATTGTTACAGCCTGTGGTAATCATTATGTAGATAGTTAGTGTAAGAAGAAATACAGCATATGAAACTAAGTTATCGCTTGGAACCCATACAAACATGAATTTTACTGGAGAATATTATTTTTACAGCGAGTAAAGTACGATTTCTACCGCACCACTAAACCTAGATTATCCTCTGTAGCAGATTACTAAGCATGATTTTATTTCAGTCCTGATGATGCAGCATTTTATATAATAAGCGAATGGTATTCATCAGAACTAGTACGTCAAACAATTCGTAAAAACTCTGTTGACTAAAATTATTCTAGGAATTGTGGTGTAATACTTAGATCTAGACGTTACCTGAGGCAAACAATCCTCGATAGCTGGGACGAGCAGAATATTACAGTATTCTACAGGGCTAACATTTATGATTACCAAGTTTCTGGATGGTATACTCTATAATATATTTCAAATGAAATGAAACGAAATTACTCTTATTTACCGCTTGTACAATTTAATAGTTTACTCAGATATTTGATGAGTAATATCGATACGTGCTCATATATCTAAATCGTATATAATACTATAATTACTATTTGCAACGGAGTTTTATTTCTGTAAATATGAATCCTGGAATCCATTTGGACAGATATATATAATAACCGCATTTTATGACGTATATGTATTCTATCAATTCAACATTTTAATTTTAATTTTAATGGGTGTGTGACGGATTTCACGATGTAAATGATAGCAAAAATATCGTTATCTAGCAGTAAGAACATCGTTCAGTATAGATATGTTAAAAATCTTTTATCAGAGAACAAAGCCATACCTCCTCGTCATTATGTTCTTGAGATATAAGCCCATGTTGTGGACAAAGTTCAAAGAGAATCTAGTTATCATTATCATTTTAATAATGCTATGAGAACCTTATATCGGTAGCTTAATCAATGAAGATCCCCAACTAATTTTTATCGAAATATTTCATTCGCTACTGAATTAATCTATTATCTAGCACGAGTAAGAACTAGTAACAATCAAACTATAACATACTTATATACCATTTCTACTTTAAAATTGTTCCTAATTTACTGCTATGATGCATGTACGTTATAGTGATAATTAGGATTTGTAGTCCTTTTTAAGAAACAAAGAAACTATTTACATGCATAGATAGCTACATTTATTTATAAAAGTGTATTATTTTCAGTGTTTCCGTTCAGTTGTAATTACTGATAAGGCAGCAGCTACTATCAAGTAATGAGTTTATAACATTTTTTAATCGGTAGGTTTAATACAGAACCTCTTTTGCATTAATCTTGTTAAAATTGAAACGGGTACCATCGAACGGTTGCTTGACAGTGAAGAAGCTGCCAGGCTTTCGTCTTTGCGTCGCTCTTTTTAAGTTTCGCTGGTTACGCAAAGGACGACATTTATTAATACATGCCACAATAATTTAACGAAACTATCACATATTCTACAATTGGAAATAGTATAATACAATACTTTGTGTATAAATTATATCCATTATCACTCACTTCGAATTACGCTAATTTATGTTTAATTCAAAAAAAATTAAGTTCTGACATTGATTATACTGTACTACTGGACATTATTATCATTTACCAAATATAAACAATCATCTTACTGACTGTATAATGTACATCTACAGTGTTCAAGCACGAAATACATCATAGATAGAAGTATGAGTATTTTTTGATACCATGAAGTTATTACCAGAGTGATGCACCAACTAATCAATCATAATAATGGTAGTTTATATAGTGTACATTACCAAAGATGTAACTACCTGCGCAACATAACCAGCTGGCCCAGGCAGAACCTTGGTTTGTAATTCGTCCAGAGTATAACGAAAGTAGCCCAGATTCATTGCTTTATCCCAAGCATTGCGTAATTGGATATCAAACTATAATGAAGAGATAAATAAAAGTTCTATCTTCTAAAGTGCCCAAGATATACTGTATATCGCACATCATATCCTTAGTTTACACTACACTAAATAGTACTACCGCACAGTACTGTACAGTATAGGGTGTAGAAATCCAATCCAGATTCAAAATAAATAATATGATCAAAACTTGATCGATTTTATTTCAATTTGATATTAATCGACACCATGTAAACACATATCAATTTTGACGGGTTTTATAATAAATAAAATAAACCATAAAAATATGCACTGATTTATCTGAAAAGAAATTCTACATTCTGTACTATACAGCGTAAAATCTTCAGCCTACAGTAATGCCAGATCTACTACTGTATACTGTACTGTACAGTATACTTGTAGGGTATATCGCAAATTAACGATTTGCATGGGCGAGGTATGTTTGTCTTGCAATTCTTCCACGCCACCATCTTTAAACCGCAAGGGATAGTTTTTAGCGGAAGGATACTGATCATTATCGACATATCTGTTAGTTTTAAGATTTGGAGCATATTACTGACCACTCGGCCGAGAAATCTGTAGATAGCGATACACCCTACAGTGTACTGTATACTATAGCTCTACTGCACATACACTATATACAGTACTGTTGTGAAGAAATTGAATCTTTTTACTACTGTAACCAACAGTGCAAGCTATATCCAGTTATGATGCAGCCAACGGCTGAACCACTTTGATTGCCTGTTGGCATGATTATGCTCAAGAATCTAACCTTACTGAGCTGATTTTGATCTTCGTTTGCTGATGTTGGGAGATGATGTACGAGTAAATCGCCAGAAGAGTAAGGGAATTTGCATTTCTCCGTAATTAAAGAATCGTTTCCGCTTTGCTTTGACATGATGCGTTGTGTCAATGGGCGTCCGTAGTTCGGATCTTCAACTGTATGGATGCGTTTGTATCTGTGGTCTTTCACATTGCGCGAGCTGGGAGAGACTTCCTAACTCGATTTTGCCTCTTCTTTTCAGTTACAATCCCTACTGCGAGCTGTCGTACCACTCTGGCTAGCAGACCATTGAAGGGATCCAGCAAAAGTCTGGACCATAAATAAAAGGTACCTTAATAATATTATGGAGACCCTCAAACTTCAAGATAGTTTTAAGCGTAGTAGTTTGTTTAATGAGTTCAATAATACCGTGCAGATCGCGTCCATACAGTTGTCCGTATAGCATGGTACTGTGTAGTCACGTGTTAAAAGAAAGAAAATGCTGTGGCAACCATAGTGATACACTGTGTTGTCGTGTACAGTGTACAGTACGGCAACCTTGTTGTTACAGTACATAGACTGTAGTCAGTGTGTACTGTACACCGTGGGTCGATGTGATGCGGCTGCCTACTGTCGCATCACCGCTGACGTCAACCACACTGATAGCGAGGAGGAGCATTGTCCCCTATCGGCCCATACAGCAAAGTGAACTAGAAGTACTGGTTGGCGCATACAGTAGTATAAAAATTGAGTGGCAACGTCTTCGCCGAACTGGGAGCAAGACTGGAAAGTAGTAGCAGCTGATGCCTTCGAATAGCAAGTTTACCTGGTAAATTGGAGAAGAAAAAAATGTCTTCCATCAATGTTGATCTTGATTTACAGCAAACCAATCGAATGAAAGAAATTTCTTTAGATGGCAAAGAAAGCTACGTTGAGTAAGTCGATTTTCTTATAGAATACACTGACTGTACAATGCCTAATCGATTGCGTTGTCAGACGGTGGACCAACTCAGTCACAGAACAAAGTAACAGTTGGCTCGAGGATAAATCTACTATGCTCCAACTAGTAGCCAGTTCCAATTGAAAATAGTTATAATAGGATACCGAAAGGGAATAGAATGGAAGAAATTTTCGATCAATATCAATATACGACTCCTCTACATGACATGTCGAAAAATACAGTACAGTACATTGGTATTTTAGACATGTAATACTGTAGAGGAGAGTGGTAGATTGATATTGACAAGGTCCATTTTATACATAGAATAGAGCGGGAGTCGTAAATTGATGTTGATCCCAAATTTCTTTTATATAGCAAAGGTAGCTAGCTACATTGAGTAAGTCCATTTTCGCATAGGTGTACAGTTTACTGCCTATATTGTAGTCGTGCAATGACTACAGTAGTTTGAGAATCGATGACATAATACAAAGTCATCTACACCAGTGAATTAGAAATCAAGTATGCTTGAGCTATTTAGGCACAGACGGTATAATTCAAAAATACAATCAGAATACGCTGTAATTATATCATTCGTTCCATTGAGTATGAGTTAACTCTACCCTTGAATGTTGTTACTATCTTTCAATAGTATTACTCATCAATAGCTTCGTTTGCTCTGCTAGTGTTTGGATTATGAACCCATCGATCATCGATGGGTCACGGTAAACAATCTGCATGTCCATTGTACAGTACACGATAAAGTAGAGAAAGGATAATCTCAGCAAATTCGATATCTTTAGTAGCGATCAAGGAGCAGGGTATAAGGTTATACAGCCAACGTATACACGTATACTTTCTAAGGAAAGAAAATGTTGACATATCCGTACTACCATTTTCAGTACTACGCAAGAATTATCTGTTGCTATTACGACTGGAGCATTTTATTGAAATTAATTAATGTAGAATGGAGTAATGGAGCTTTTCTCATTATAATTATCAATGACAACGAACTTCAGCCCTATATTGCTTACTGTATCGTAACGCAACTGTACTCGTATATCTACGTTCCATTGCAACAGTCTATTTTTCTACTATGCTGCACTGTAGAAATATCTTGAATAAACTTGGTTGACTGGATTGATCATCATTGATCAATCCAGTTTTAAATTTTGACCATGTGGTAGAAGTATATCGTTGCATTTTTATACAATAAGATTCGTCTAGGACTCCATCAATAAAATAATCTTGCTACTGTGCAACAGTTAGCAGTAATGAAATGATCTTTCATAGTTCACTAGATATTAAAAGAAAAATTAAAGTTAATAGAATAAAAAGACTTAGTGTATAAATGCGATAAACCTTCTATACTTACGTTTGTAAACAAGAGTAATCGTATTTGAATTGATGGCATGTTTGCAATCCTTTTTCTACTATATCTTATACTACCTAATGTTACTGATCATGATAGTTAAGTCAAGCAATTACTCTTCTAATTGCTTTTCCTATGAATTAAAATTACCAATGTAAATATGATACTTACCACAGTATAAGAACATCATGATCAGTTTGCCTACCCAATACAGTACTGTAGTATGCCATTGTTAAAGTGATTTCCTTATTTTAAAAATATAGAAAACTATCGCCTTCAGCCAAGTTACTTCAGTTTGCTCAACAGATTGATTTTAATCAATTATTCGATCATGGCGATGAAGAAAATGATAACGCATCGACTACTAATGAAAAAGAAGAAAATTCGATGTCAGCTAATCAGACGGTAGCGACAAGACCCTGGGATTCTGTTCAATCCAGTTTGAGGTTTGTTTATCACATAGATACGTCATTGGGTTTTTCCACTACTATATTTCTTGTAATGTGCTTTATATTTATAGTTATTCCGTTTTTGATAAATAAAAATGTTTCTAGATTTGAATATGAAATAGAACGATTTATACCGCTTTAATTTTCAGTAGTTCTTAACAATTCAACTACACTACTTGCTTTGCCGCCTGTATTGCAAATTGTTATGATAGTGTGGAAAAATACGCAATTTATCAATTTAAATTGCATTCGATAATATGATTTTCAATTATGATCCTTTAGGAGCGCTCTGGTCGAGATTAGTGCCCTTGCAGATCTACTAAAGGTATCTGGGCAAAAAAAGTACGTAGTTCTGGATCCAGTACAGGGTGAAAAGTCTTCATCAAGCTCAATGGTTCAATTATTGGCTAAGAAAAAGGTACAATTTATATTGACTCTATTGCACTTGTTGTAAAGCTATATATATGTATATCATGTCAATGTTTTTTCTGTATACTGTTTCAAGATGATAACAATTATCACTTCTTCCGATTTGTCTACCGGCTTGCTGATCTATTAGTACATTAGCATTACAAATATCATTTGTTATTCCTTTAGAATTTGTCTGGAGCCGCTAGTATATTACGTAAAGGATCCGATGAGATTGGACAGTATGATGAAGACGGTCGAAGTGGGTATTACTCTAACCTAGCAAAATTGCGTAAGAATTGGAAATTACGGCGAATTGGGCCTAGAATTGTCGGAGACCTCACACTAGTTAGATCAAGTTAGTAATAGCTTAATATTGATTTCAATCCGGCCAATTATGGTGTATGCAATTTGGTCTTTAAAACTTGCTGTACACAAGTGTCAATGTACTTAGTAGGATAAAGGTTAACGTAAGGCATAACTTTTCTAATTGCAGTTGGTGCCCCAGCTATGCGATCTTTTGGAATATTTGAAGTTTCAAAGCTTACTGTCAATAAAAAGGATAATGATAGTTTTCTTAATATTATTTTGGGAACTCATATAAGAGGAAGAAGCTCAATTAATATTTCCTTGTTTATTGACGGTAAAGTGTTCTTTATCAGATATAAACTATTTCAAATACTATTTATACCTTTTTAAATCCTTCAAGGTCTATATTAACTAATTCTGTTTATACTTGTAAAATTCATAGGTAATGAAATTAATACATGCCCGACGACCTTTTTGCATATTAATCGAACTACATGGCCATTATGGCACAGGAAATTAAAAGACGCACAAAATGTCTTATTTTGTAAAATATTATTCAACAAGGTAAAAAATAAAGTCAAAATCAGATAATTCAGTACAAAATGACTGTAATGAATCGTCTTTTTGTTGATTAAAGATCTCCGACATTGAAAATTTTTTCACTTAATCTCACAGCTTGTACAGGAGTCGTACCAAGGAAACAATCAATTTCAGTGTCGTTTAATAGGCAATAAATTGGAAATAAAGGTACAGTATAAGCAATTTGCTTCGAGCTATCGTTAGCAATAAGTATTATCTATATAGATACCCCGTAATGTATTAAGAAATATAATCATTTAATAACAGCTAGCAGATCGTATCTGGCTGTGTATTATAGATCATCATTTCTACGATGAATCAGATCAATTATGTGAAGAAGTAAGTTGTTTATATACTGAATGTTGTTTATCTATTCCAGATTATCAGAATTATGTATCGATTTCGACAAATTAGTAATGTTTCGAAATTTTTTCTTCTTTAAAGAGTCAAATAAATGCCGCAGTTAAGGACCATTTTTTGCTCCAGTCATACTGTTATATATTGGAACATGCATTACAGAATCTGTTACAAGAAATGCACAAGAAACCAAATACAAATTCAAAAGGACGGTCTGGTAAAAAACGAGCTAATCAGAAAGATACCTCAACGAAAAAGAACAAGTACGATATAATAAGGGAAAATAATAATGTATTATTGATGTACAAACATTAATTTATGACCTTAAAAGCCTTGAGGAAAATTGTTAAAAAGGTAAATTAATTTGATCCTTTTTTATACATTTAGCGATAATACTAGCATTTTATGGAATATCATACCACAAATCCAACATATGCTACTTCGAAGAAGGTAATCATAAACTTTGCATTGTTACTATCAGCAGAGTTTCTTGGAATTGGATGTAATGTTATCTTTTCGTCATTTTGGACACATAATATAGGGTTGCTAAAACAATTGATTCCGTGGCGTGCTCTGTTTATGATGCTTGTATGTGTGTTCATTGGCACAATTTAAGTTGTAGTAAATCTTCTACAGCTACAATTATCATCTCGCAAAAGAATGCTAGGAGCTTTAATAGGTAGGTTAAATACATGCAGCTTTTGTACGATATCAGCTTACTTTTACTCAACACATATGATTGATTACTTAATTCTACATAGGAAAATGCTTCGTCTTACTGTAGAATCAGATAAAATAAGTGCCATCTGCCCCAATAATGCAGTTTTCAGCTTCAAATCGGACGTACATTCTGTAGCAAAGTTCTTAGAGAGTGAGGTAAGCTGCGTATAACAGTCTTCGTAAAGACCAGTTTCAAGATGTCTTCACCTTGTAAAATTGAGCATTTTTGTTGATTATAATAAATATGCGTGATGTTTTATTTAGGTTCATTCATACTTGTGTGATACCATCATAAAAGTTGGCATTGCTGCAGGCTGGCATCAGCTATTAAAACGAAGTGATACGAGTACTCGTACGTTAACGGAACGAAATCAAGTCTTTCATATTGTTTTGTTATCTCCAAACAAGCAGACGTAAGATTATGATTACTACTATTGCATAACGTTAAAAATCACCAACATATAGGACGATTGCTGACAACCTGTCTAATTTTTTTATGTTGTTCCTTTAGCTCACTATATGTTCGTGTAAATCCTCTGGAGACCATCTCTTTCTTTGCTAAAATATTAAAAGACTCTACTGAGTGTCCTAAGAGTCAAGGAAACGATCTAGCTACATTGAAGAAGATTAATTGGGAGAGAATATACGGGACAACGCTAAATATCAGATTACGAATGTTATTTGCAGCATTAGCGTAACCGTTAACTGTTCATTGTCTACACCCTTTGTAATTAGATGTATAGTCATTCTTAAAGCTACTACATCCACGAAATTTCAAGAAATCTTTTGTATTTTTACTCTTCTTATAACTTGAAGTGTCAATCGTAGCTCTCCAAATATTTCGATGCAAATTCATGATAATGTATTCAAATGAACAACTGGGTTGCAAAAGTAAATATGTTAAAATTTTGGTATAGCACTTTACCAGTTAATTTAGCGTAATCAATATAAGTATGTTAATAGTTGGTCATACATAAAAAGCGTGTAAATTGCGATTCAACATGGACTTTAAGTAAAGTCTAGATTGTGCTAATACAGTCTACTATAAATATGTTAGGTTTTTTATTTCAAATTTCGATATACACGTATAGTTATTATAAGAGTGAGTTATCATCTAAGCTCTTGTAGAAAGGCTTCCCTATTGTTCCTGAAAGTGTTAAGCACCTTACGTTGATAAAGTCCAGTGGAAAAGCTTGGACACAACTAGTAGTAGCACACGATCTGTTATTAATTTATTTCTTTGTAACATGACTAATATTTCGTGCAAAATGATATTGTGCTTGTAGGACAGTTGGCAACATTCAAGTACTTTATTATTTTAAGATTCGATAATGTATATCCAAATTAATTAAATAAATGCCAATGCTTGTCAATTTTGAAATGTAACGTAGAAATTGCTAAATAATTCGTACATTTCATTAATTGCTTAAACATGGACTACTATTCAACAAGTTATGTCAAGCAATTGTAAAAAACAATTATTGCAATCGCTGGCATTTTTTACTAGAAAAGGAATACTTTAGTTTTATAAGCGGCTAAATCTCAATATTAGTTTTGAGTTACAGACTCACAACTAACTTAAAAACTGTTACGCGGAATACTTGTAAAATTATTATTACGGTTATGGTAATGATATTCCAAACATAAATCATGGCTCTATCTTAATGAAATAGTAGGTGAATCTAATTACTGAGTGATTTTCTTGCATACGAGTACGCCCGTGTTATAACTACTACCATTATGATACCTAATTGACCATAAATAGCAGTTACAAAGCAGCCTGGATTGTATTATGATATTGTAATCGCAACACGAGATAGAGCAGATTAATTATTAATGTACAATGTTGCAATTATATAAATACGCGTGATCCAAATAGAAATGTCTCAAATTGACTAGTTATTCCTCTAACCCGATCAAAATATCCCAGTAAGAGTATTTCAAATTCTTCAGTAAATAGAAATTTTCAAGAAAACGAAATAGCGAACAATTTAAGCTATTATGCATTTCCTGTGTACTACGCATATGCATGCCTTAAGTAGTAACTAAGTCAAATTATTAATTTATGAGGGTTTAAAAAATTCATCATTGCAAATGCCGAAAATAGTAATTAAGTAACAAGTGACAAAGCACCAAAAGTCAACCAAAGTCATGACTTTTAGCCTTGTAGCATCGACAAAAATTGTTCGTATGGTATAACCACCTTTATATCCGTTTTGACTCTGTCACCAATCTCTTTGGATAATGGTACATTCAGCATTAACTTATCCAATGCACCAGCGTTTGGAAGGTTGAATATTATGTGGACCTAAATTCCGTGACAAGATTTAAAAATAAATTTCTATGACATTTACGACTGTACAACAACGTAAAAAAATTTATTTGAAAATGATTAGTGAAAGTAAATTTTTACCATATAGTATTACTTACCAGCCTTTCCGCAGTAACTTTAAAAATATCAACTACATGACCTAAATTCTTAGCTTTAACAGCTCGCAGCGCTTCTTGATACCAAATCTTTAAAAGTTCTTCTTGTTTTAAGCCTTTATAAAAAATCATGATGCCGTAATAATATAATATCAGCCTATTATACATTACTGTTTTAGATAGCTTATAAAAATTGCGTGAGACATACACGTACAAGTTGTTGTTTTATAGAGGAAATTTTTTATCAATATACTCTACACAAATACTATAGCTTCGAGTCAGATACTAAATTTCTTTCTCTGTAGTTATTACATTGGAATACTGTTATATGTGTGTATATTTTCACAGTTTCATTCTTAATACCTTCATAACCAATATCCATAGTAACGAGATAATAATTGGCCTTCGCATTTTCTGGGTCAAATTTAGAGGGCAAATCTTCTAAAACTTCAGAATCATCAGATAGCCTTTCTTTAAGTTCTTTATACCAGCTGTAATATGGCCTTAATAAACTTGATTTAATAGTTACTTGATCACCAAGCTTTTTCATTATCGGAGAATCAAAGCTTATTTTATCCATACTATCACACGATTCCGCTTGATATACTACAGTGAATGGTGTTAATTACATTTTAGTATGAAGACAAAACATCTAACAGAATGTCACGGTACGAACTACCGTGAAGAAATGGCTATCTAAATTTGGTTAATATAATATAGTGATAATATATTACTACTAGTTACTTACAATAGGAATTACTCTAATTAGAAATGTATTACAGTAAATTTAATGTTGTGCTGTAATGTGCACTGAAATGATTCTGTGAATGGACATGTTGTAATCCGACTGTGGAAAATTAGTTAGTAGATGTTCTCACCTAAGTATTTTATAAGATGACTCATGAATGTTAGCAGCTGTAGAAGGGTATATAAGCCCGTCAGATAGTTGAATAAAGTAGTTCTCAATTATCTAGTTGAGTTTAACGTAAAATCAAAGGCGTCTAAATTCTTGTGAGATAGTTAAGGGATACTGAATCCCGGAGACTATAGTAATTTAAAGATTTGTTTTACGTTATCTTTGTCACGAAGTTGGTTTGTGACACAGAACTGTAGCTCTAACAAAAGCGCCACTTTGTTAAAAGATACCAAATAATTCTAGTAATAAATACTGAAAATCAATGATCATTTTAATCTAAAATCTAAAATCTAGAAAACGTTAATTCATGAAAAACATATCAATTACTTCCATCATGATAGGATGTTGATTTAAATACTATATGTGATGATAAATAAAGTAGATGTTATAATTCATTTACCAAGAGCAATTATATGCTTCAGTATCTTACTGTAACGAACTCAGTAAATTGAGTATTCACTAACCTTAGCAAACTTTTAAGATAACTAATGAGCAGGATAAGTGCTACGAATTGCCAATTAATTATTATCTCATTTAAAATATTTTAAAGTTCAATTCTGCTTTATATAAGCTATGTCGTGAGCCATATATAAAGTATTAATGGACATGTCTTACTTAACGTTCTTTGTTAACTTAATTTAAATATGTTTTTTATAGGTCTTAATTATGGATTGTATGTTGTTTTCCCATAATAGGAAAAAACATTAAGTATGAAAAATTATAATAATTTAATAAGAAAACTTCCAGTTTTTAAATTATGGAATTCGTTTTTAGCTATTGCTTTAAATGTAACCCAGAATCATTTAACTTTGAAGCATTATTAAGATTAAATATCACAATAATATGAAATCATAGCATCGAAGTTAATCTTACTATACTGGTTCTATGTTTGTCAGATATCTTTATCTTTGACTTTTTCGAATTAAGAAAACTATCAGATAAAATTAAACTAAGTATTTGATTACAATTTTAAATAAAATAGAAACCTTAAGACTGTCATATGCACCATTTTTTATCATTCTAACTTAAGTTGACAAAAATCAAACAAACAAGTTAACCCCGCAACGGACAAAGAAATCAAATCGATTCATTACAGTAAATCAAACTCTTATATACAATACGGAAAATATCGATGAATTTCAGAATAAGTAATAGACTTTGATCAAGAAAGTAAAGCCGTAATATTCACTAGAGGCAGTACCTCTTCTTTTGATCACGTAGCATAGTATGTACATTACTGTACTTTATTATGGGATAAATGGCTAAATCCTATACACAATATTTACTTACCAACATAAGCCTTTCTTTCTCCAACAACCTAAGTGCGAAGCGTGAGTTAGATCAGTGATGGTTATTGTCTATACGAATTAATTTCAAAGATTTGAATTGTAACACTTTCTTTCTGAACGAAAATGCCAACCACTTAATTACCTTCCAAGCCTGTAATACAGTGCCATTTTTTTTGGATTCAAGAACTTCTTGGATTTCCTGTGTCCACGCTTCTAATAAATCAGCTTGCGAATGACCATGATAACCAATAGTAAACTCTAGCATAAATAAAAAGCCTTTATTAGCCATTTCTTGGTATTTTTTGTTGCTTGAGACCGGTGTTATATTTGGTGTAACCGTAGTATTTCGTGAATTTTTACAAGAAGCTGCTCCCATTTAAGTTAACTCTCAAAGAGGTTATAGCTACTACTGTAGTAGCTCAAGACGTATGTTTAGGCTTTATAAAGATGAAATCACCATAGTAACAACCTTATTTAATGCTAATGAAGGACTTATGCTAATTGATTTCTTAATTTACTTTATCCACAGGTGACTACTATTCTATTCTACTATACATGTTATTGTGCACAACCCACAAATTGTTACTTAGTCAACTATGATGGTAATAATATTTGGCTTGTATCGATCGATCCGGCTATTGAAACAATCCTCTAATGATGTTAAAATAATAAAAAGCTCATATCTTTTAAGAAAATTATATTTTTACTAACTTAATTTATTGTAAAAATGAAATTTATTATTCAAGTAAAATTCTATTAAAGGCCGCAAGCTATCGATAGCTTTAAAGATTTCTTGGAATTCAAGGAGATAGGGAGATATTTTACAATTCTTAAAATGAATCGTTTATGATATTAAATTCCTTAGATATCAGTCCCAAATGATTAACGCAAAATAAAAGAATATTCGATTTTATTTATTACAACAAGTAATATTATCAGGTACTTTCGTACCATGTGAGCCGCAATACAGTTAACATCACCATAAAGGTTAAATTACAGTCAGTACAGTTTAGTCTCGATAAAATGACCCCTTTTATCTTAATACTGGATAGATGAAGAATTTAATAAATACGGGGATTATTGGTTTCATTGTAATCCAATATTTATAGTAGAAAAGCACTGAATTTCAAATAGCAATTAAAAACGCAATTATCCTAGCAGAACGTCATAAAAGTAACTAAGGTACCCATAACAAATTGTATTTATTATAGTAGCGTCGACACGTAATACAGTATACGGAAAAACAGAGAAAAATCTATCAATATTGGTTGTGAATGTTAACATGATGCAACGGTAGTCTAATACTGTATTTCATATTACATATATTATTTGGAATCTTTGATTGAATATGAATTTAGTAAATTTCTTATACTTGTTATATATTACTATCCGTTGTGAGCATTGTTATTATTTAGTGTATTGATCATTCATAATGTAATAGGTAGCATTCACATATGGTAAGGTCTGTGGCAAAATAAGAGATTAATAAACAATTACTAGACATATGTTTACTTCATAATTAAGCTTGTTTTGCATCTAATAATATGTAATCAGTATTTGCATCTCAGGATATGATAACTAGTTTACCGTCATGACTTACAAGTATTGAAATCCATCTAATGTCTCGTTATAGGCCCCGTACGATAATAGTATAATAATGAGTAACGAGATTTTTTGGTTGTCTTCAGTAGTATGAAAATATAAACACTAAATTATTTATAAATTATAATCAAGAGAATCGATACGGTATGCAAAGATCAAACGATAGATTTAACAAATCTTACAGTACCCAACTTTAGATATAATGTGAAATATAAAGCCATCATATATAAATTTTGCCCTAATTCCAATCGAAGTAATATAATATCAATTTTCATGAATAATTTTTCAGCAACTGACGAATAACGATTTTATCTTTATCACATTTTCGATTACCAGGTCTCCATTTGATATTTTATCACTATGACTAATTGAATTCTATTAAAAGTTGCTATGGAAATACAAATTCTGGCGTAATAGCAGACAATTTTGGTACTTTACAGCATAAGCGCATATATGCATTGTGTTTTGCTCTGTAGCATAAATTATGAGAAAATCGCAAAAGTTTTCTACTAATGTTCTGTTATTGATTGAAGACGATCTCAGCTTTAAACTCGAGTGCTGAGGGCTCTACTGGACGCATTTAGCCTTCTTGATTTGCCATGATATATTTGCAACAGAATTATGCAAGCTTATTGAATTAAGTTTAATTACATGAAAGTTTTCAGATATTCTGAATGATAAATTTTTAACACCAAAGTAATCGATAGTACACAAAGTATACAGTCAATACAGATGATTACTTCTATAGGTATAACACATTAATAAGAGTTAGTATTGAACCATGTTTTGGTCCGTAATTTATCACCACATATCATGCATGTATATGCTCGTATATCTATATACGATGGACAATCATTTCTTGCTTACAAATACTAAGATTAAAATCACTGAAGCCAAGTTCGATCTCTGTAGTTGAGATATTAGCATAATTATAATTACTATTTTAAAAATTGCAAAGATGAAGCTTTACCTTTATTATTATCGATAAATTGTCTTATAATTTCAATAACGAAAAAAAGTACAAAAAATATTACACGCTGTTTTTGTTATTAATTTTTTTCGTAAATAATTGAATATTTATAAGATTTAGTGTTAAGATGCTTCTGTAAAGTGGCAACTAACAGATTTAATTTATTTTGATAGCTTCGCTAGCTACTATAATCCTGCAATACAGTCTTATGGAATTTTGAGTTAGAAAATACGTTAAAAAATAGAGCTGGATCTGTAGCAGGTAAACTATGGGGATGCATCTCTATTTACCAAAGATCTACTACAATTCTGTGTTGGTCTAGAGTTGTGTAATTTGTATTTTGGTAACCTTTTCGTAAAATGCTATACCAGGAAGGACGTATGTCTAAATACAATACATCTTGAAGGGCCATCACGAATTTGCCTTTATAGAACCAGTTATATCAATGTAATAGATTTATTTAATGTGATATGATATGGGTGTTATTCATCACTATCTATGTTCTATATTACTACGCTAATACATTACAGATGAGCTGAATGATGGCAATCTATTCTACAACAACATATCTAATTTAGTGTGAAGTCTTTAGATTTAGTAGGAAATTTTCACTCTTCTAATTTCTGGTTCTAAATTAGCTTAGTAGTTTACTGCAGCTATCGTATGTGGAACTTTAAAAGGCTCATTAACCGTTTAGCGTACTGTATACTTGCTTGGATTGATGATTTCCGTATACACATGTATATGAATTACTTTATATGAAGATAGACTAACACACACACAACTTGGCACGTGTAATGATGATTATTTCTATAATGATGATATATGATTTAACCCTCCAAGTTTCAATTAATGCTAATGACTTGATAGCTGTATTTAAAATAATATGTACTGCGTAACATTTCCAACTTAAAGAAAGATTTTACCATCATTATAAACTTTTTATTTATTATAAAGCATCATGATTATCTGGCAGTGAATAATTTAGTCAAAATATTCAAAATATTTCTTTGGAAAAGCTGATATAGCTGGGCGCTATCATATCATGACAGAATAAATCTTTTACTGCCCATTAGCACTTGTACGTACAGCTTAAAAATGCATAATGTAGTTGTCAGGAAAATAAACTGTAGTTAAAAAAGAAGGTTTAGAAGTGCAATATGCTTCTACGGTATAACGTAGATAGCAGCAGTACCGGTAGTGAATGCGGATATTTAAGTTAGAATCGAAAATTAAAAAAAAATAATGATATGACTGAGTATTCATGCAATAAATGAAAATCTATATGTTATGTTACACATCGTTAAAAAAGGCATACCGCAAGAATAGTAAACTATGGATTAGAAAATTATAAAAGCACAATGAACTTCTTTAGGATAAAGTCGATGCATGCCGTAGATGAAATCGCAGCAAATAATTATTTTACACGCTATCGTATATATCGTGCTGTGTTTATATTTATATGCATGCATATGACAACGCATTACCATGGTCTTAATATGTCGTTATATTATACAGATACATTGCTTATACTAATACTTGATTCGCTATCGAAGGTTTATCAAGGGATATACACAGAAGAATATTACTGGACCTATACAGTACAGGAATTTGTGACAAGTGAAATTCTATTATAATTTTATAAATTTATGAATTTATGAAACTTTTAGTAATCCGCCTAGGTCGCAATTTTCTATACGGAATTAATAAGCTTCAGTGACCTAAACTGAAGTTTACTGAATAATTATCCGGACTTTATATAGGTCTATTACAAAATATAGTCATTGTATGAGTTGAGCAGCCAGAATATTAAATAAGTATATTTTGCATATTAGTAATAGAGAAAAAATTATTAATAAATATTCCAAATTTCATAATTAACTTATGTCAAACTTTACCGTAGTGAGGCGGCGGATATTGGATTAAGAATTTTAGATATTCATTTACTTATGATTACGTTATGATTTTGGATATTACTATGCACACCAATATATTCGTTATTCTACTGTATGATTCTATAATTAATATACGGTTACATTGCGCTCATAGACGGCATTCCTCAAAATGATGTTACTTCCCAATTCATAAAAAAAACAGCGAGTACTGTCAGAGTAGAAGTAATCAGCTTTTACGCATAAGTTCTATATTTTTACGTTGACTATTTAGCCAATCTCTTGTCTCCCATATTAGTCAAGACTACTTAACTTTAGTCGTTTTTATAGTGATATACAATGCTATGTAATTCATCCGCTATTCTACTATACCATCTTATATTAATTAATTAATATACAATGCACTTATAGAAAACAGTTGTAGAAATAGTTAGCCTTCATGCATAAATTCTACATTTTTACGTTGACTATTTAGTACATCTCTAGTCTTCTATGTTGGCCAAGACTACTTAACTTTAATCGTTTCAATACAATGCTGTGTCATCTATTTGCTATTCTACTTTACAATCCTATAATTAACATACATTGCACATATAGATGGCTTTCCTTCAAATGACATTTCTCAATTAATTAATAAGGATGGCATGTGATTGCTGTCAGATTAGAAGTAATCAGCTTTCACGCATAAGTTCTATATTTTTACTCTGACTTTCTAGTCTATCAGACTCAATCTCTTGTCTTTCATGTTAGTTAAGATTACTTACCTTCAGTTATACACAACACTGTGATGGTATGTATTCACAAGATATATAATGCTATCTATCATCATAACACCGTGAAATACTCTATACCGTTAACCAGGCAACAGGGTTGTGTTTGTTTGTGTATCAGGAATTCTGACTGAATCATTCTTACTATATTCTAACATTTTTCGTATGTTTCTATAAGTAAATGAATGATTGTCTAGTCCGCTAATTATGTCCAGTACTACTTAAAAATTTAATTAGAATATACAGTATATGTATAATATATGATGCAACAGACGTACGGTATGCGTGGACTGGCAATAAAACAGTACGGTACTGGAGTATCGATAACGTTTACTTCACAGTTGCGATAGCAAACAACATTAGAAAAGAAAGAAATCTTTAATCTACTTGCAGCGCCATTCTAGATCCGATATTTATCACGGAATATCATAGGGAAGATTTTACCATCCGAAGAAAATAAGCTACAAAGTGGTTAGAAAGTTAAAATATTATTCAATGGAACAGTTGATTATAGTTATGATAATCTAGATAGCGTGAAGGTAAAATAAGTAAAAACATTAACGGCGGTAAATTATCGGTGTTCATAGATAAGTCATAAGTCATTTTCTCGGTGTTCTCTAGCAATATCTATAGTACTATCCTATCTAAATGACAACCCAATGTGATCACTTTTTAATGACGCTGTACGAATTTTTTTGTAATAGTAAAATTGAGAATCTAATATCCATGTACACTACTGATGTTGGGATAAATTGTGTTAAACTAGTGAAAATAAAGAAGAATAGAAAAGCAACGGATTAATGGTGAAATCGAAAAATTTTTGCGAAAAGAGGAGAAAAAATTGATTGGGCCAAGTTAAACTGAAACAAGCGGTATGTATATCGTGCAGAAAGTACCAGTATTTATAGTTATGATATCGTTAATCAGTGTCCAGCTCCACGAAGAAAGGTTCTTACTTCTATGGGATCGACAGTAATAGCAAAACTCGATGAGAGTAAACAGTAGAACTTACAAAGTAGCAAAGAAAATGAATTATCGGTTTTATCCGTAGACAATTGTACTGTCATCAGACATGAGTGAAATAGTACAGTACTTTGATATCTTTATATTGTGATCGTCCAAATATTTTCATTTCCATTCCTATAGTATTAAATCATTGAAAAGAAAACTCAGCCTATTCCCATTCTATACTACGGCGATACTGGACGACATCAGTAATACGATGCCGTAATAACAAAACGACAAGCCCAAAGTACTTTTTTTTTTAAATACCTTTTACTTGCTTAACTTACTAACAATAATAAAGTATTGATTGAAAAATTTATTAATTATTTACCCTCTCTGTAATAGGCTAAACCATAAATAACACATAAAATATACAAGATACATCAAGCAATTATTTATTATTATTAACAGTGAATACGCATTTTTAATAAACTTCTCAATAAAGTTAAAACGATCGATGGTGCAGCGATTTGGCTTACATTCATTTTATTAACGATCTTCTATTAAACGTGAATGATGTACCGCTATAATTAAATTAAAATTGATCCATTATTCATCCAAAAGTGATTAAGAACTCGAAGTCGATCGTATTTGATAGACATAGGAAGCTGGTTTTCAAACAGGATAGAAAATAGCTCATCCCTAATCTACTTGAAGTAAAGGCGATAAAGAATTTATAAAAGTTATAGAATCCTGTTTAGTTCGCCCATGCTATCTTGATATATTTTAAATTGAATGTTGAAGAGTGATGGCGACAACTCTCGCAATTCGTGGAGAATATGCTCCTCTAATTAATGATTATAAAGCGGAATTCTTTTGGCGACGTTTTGTAAGGACAATTTTAGGTGGACCGAATGTTTATCTTCATTTTAAAGCACCACGATATATTTATTTCTTTCAAATTTTATTATTATTTGTACCCTGGATACTTGGTGGCATTTTTACAATCTTTGTTGAACTTATTCCATCCTCTATTAACATACCATCATTGTATTATGCTATAATCTACGGAGGCATTATTACCGCTTATAGTTTTATATTACACTACATATCTTACATATTTAGCCGAAAAGTAAACGTAATTGGCTCTTTCAATCAAAATGTTCATTCCGAAGAGTTAGAAATGGAATTTACTTCATGCTGTAATCCATCTACTTGGTATTTCATCTTTGGTAATAAAAAGCATATTTATAATATAATATTGCATCCAATATGTGCTGGAGGTTTATGTGCCCTTATTTATTATTATCTTCTACCATCGAATATTATTACCTTATTTTCGGCGTCATCAGCGTGGGTTCCTATTTATACCATGGGTTGGATTTCATTATCCATTGCTCAATACTCACTAATTGTAACTTGCCCACCAGAGCCAGCAGTTTATCGTACATCACAAGTAGAAGAACTTGAACCGTATCGAAGACCATTCTATCTCGCCGCAATTGCGATTTTTAGTTTAGCGACTAGGTATTGTTATACAGAGTACACTGAATTTCTAATTTAAATGCTTAAACTTTTACATTGTGTAGAACTTTTATTTAATTTGTTGATATTATTTTTATTTGAGTTCTAATCAGTTCGTCACTGCATTTCTTCAATCAGTCGAACAAAATTTAATATAATACAAAACTGCAATGGTGCTAAAAATGTCACATTATACAGAACTATAATGCTTCCGATATGATAGTTTTAAAAAGATCTAGTATATCCTCTTAATATGATGATTGAATTGACATTATTTCATAATTTTTAAATCAGTCTACTCCAATGAATACAAAAATAATACGAATCCTGCTTTGATTTATTATTTCTTCCTTTATTCTATATTCACAAGTTACAACATTTTCTCATTAAGGTCTTCAATATTCGCATTAATTCAAATTTCTTAGTTAAGAGTACATATTAAAGTTGGAGCTGATCTAAGATAGAAAGTTACGATATCCTAGTCAGCAGAAACCAACTATTTTGCTGGCTATTTTACCGTATTGGAAGACAGAAACCGTATAATGTAACGTGCGTAAGTAACATTTTTTGGTACTCCGGAACGCACCTGTGAATGGTATAGCATACGGTTACAAATGTACGGCACAGTTAAAATGATCAGTAAAATAGTTATTCTCTACATTTTTGGCCATGAACAGTCATTGCTAGCTCCTTTCTTTCTTTCTTTAGTTTAATGTTTCACTCGAAAATTGTGTAATACCAAATTGGGTCAGATTTAACGCACAATTAAGGAAAACAATTTTATCAACTTACCATCATAGTATGGAATAAGTGATTTCGAGTCAAACTACGTAATGATGGTCTAGTGAAAATTTTACTAAATATACATTATTCTTGGAAATAGTAAGTATAAATGATATAACTATCCTTTTGTAGCTAGAAAATGTTAAGTAGTACAATGTGGATCGCCTATCAAACCTGAATCTTCCATAAAACAGTAAAAATACAACCTATAAAGCAAAATTAAGTTGATATTTTCTATTGTTTATAAATTTTACAATGGTTCTGTATTGTGATTAAAACGTGAAGAGGTAGGGCCATTTTCTTCTAAAGATACACAGTATTAATCGAGGATTTAATACAAGAGTTAAAAAATTGCTGTACTCAAAGCAAAGCACTATTTTAAAAAATCCATTATTTTATCTTTATCTTCAATAATAAAATAAGAATATAATTATTTTCTTCATCAATTGTTTAGTAAATATTCATAAACGTCGTTGCTTCCTTACAGTGATTTTTCAAGTTCCTCATACAATCACATAACTACAGTGTAGTAGCATAGTTGTTTTTTATGATTTTTTTATGTGTCCAATATTGCTATTAAACCACGGTATAACATAAAGATCAGTCGTGTTTTTCTTTCCAATCGTTATTAATATGTTTTTTATTGTGCAGTATACTACATATAACATGATATGCATTTCTTACGTCAATAAGATTGCTAAAGAAATAGTAATTAATATTCGTAATTGATATTTTTATAGTACAAATCCGAGCTTCGCACTGGTTCGAACAGTCTTATACATAGTCTGCTGTTGCTTACCTTTGTTATGGTCGTTGGGTATTTTGTCGCCATTGGATGCTTTACTACCGTGGTTAGGAGAACAATTATTAATTATCATGTATGGTGGATCTCCTATGGCTAACGATATTAGGTATGAAAAATACTGTATACGCCTATTATTTAGCATTCATTGCTATTCTCTTATTACGGTCAAATTTTCAGCGACAAAGGATAATTTAACCTAACACTAACGCAAACTATTGACTTAGAATAGAGAGCTGTAGCATATCTCCTATAGTCGGATTTTTGACTGAATTTTAGAATAATTCTACAGTAGTACGTATAATCAATACTGCAGATTTAGCTTTGTAAAAGACAGGAATATGCAATTTAATGAATTACAAAAATTATAAACAATATGATAATGCTTTAAATTATCTAATAAAAGTAATATCATTTCATCAATTACACATCGCGGTTATGCTGGTATGATAGGAATTGTTAAAGTATAGGCCTGACGTTAACGTCATCACATAGATTTGGGTTATAGTACATGAATCAATACATTTTCCCGAATGCTAATATTGGCGATAATCTTTCAATATGTCATAATTGTCTGAGAAGTATTAGTGACAAAGATAAATCTATTATCGAAAAGGGAATTTTCTGTACAATAAACAATTAAAGATGTAATTAATACCATATATTAATTTATCTCTAGGTTATTGATACAAGTTGTCTTTGCTACCTGCATCTTCTTACCAACATGCTTTATTTCGGCGCCAATCTTTACCATTATTTATTCTGCTTGCTTTGGATATCTGTTGAGCATTGATCTATGCGGGTTAGCTCTTCCATTTTACTCTAAAATAAGAAAGAAAACCAAGCATAATCCGCTGAAATCACCGCTAATTTCATGTCAGTCCTCTAGCGTTTCCACAATGGGATGGAAGCTGGGGACAGCTGATTATATTATTCACGTCGTCATGTTAGTTCTTGTTACTAGCATCGCAACGGCTACATCAATAATATCCATAAATTCTATCATCACTGCGGCTACAAAAACCATAATTAATTCTGTATTAATGTATACTTTAATTGCCTTATTAATACTGATTAAAATAACCGGAGACCTTCAAGGCGTTTATTTATTTTGGGGTTTACTGCCAAATCCATTTTATCCTCGCTCAGCGGATACTAAAGAAAAATTTCTGAAAAGAAAGAAACAAATGAAATTTTTGGGCATACTCTATCGTGTCCTTTTACTTATAGGTATAAAATACTGCAGGATGGCATTAATATTTGACTATTACTGCCAAGGAGATGAAACTTTGAATGAAAACTATTGCTAACACAAAACTGAAATATTTTAACTTTCAAAATTAATTTCTAATTTGTTATAGTTGCTCCGCTTCTAATGCTCGCATACCTTGGTTTAAATTTGAATGTAACCGCCGGAACAAATACTCTATCATTATTTGTGTTTGGCTTAGGAACTGTTCGAGCTACACGATGGGTAAGATCTTTAAACAGCGATAGCAGTTGTTGTAGCTGAATTAATTTGATTTTTACTATTGCTATACTTTATTTATCTTTCGCCATTGTTACATTTACTGACAATTCAGCTTGGACTTGGTATACTTCATTTACAGTAATGCAATCTATCTGATTAAAATGTAATTTATGTTATGTATCAATAATTATTCCATTTAGGACATTGTATAAAGGTCTGACTTATTGCAATACTCGTATCAATAAATAATCACCTAAATTTTTGTTACTTTCAGGTTTGGCAAAGTACTATACATGCCCTGTTCGAAATGTCAGTTGTCTTTCTCATTACACTAATTTTACCAAGTAACAGCACGTGGATTAATTTTGGTCTAGGTTTACAACTTTTCATCGTAGCCGTAGCTCGAAATCGATTGCAACTTCTAGTAGGTAATCTGTATATGGCGACATTACTAAGCGTAACAAGTTACACCATTAAAAAGCAAAGAGCAAGATGGACGGTCCCGTTGTTGGTTGTACTTCTTCTTACCCTACCCATTTCTGTAGCCATGATTTTATTAGCATCAACGCTATCAGCACCATTATTACCACTTTTTACCGCCCCAATATTCTTAGTAGGATTTCCACGTCCAAGGCGTATTTGGCCCAACGGTGATAACGATGCAGCATCTCGATGCCAGGATGCAGTCTACTATCAGCAATTATTGCCCGTATTATCATCTGCTTTAAGTAAGATGATAGGTAATGGTGTACTAAGAGAACCTTCTCCAGGTTCACAGTATCTTTTACGTTTTCAAGACAGACTAATATGGGTAGTTGTCCTGGAACGTGGCTATGGCTATTGCAATCTTAATATTAAAGGCTTAGAGATGCAGGAAACGTCATGTCATACAGTTGAAGCTGCTAGAATTGATGATATTTTCCAGCTAACATTTGAACGAGGAGAACGAGGACAGTTCTGCCAATTGAATCGTTACTTTTTTAACATATTGCAACCTGTCGATGCTACATACCTTAAAACCTATTCAGATGCACGTAGCGTCTTGACTGGTATTCTTGACTCACCGGATAATATCAAACTATTGACATCATCATTTGCAAATACTTTAATTTGGACTCTTGGGCAGCATTTAATCATTCCTCATTTGCGCCAGATATTATGCAAAAGTGATCCCAATGCAAAACAAAAACAAAATAAATCAAGCCTTGATCAGCCGGCGATACCGAAAGCTGAAGTAAGAAACCAACGAAATAGTATTGAAAAGGATACTGTGTCTACCATTCCTGCACCTGGTAGTAGAATGCTAATTAAGCGTAATAAAGATGAGGAAGACTACGGCAAGGAGAGGCACGACCGCTCATCAGTTGCTTCAGAAGTTTTACACGATAGATCAAGGAAGAAATCAGTTAGTGATAGTATCTGGTCCGCAGATGATCACGATTCATTATTTGGAAGTGATGATGATGCTAGAGAACGTAGTAATGGATTAGCTTCGCAACGTAAGAGCAAAGGCGCAGCGTTTCCGAGAGACGATAGTTTCCTCTCTGCAGCTAATTCAGTTGTTAACCATGGCGATGAAGACAACTTTATTTTTGGTAGCCCTGCAGTCGACGTAAATAAAAAGAGAGCTAGTAAGGGTACAACCGGTGCTGAAGGTGATAGTATCTTCTCCATGCCTAATTCTGTTAGAACAGACAGTCAATGTGATCAAGATCAAATTATTTATGCTGGACCTGCGGTAGATATTAATTGTAAGAAACAGTCTATACCGACAATGAATTATAGCAGTTTATCGGGTTATGCCTTGAAAGAGGAACCGTTATCTCTAACTGAAAGTTGCGATATGGATCATAATTTTAGTCGTGTTAATTTACTTTACTTAAGTAAGAAGTATAATATTGAGTTACCACCAAGATGGAATGATTTACCTATTGACGCAGATTTCTTAGACGACTTAATTAAGCGTTATTTCCGTCAAGATTGGTTTCAACACGTACTAAATCGTTTAGCGGAATCAAGCGATGACGATAAGGAAAGGGAAAAAATTAAAGCTTTGGCTACAGATCAAGAGGCCGTTCGGATCTTCGCTGAAATTATTATGTTATGCTACGCTGCGGTTGACGTCTTTGGAGTTCCAGGCGGTAATGCTGAAGTTGCTAGTATCGAACATATTTATCGATCCTATCAGGGAAATATTTCCCCATCATCGCAACTCAGTTGGTTATCGGAAAACAAGGCCTTACAAAATGCTATCATTTCCGCTTACAGGTATTACTTTATACTCATATTTTATATCGGACCATACTAAAAATCGGGTAGATGCATCAGTTTATCATTTCCTGTAAAACGTTACAATTCAATGTCATAAAGCTTTCTTACGAAGATGCATCCGATGATAGCACCTCTAGTTATTTCAATTTCATCCATTCTTTATGCTTATCGGTGTACTTCGGAATTTGATCGTCATAAAGCACGAATTTTGTATGGATAAAACTTATACTGAACCCGAATTTTTTAATTTTATGTCTAAATTCTTAAATGCCCGCCTATATGTGGCAAGATGAATAGCTTTTTATTGATTAATTCCTTTTAGTATAGCAGTATTTTCGAAATAGAAGATTAACAACTTGAATTTTCGATAACCAATATTAGGTACGCGGTCAAGTTAGTCTATGATACGGCTATACTAGGAGAAGTGACTAGCCTAGAAGAATTATCAGAATATTTGCAAGAATATGATAATGAATGGACAATTGGAACTGACAAAAGTCTGGAATGGTCTGAAGGCATCTTAAAGTCTCAGCCTCACCTCTATTCTTTAGATTATAACAAATCGGAGGTAAGTGTATATGATATTATGCACTTATTCTAGCATTATTCTAGTCATACTACAGTTTATATTACTGTAATAGGGAAGGTTTATAACACTGATATTTAATAAAAAGCACCTACGCTATGCAAAGTTGCAGTCGATTCGAATCTGACAAGAGTATTTTTTGTATCGTCATAACTTGCGTAAATCGTGTTCACTGTTTTAAGAAGGGATATCTATTTTCGATAGGCTACCTATACAACTCGTCTTTTAACCCTACAAGACGTTCTCATTCATGTGGGCATACTAAGTTCTGAATGTATCCAGAGCCAATGGAGTTCTTTAGCTTTAGAATTATTATATTTTACTAATGACGACGAAGAACGATATAGTATACAAGCCCACCAAGCTATCTTACGGAACCTCACCGTACAAGCTGCTGATCCACCACTAGGTTATCCCGTATATGCTAGTGGAGCATTATCTATACCTCTATTCAAATAATTTATTCGCTAAGAGAATAAAAGCAACATTATTATCGTTGATGTTTAAATTTAACTTCCTGATCAATTGCGAGCTATACTAGATTGATATCATTTCATGAAATTATTCGCATTAATCAGATAGTACGTGTGATACTACTCTGTATATAAAATGTATCCTGTGATAAACAAGATATTGGAACCGTTTTCAATTTCAGGCTGATAATTTTCTGTACAATTGATATACTGCACAGTGCACAGGTGTACATGTAAATACGTTTATTGCAGTGAAAATCAGGACTTACAACTATTTCGGTTGTATAACAGCCAATAATATAGCTTGCTATTACTACAAAATATAGAAATTTTAGATACATGAATTTTAATGATAGTTTTCTTCGACTTTTTATTTTCAGTATCGCAACTTCTATTATTTACAGTTAATGTAAATTTATTTATAGAGTATATCTACGGTACTGTAGATCTAGAAGTCCATGATAACACGTATTGTATACCCTTAATTATTATTAATAAAAATTATTTAAAATATCAAGTGTACAGTACTGCATATTTTATTTATTTTATTAAGGGCGATGGACAACGTTCATATTTCAAGGTTGTTACACTACACACTACAGTATACTGGACTGACCATATCAGTCAGGGATATTTAGTGAATATTTTAACGGGCACCACCAGATAGTGCTGTAGACGTCGAGCGATTGGACGTCCAACGGACGTTCGATTTTGGACGTTCGGTATGTACGTTCGTTGTCAGATCGGACGTCGACGAACTGTACTGTACAGTGTACAGTGTACAGTACAGTGTATACAGTCAGTTTGTATAATCCCACCCCAATACTATACAGTACAGTACAGTACTGTACATACAGTACAGTAGTACAAACGTCTTTTACAGTACAACACTTTGTATTTCAGAGTCACTACTGTACAGTAGTGCAAACTCCCGTCGCTTTACTGACGGTTTACGATAATGTGCTCATTTAACAGAGGTTCAGTAACTTTATACCGTACCGTGTAGACCTGTCAGAGGTTCAGTAACTTTATATCGTGTACTGTGTACAGTACTGTACTGTACTGTAATGTACTGTATGCTGTACTGTACAAATGCACGGTTACTGTACAGTACAGTGTACACTATATACTGTAGTGTTAACACTGTACACTGTGTACGTTGGTACGTTCAATGAACGTCCGACGTTCAAATTGGACGTTCGCACGTTCGTTCATTAAAACTGGCGAACGTCCACAGTACTACCACCAGATCTAACAGTACTGTACAGTACAGTACATCATGGATATCAGAGACTACTGAGAGAGAGAGAGAAGGACGGAAAACTGATTACAGTACTGTACTAACAAACGTCTGGTCCGACCATACTTTACAGTACTGTATACTGTACAGTACAGTACTGTACTGTACAGATTCCTACAGTACTGTACTGTACAGTACATCAAAAATACAGTTTATTGCACTGTAGTGTGTACTGTTCTGTACTGTACTGTACTTAGTATGAAAAGCTGGCATGATCAACATGGGACGAATCATCATTTTTTCGCATGGTCAAAAGCACTTCGACAAAATGTGGATATCATGTTTTATCATGAGTGCGAAAGTACCATGGTTTCGACGGCTGGGGAATTTCTGTGTAGAGTAGTCCCTGGCTTTAGTTGTTACATACCGAAATTCGAAGCGTACGATGGAATAGTACAGAACTGTGCGGTACATGTACAGTACAGTATACTGTAGTACTGTATGGCCTGTAAGTACAAGACTTGCAAGGTTTCGCCTTTTGGAGGAAACCGTATCAACGAAAACTTACATACTGTACTGTTCTGTACTGTACTGTACAGAACAGTATACAGTTTTGACTAGAGATAATATACAGTACAGTACTGTACTGTACACTGTACAGTACAACTGTGCTCTACTGTAAAACTTAAAATTGTATCTGTAAACCCTACATCTGAGCTCGACATGGTCAACGTTGTCACGTTGCAGGCATACAAGCCGAATCGGTTATTATAATTTCACTATTTATTTGCTCTAGTCGTTTATTATAAAACAGGCACAGTATACGTACATTGTACTTAGTAACTTCTTCCTGCAAAGATTATTGTCCTTACTTTCAGTACAAACTAATCTACTGCGAAGCTCGTCATCAGAAGAAGTGCCCAACTGCTCATACTGATCATAAATAATAATTTTATTTGTAACACTGGATTAATCATTGATAAGATATACTTCGTTGCTTATACACTACACTATAATGGCATCTCGAAATTTTAAAGTTGGAACTGTCTATACCAGGTTTGTATTATTTCACGAAATATAGATTAATTGACCTTGATATCCTTTGGTATTTCTGTAGATCATTTAGTAATGATAGCACTAGCTCATGTACCGTCGTATGTTGCCATCCTCAAGTATTAAGATTAGTTATTTGAGATTGCTGTATTTTATCAATAATTATTGAGATCTCTCTACTATTAGTATTGATGGTATTATACAAGTACAGTACGCTGAGCACAGTAGTTGTAACAAATGATGCAGGTATCCTATCGAGAAATTGATATTTTCGATGTCCTTAATTTGAGGCTCATAACTGGTTCGTATTTTATTAATGGGTATGTTAGAGTATTAGGACTATTAAAATCTGGAGCAATTAAGCAAAAGCCCTTGTGGTTCGATATTGTTGAAACCTTCCCACCTATTTTACCGACAATGCATAATCGTGCTCCAGTACCCGGAAGAGCAAGAAAACTACAGTATTGGGAAGATGAAGTCAGAGAGTTAGTATAATCATTATTAATATGATTTTAATCTTCGAGGCATACGTGTAGTTTAACTTTCAACTTGAAGCGTTGATCAGAATTAACCTTGATTTAGCTATTGCAATAATCGAAACTTCTCATTTTAGAAAGTTTTATAAGGAATTTAAGTTCATTGAACCTGTTAACTTATATGAAACTGACAATAAACCAACAATATGTGATAGGTTTGTGCCCCTTTACTTGGATTCTACACCAAATATTAATATCAATAACTCTTGCTGTTATTTATATATATACGTATATATGCAGTACAGGATCGCATATGTGAATTATAGTTATTGTAACAATTTGGTTACAAGTAACTCAAAAGCTAGATATATATTTCACCTCATCACTTTTTCTATTCTTGGCTCTTGCAGATTTATTATGCACTACGAACAATTCAGTCAAGAAGAAACAGATGGTGATGTTGCATTTGCAAAATCAAAGGAGGCATTGGAACAAGAAGGAGTAACTTTTAGTCGAATTAAGGTCGTAAAATTTGAAAACAGATTTAACAGTCAATAATTATGCAGTATAGATTAGATTAACTTACGGTTGCTATTGTGTTATACTGATAGAATTTTAAGGCAATGAGAAGTTAGCTACCTGATATCAATTGACAGACACAAGTCTACATTTTTGACACGTCTTTAAACTTTGAAAAATTATAGGAAAAGGAAGAGAAAGAAGCAGTTCCTGTTAAAGAAAATACAGCTAGTGAAGACAATGCTTCAATAGAAAATATCTTTCAATTGTAGCTGTGTTGCGGTATTGCTGTGTTACGCATTCATATTGTTGCTCATCATAGAAATTTTGTAAATAAATATTAAGCCGTTTGAGGTTATTAAATATCAATCGCATTTAAATTTAATTCGCGTATTAATACTGAACGCATCGCTTTACTTACTGAGATAATTGTACTGGACAATTTCTGTAAAATATCTTATCAATACTTAAAGGTTTATATTGGCTTCTAGCGTAACTGATTTCTTCGAAGTGGTATATAGGGTATAGTCAAGATCCGGTATTTAGTATTTCTAGTTCACGCGTATTTGTTACTTTACAAACCGAATAATGATCCACCTTTGTAATATATCCACACAATATTAATCCGACATCAAAATATTTCTGTGAATGCCTTTAAATTGATATGTACCTCAGATGATAGTAAATCGTAAGAGATTTTATCTAGGAATTCATCAAAGCAAAGCGTTAATAAGCTATGAAATCACTAGTTTAAAATTATCAGATGATCACTAATTATTACTCATAAACATGATAACAGCGTCAACAAACCGCCTTCAATGACTTCATCCACATATTTTCCATCATCCGACACTGGAGAATTTTCAATAGGAGAACACCTACATAATCATGTTGATTAATTGTTATTTATGCTATAAGATTACTACTGTACTTTTTACCACTTTTGAAAAAAATTGTTAGGCAAAGCGAAATACGTATGCAATAGTTGAGATAGTTGAGAAGTAAGAAATTAATCCCATGCATGCCGAGAAAACAAGGCATGCATTGTAGGTATAGAGTCCTATGATTAAAGGTTTGTTATCATTAACTAATCAGGGGAATCAGAATGCAGGTTTTTCTTACGGAGTATTTTCTGCGTTTCTTCGAAACTTCTTCATTAATGCTTGATAAACAGTTTTATTACACGGCGGTTCTTCAGCTAACACAATAGGCAGCGGATTTTCAACTTGGCACTTGAATAAGGATACTATAAATTCATTATAAAGATATATGCCGAGTTATAACAGTATAATTGATGCCTACGTGTAACACATACCGATACTATGAATACTGAACTATTCTTCACTATTAAATTTAGTCTATCAATTCAAGAAATACAAAGGGAGACCTTCTATATTTTGGATTTAGTGATTATTTCATGTACTTTCCTTTTACCTACCTTCTCTGGATAGATCAGTAGCATATGAATGTTTACCGACCATACTGATATGTGCGCTGTTATGTACTTGATCTTCGATACTGCGTATTTCTTCTACTACAGGATTATTTAAATTGTACTTTGCGAGTTTGCGTAAGCCGAAGTCTACACTTTGACTTAAGAAATATGACAAATCTGATAAGTATCACAAGTCATGCGAACTTTCCCATAAAAATTGTTATTTGTAATCTACAATTTTTTGAAACGGAAATTATCGAAATGTGAATTTTACGTAATGGTAATGGTAAAAATAAAATCATTTTTCTATCACTGAACCACTTCGTTTAAGGATTAACAGAAACTTAATCCATAGCTTCATACATCTGATGTAAGTTAGTAAAGCATGATCCGTGATCCTCCTGTTCGATGTGATATTTTTGAAATTCAAGACCTATATCCGTAAATTGACAAATTTAAGTGTTATTTGAAACTTTTAAAAAGATTTTAGTATATTTGCTTATATGATGTACTTTGACACGTTACAACATTTTTATAATTCTCAGATTTGCCATAAGGTGAAACCTAGTCATTTATACAAGTTTCTATATAGCGATTTTAAAATTTAATGGTTACCTCTTGTGCCTGGTTTTGTTCCCTAATTATCGTAATATTCAAATATAATGATTTATCAGCCAACATCAAGATTTTCAGTAAAATGATTAAAGTAGTACCTTTAATATCAAGGATTTCCTTCGATTAGCCACCGAAGGCATATATTTACTGCAAAGGGTCGCTTTGCGATTATGATCTTGGGATTTTATTCGCTTGCCTAAAATAAATGACACTATGAAAGGTTAAAAGTAAACTACTATGTGAAATAAAATTTTCATTTTCTTAGTAAAAAACTTAAGCTGTAGTCAGGGTGTTCCGTTCTATAGATAAGATATACCATGATTTAACAATGTTGTCCCCTTGCAGTTCACGGTTTGAGATATTGCTTTTTGCTGTTAAAATATTCACATCCCAGTATTAGAAAATATTTTACTTTTAAATTTATTATAGTGCACATTTAAACCAATCCACACAAGTATTGTGAATCTGCTAGAGTATTTAAACTAACGGTTTACATAAAATATTATATGTAAATATGATTATATTATTATCTTTCGAACAGTTGTACGGACCTTTGATTCGGAAGAGTTGTTTGATAGTATTTTCTCTAAAGCAGCAGATAAAACAAAAATAAACCATCTACTGTAAGCCTAATCCTAGGTCTATTATAATTATTTAGAGCCTTACTTTATTACTAGATTTAAAAATTTAATTCAGCTCTTAAATTAACTGTATACATTATTGGTTTTCTTTAATAATGCCGGCTATATCCAACTAAATTACTGATTGACTACGATAATTTTTCAGTGAATAGTTCTTCCATATTTTTGCGCAAAATTGAATAAATACTAAGCGACGAATTTGTAGATATAAACTCTTGGTTATTATCTGATGACTTACCCAACTGATTGGAAGACATTGCCAGCAAGGTCTATAATTTAATTCAATGAAGCCTGAGAATAAGTGTTGCAATGAATGATTTGCCATTTCTGAAATTTACAAGGATATTACCTCTTCCGTCTGAAAATTTTTTCCATTACAATTAGGTTGACTCATTTGAAAAGCATGTGCCAACTTCATTCTTTTATGGATATCTAAACCAACTAGAAAATTATGAAAGGAGATTAATAATATTACCAAAGTGATATATATATAAAAAAATAATACACCTCAATATTATTGACTACACTGGCAATTAAGCTTAAAATACATTTACAGTAATTAAGCGACGTAAAACTTCAATGTAAATTTATCTATCTACAAATTAAAGTATCCTCCATTATATGTCATTAAAAATATTAAAGGCGTCTTAAATAGTATAAATTTTACCATAAGTTAGGTTAATTAAATCCAAATATATTTCAGATATATTATCGTTGTTTGGTAGGATGATGTCTCTTTGATGTATCACTTCCGTAACTAAGAACTTTGTACTGCGGTAACAAGTATTATAGATGAGTAGTCAATGAGCAAAATTATGCCAGAGATGACTGATTTAAGTCTATTTTCCTTATAAAAGTACTTGGAAAAGTAGTAGAAGTTATATAATGCGATGAACGTCAAACATTGTCGACGTACGAAAATTCTCGGCAATATAAAATTTCAGAGTTACTTCCAATAACCAGTAAAGTAGTGCTAGGTACTATTCCGTTTCTGTTTAATCGCTGTAACGTTTTGGCATTAAGTACCGTGATACTTAGTGTCAAACAGGATCTTTCTTTGTGGGAGTCGATTTTCTGTTGAAGGTTGAAATTAATTGTTAGGTTATCATATTTGCATCCAATGTTTCTTGTATTATTTTGATACAAGTTAAATCCTCTGCAGAGATTTTTTAATATCTTATATTAAAAATACCTGTTTGACGTCTATTGCGAATCTAGGAAAAGTAGCTGCAGCATCACAAATCTATGGATATATTAATATATTCACATCTGTAACAATTTTTAGTACCGGTATTTTGAATTGACTTCTACTATTTAGATCACAATTCAATCATATCAAATTAATAATAATAATAAATGAAGCCAATAGTTCGAAGCACTATCTTTCATTTTTTATTACAGTAAACAAAATTACCTGATTTCCGAAAGGCGGACGTCTGCTTAATAACTGTATAGAAATCGCAAAATGTAAAATTCTTAGGGCTCTGATTTAATTAATACGTTATCATAAAGGTACATCAGTATCTTACAGCCTCAATTTTACTTGGATTTGCACTTGCAATTAAATCGAGTTTTATTAATCCTGCTTTGACTAGAGCTGCGGCATATTTGTTGCCTAGTATTTTAAGAAAGGTAGCTTAATATTGAATCTACTTTAGATTAGATTGAAACATTTACGTTTTTTGAATCGATATTTTTTACATGATTTTGCATATACCGATGTACTTAATTTGTTTTGATACGAAATGAGAATTTTCCCATAATCTATAAAAGAGATACTTCATATTAAGTCTCTATAGTACGAATACATAGAATGTAAAACTAGATAAAATATTTAAAAATTACTCGGCTCTGAAGCATTTAAGAAGGATAGCAGTGCAAATTAAGGCATAATAATTATTTTTCCTTAAAGAAATTTGATAGAGCCCTGTATGAATATTAAGCATTGAAAGCCACGTTAGCAATACAAAAAACTTCCATGAAATATATTGTTCGTTGTGTTTAGGCATTTATGGAGCTTACTAGATTGTACCCACCTTTAGCTAGCCTACGACCAGTCTGAAGTATGGTCTTTAATAAGATGCATAATATGAAATTCAATAGTAGATAAATACGTGCGCTTAATTTTAATTTAGAGTAGCAAATTAACATGCAATCTGTTTACCGCGGTTTCAGCAGCCAAATAATTTGGAATGGCAATGCTATCAAAAGTTGCTTGAATAAGACTGTTCGGTACAGAAATTGCAGGATATACCAAATGATAGTTTTCAACAGGATAATATGGATATTCGTTAATATATTAAGATTTGTAAAAAATAGGATATTTGGATTTTCCATCTTCAAATAAGTAGTATGGTCGAGCAGATATTGCATTAAATTAATTAAAATCTTAGTAAAGACCTATTAATTTTCATGAATTTATCCTTGATTTTCCCTTTCATAGGAAACCTTTAAAAAATTTAACACACTTATTAAATAACTGCGATATACGCGTATTATGAATAAATCTTAATATAAGAATTGTAGCTAGATCTGCGTTTGCATTTTTCATCGTAATCATTGGAATCATTATCTAAACCAATACAGCTATTACCGAATAGACTGGGGACCTTTACTTTGATTTAAATTATTTAAATCTTTCTTTTCGCCTTTTCTTAGCTGTATTTCACCGAACTCTGGACACTTCGAAATTGTCATGATCTAAAATAGATCCAATCTTGTTTAATTCCTCTCAGTATGTTAATTAAAACTTAAGCCCTATGTCTAAAATCTTACCATTACAGCCATAGTATTCTCATTGGACGCTTTCATCAAAATTTTCATAGTCTCTAAAGAGAGTGAGTTTTTAGCCATAATTTTTCCTTCATCTAATTATGAAATATCATATTTATAACTAATCAATCTGAGCCTATCTAGAACATGGGTAAAATTTTAAAGGCAAGTGCTTCGTACTGCAAATATTTTGCTAAAACAATCGCTAGATTAAATAGTAACGACCAGTTACCTAAGCATCGGTGACAATTACAGTACTACCTGCTGGAATTATATATAGGTTATCTATTATATTGATCATAGAGGCCTCCAACAGTACTGAAAGACTGTTTTGACAAAGCTCTGCAAAGAATTTTAAAATCTAATCAGTTGCTGATTTAAAAATCAATATAAAATTTGCATTCAAATATTTTAATTTCCTTGAAATTGCAAAAGTTACATTCTTTTTGTATAGATGATGATAAAAAGACTCACTCAGCAAGTCATTCTCAATTCCCTCTTTAGTAGTGAGATTTCTGGAAGCTAAAAAAATTTTAGTACCAGGAATTTCTTAGTAAAATTTCATGGACTAATTCCTTACAATAGTATGAAGGATTTTTTCTCATTCTGATATATAGATAAGTTGACTTCAGCCACTTCATGACTAGAGAAATATTATTGATAGCTCCGGATGCGATTTGTGCATTCATATGTTCATTTAGGTTACGATGTAAGCTGTTTAGAAACCTCATCGTTAAAAGATCTTACGGAATTTCCCTACTTGTTGTGATTGCTATCATTCCATTCGAAACTGTAGTTAATAGGAAAAATGTTTCTTACTTGCTTTCAATCATTTGGGTTCCTAAAATAAGAGTCTCATATTTGTCCTGGAAATACAAATCATTCAGTGATGAGTGCAAGGCAGTTCATATTGAGCATATAATCAACTTGGTGAATGAGTAAATAAGAAAGATTTTTATATAAAGCCTGATAGTGATAATATATCTTCATCTTTGACAACCTTTAGGACTGGCTTCGTCATTATTACGGCAATCGCTTTGGTATCGAACTTGAAATTGTAACACACCTTCCCTTAAACATTTATAGTTGTTTAATCTTATAATATAAATCTCTACAGTACCTGTGGCCTACCCGCTCTTCCAATCATTTGTATTATCTGTGCTTCTGAGTACTCTGCACCGTCGTATCGATTAGTTGACATAATTATCACCAAGTGAGCAGGAAGGTTTACCTTGGCAAGAAATTCATGAGATATCTTGATTAACAATTAAACCTGACAACAATAATGCATAGTGAGCCTATTATTAAAATTATTTCTAATATATGAAGTAAGTAAATGTTTAGATAATTATTAGTATCCATTAATTGAATAACATGAATAGATTTTATTTAGGTATATTGCAATTGAAAAGACAGTTTTATGACTTACTCCCATCGATAATGTGCTTGTACAAACTTGAAATCGGCAAAATATTATAGTGATGAATATGATAATGTTCGTAAATTTACCGTAAATATCATTGATAGAATTTCATTAGTATTGAATAGTATTAGTAAGCTAAACGAGCGGTACGATAAGTTAAGGAGGGAATGAGAGGAGATTATATGCATTAGCAGTAATTATGCAATTCTAAAGTGTATTATAGCTCTGATAGATGGATTGAAGTATTAACTAATATTAACCTACTTTAAAATATCTGATGCAATAGATAGCAATCATACAAACTGAAGACTATTTGATTGACACATAGGCTTGTATTGCTAATGTACGGTATAGGTCACCTATATTTAATATAGCATAACGTATTTATGGTATTTATCAGTAATTAAATAAACATACATAAGACAGGAAGAACGCTAGAGGAAAACAGTGACTCAAGTATCTTTCTTTCCTGAGAGTCTAGCCCAGCATGGTGATAACCTACTCCTCTACGCAAGCAGTCTTAATTTATTGCAATTGAGTAAAATAAATACAGATATCGGTTACTTAAAAATTTAAAACATTAATTTCTACGTGCAATATACTAATACTTGAAGGAGTTTAATCGAATTACGTTATTATTTGATAATTTTTAAATCGAATATTCTAGAATACCCTGTAGTTTTTTATTTTTTATATTTTGACTTTCCTTGTACAACCTAAATTAATGTTTTAATTATAACAAAACGTTATAAAGCACTGAAATGTCGTTACTAGAATGCATCTGCTAACGTATGTAATAAACCTTTTTAGTGATTCTTGATCAGTTGTAAATTTTGCATCCTTCATCAGAGTGCGTGCAGCATTTTCAGTTGTTATTCGGGAATTACAAAACTGGTATAAATAAATATATAAAAATTGATGAGTATTTTTAATTAAAGTTATGAATGATATATCATAGTTATTATAGAATAAGTACGGCATTTACAAATTAATAATAACTAACGATAAGAGTTGGTTTTGAGTCAGCGTAGTTTAATAGTACTTCAGCTATTTGATAAGATAGGAGAACATTATACTGGTATGTAGTCCTACTTTCAGGTTCGTAAGCTAGTACTACTTTCTTCAATTGTACAGGTCGGTAGCTGTCATCAATTCTATTTAAAGGTAATATTATGGCTTTGATATTAAGATAACACAAATTAACACCGATGAATCTTACATACCTGAAGTAAGAAGAATTGCAATTTGGTAATTCTAACCATTCAGCCACCTGTACATTAATGGCAACGCTTAATTCAATTTTATAAAATGATCGATACAACGCTGTATATGGAAATAAGAGCAGATCGTTCGATATCTAGACAAACGATAATTTCTGCTTCATACATAACAAGAAACTATACAGGTACTTGTAGGGCATTATTTGTTTATCTTAAAAATTAAATAATAACAGAAACGCTACTACTAACGGGTGTTTAGATTAAGATAAAAATGAAATTAGATTTATTCAAAAACTGTACTTGTAAATTTATTACAAGCTAATGTGTAATATAATTAACTTCGGAATTTCTACATACGTCTTGTGCGTTAGGAATGGTTGCAGAGATTGCTAGGAAGCGAAGCTTTTCTTCAGCAGCAAATCCTCTGTCGTTCGCTGAGATGTGATATGCTTTTATACGACTTATCACTGCTTCTAGAGTTGCTCCGCGTGTGTTATCGTTGAGAATATGGATCTTTTAATTTATAACGTAGCAAAATTAATTTATTAATTTCCCTCACACTGTGAAAGAGTAAGGGTTACTTATTCAGAAGTTTTTATGTTGCATTAATGTATGATCGATTAAAACTAGTGTTATAATTGGCTGAAAGCAAATTTTATGATTTTATAGCAATGGCTTGATAAAGGAAACCTCATCAATTAGTATAAGGCTTGCTCTTTCTATGATTGCACGATTTTGCGTTCTTGTTAACATATCTAATTTTTCCTGCAATTTACAAGTTAATTTATGTTTTAAGGGAAAAAACGAGTTACTTAATTAATAAATAAAGAAGTCAATATCGTGGTATTATGTCAATTTTAATATGCTAGCTAGCACATGCTATACATACTGGGGTAGTTAAGATAATACTGGCTTTCTTCAGACGGTAATAATCCTCTACGCTAGTATCACTTGTCATCCCTACGCAGTTCAACTTGTGTGGAGAGAATTTCTTTGACCAGTCAAGGTAACGCTCACTACATAATGCTTTTAGCGGTGCAACTGTCGATATTGAAGATCGATATCAAATAGTAGAAGTTTAATAATCATTGTAATTTCTATGGCAATATTATTTTCTAACATCAGATATTTATCCAAAATATTATTATGCTTACTGTAAATGATTTTTGCTGTTGGTTTATCAACTTTCATACTAGCCATTAGTCGGACTATCGCTAACTCTAAAATCACTGTTTTACCTGAACCAGTGGGAGCACTTACTATAACTGATTTATCGGAATATAATACCTTAGAATAAATGAGTTAAAAGGCCAGTTAAAGAAAGTATATTATAGTCAAGAAATACTTGTTTGAACTTCAAACTTACGTCATTCATAACCTCTGATTGGACATGATTAAAATCCGAAAAAGGAAATAAGGATCGAAATTTTATCGCTATAAAATATAACATAGGCGAAACATAAAGGAAATCACTTTGTTAAGCAAGGGTAATTTTCAACAGTACGAGTATACTATGCCATACGCAATAGTAGCATTGGCTGGAATACAATCTTATAGGCTCAAATGATATCAATTTTTTTATTATTTTAATAACTGCACTGATCTTAGATAATCGAAAATTGCTCATAAAAAATCTTGTAAGTGTTGAGCGTAGAAAATCAATTAATATCTTTTATGAAGAATCTCTTCTACTAGTCGATTAAGTACGACTACTATAATAATATAATATATACGCATAATCATAAATTTCTCTACTTATGATCTTCTGCGTACGTAGTTCATCCGTTGAACGTAAGGCACATGGATTACTATTTTGAGCTTGAAAAAGTAAATAATTCAACTTGGTATTAGTGTCTATCCAATATCAGTTGTAGATACATTTATAGCACTACAATTTTCGATTATTAAGGTTTCGGTTAGAATGTCGTAAGACGGTTAAAGAAAAGATCTACCTTTACGTATTCCTGAAGAGATTTGAGTGATGCTCATGATGACCTATTCCGTAGATTTTCATCAATGTGAAGATCAAAAACAAAATCACTTCAATTACTGTTATTCCATTTCAATAATGTGCTTGCTCGATTTTAAATTAATATCATAGAATAATTTTAGTTGAAATCACTAATAGAAGCTGTCTTACACTTGGCTCTCTATCTTACAAAGTATTCACAAAATATTCCACCTTAAAGGCGATCATGAAATTAATGTCTTCTTTCAATGGGGAAAAAAGTGAAAATTCACAATCTCTTTGGAGGAAAAAGTGAAAATTCACAATCTCTTTCTATCATAGAGTTGACTCTACATTTGCGCTAAAACAATAAGGCACTTCAACCTTGAACAGGCGTGTGCTGTTTGCAACGTCCAAATTAGGGGTGAGTTATCGCATTGTTGATAAGCAATGTGAAGATCAAAAATAAAATCACTTCAATTACTATTATTCCATTCCAATAATGTGCTTGCTCGATTTCAAATTAATATCATAGAATAATTTTAGTTGAAATCACTAATAGAAGCTGTCTTACACTTGGCTCTCTATCTTACAAAGTATTCACAAAATATTCCACCTTAAAGGCGATCATGAAATTAATGTCTTCTTGCAATGAGGAAAAAAGTGAAAATTCACAATCTCTTTCTATCATAGAGTTGACTCTACATTTGCGCTAAGACAATAAGGCACTTCAACCTTGAACAGGCGTATGCTGTTTGCAACGTCCAAATTAGGGGGTGAGTTATCGCATTGTTGATAAGCAATGTGAAGATCACTTCAATTACTGTTATTCCATTCCAATAATGCGCTGCTCGATTTCAAATTAATATCATAGAATAATTTTAGTTGAAATCACTGATAGAAACTGTCTTACACTTGGCTCTCTATCTTACAAAGTATTCACAAAATATTCCACCTTAAAGGCGATCATGAAATTAATGTCTTCTTGCAATGGGGAAAAAAGTGAAAATTCACAATCTCTTTCTATCATAAATAGAGTTGACTCTACATTTGCGCTAAAACAATAAGGCACTTCAACCTTGAACAGGCGTGTGCTGTTTGCAACGTCCAAATTAGGGATGAGTTATCGCATTGTTGATAAGCTTTGGATGTAGCGCTGTGAAAGTTGTCGTATCGTTGACGCACGTAATGAATTGGGTTGCTCAGCCAATGAGATTGTGGATATACATAATATAGTATGTATTCTGTGAACGATGTAGCGTTAGCGTGACGCGTCTGATATCGATCGGCCTATGCGTATTATCAACACTAGCATAGGTTGAATGTTTCATTGGAATGAGACAACATGCAACTTGTACGCGTACATCGAAGCGACAATCCGATAACGATAACTCATCCCGTTTTGCTTGCCATTAAACGCGAATGCTTTTACGTTTCTAGACAGTACAGATTGCTTGACATAGCTGATGAAATGTATTCAAATAGAAGTAGAATTTAGACAACTCATACGTGTATAATACTGCTTCATTTTAGTATTTATATTTGCAATATCGCGTTACAAGCAGGAGATCAGTTCTGCTGTGGTGCATGGCAATAATTCAATTCTGCGTATTATTTCAACATATCGTCTTAGCTCTACAACGCAATGTCGATAAACACCACGGTAAAAGAGGCAAGATACCATAGTTGAGCGTTCACTGTTAGTAAATTACAAGAAAATTGTTATACAGATTTCTCAGACAACTGTTGTATACTGTATTTTGGTTCATAAAACTTTTCCTTAATGCTCGCACGATATAACAAGCATTCCGTACGAGAATTTACAAACATTTCCTTTTACTGTATCTTCAATTTTATTCCATATCTGAAGTATTTCATATCTGAATATTTCTGGTAGTAATAAATGTTTTTTTAATGAAATTATGCTTGGTTATTACATCTGTACGCCTATTACGTGACTTGTTCTGCCTCGCGATGTGCCGGCAGACCGCAATTTTCATTTCTTCCATCGACAAACGAAATATTATTTTTGAATAGCTCTACAGAAGTCATTATGGTTGCTGCACATTAGTGTACAGTACTGTAGTACTGTAGTCTGCAGTACAGTATACTGTATTGGACTGTTTGAGGTATGCTCGTAAATAGCCAATCAGAACGCAGGATTTTAGTCGTGGTTAGTTTAAAAATCGTTTCGCGACATGCGCGCTTCATGAGAGAAAATGAAGAGGTGTTTGCTAGGCAACGTTCAAGCAAAATTACCAAGAATGACAATTATTCTGATGAATTTTTCTTAATCTAAATGATTTGAAATTTCGTAACTTTGAAAATATTTTATCGAATTTCCCTGCTACTAAACAGTAACTATATCATGCGAGTATTAATATTATAATACAGAATGGCAATGAAAAGCGATATTAGTATTGTTCAGTAGTCGTTGTATGCACTACTACAAGAAAACGAGGACTGACAGCGACTGAAAGGATTATTTCAGTGTTACAGACATTAAAATTTAGAACACCTTACGGGCTAGTGTAATAGAGCCAGAATGAGTTCCACTCTTGGAATGTAAAACTGAGGATAAAAAATTGCTAGTGATTAAGATTAAGGACATAGCAAATACACAGTTCTGCGAGTCCTGCAAGGCATGATGTTGACACAGTAAACTACTATATTAATACCACTGTGCAGTATGTGTGGATAATGAGGTAACGTAGAGTTATCATATTTGTTATAGTCTTCCTTTGTTTTGAAGAAAGACTGTACATGTCACCAAACATCAGCAAATATCATTGCTTAACCGGTAGCGATTATAGGTGGAAAAAAACTGTAAACGCATACGATCTTGTAATATCAATAGATAAATTTTATGACTAAAACTAGTATAACAGTCTACTACATTGATACCGGATTGAAATTGTTATATTAACCGTGGGAACTTATATACCGAATTATACAGTACCGTATAATCATTGTCTATATGCTATACAGTAACTTTAACGGTATACTGTGTTATATTATATATATATGTTTTATACATATACATATACACCTACGGGAAAATTGACATCGTTGTCAATCATAGTACTATTAACGTAAACGCTGTCATCATAAAATAAATCGCCATCTCTATATATCTGAATCACGTCCAATTATTTCGTAGCCAGAACATCGAAAATCAAGCATTCCATCTTGGATATGTACAAAATAACAGAGTAGCGGTATGGAATGTTATTTTAATTCTTATCTAATGCGTAGTCATACTGCAGTATAAGAAATAACTAGTAGCTAGTGAAGCAGTAGTGATTCAAGAATTAACGAACCCTCCAAAGCGCAATTGCTTGGTAATAGTATTAAAGAATTATTACCAAATTTTATATTCAACATAAAGCATACAAGGAGGATATAGTAGCAGCGTATTATATAACTTAAAATAGGAAAGATAGATCGTAACAACAGTAGGATGAAGTAATCTTTATTACATAATTATAATTCATACTGTTCTTGTCTTATATTTTTTCACCATTTAATAGCGTTTGTTTATAATAAATGTAGATTGATATGGAGAGTCCATTTCAAAATAGAGAAGTTAACGATGCACAACTAGCTTTTAATCATAAGAATACATCGCAACGATTTCAGCTAGGTAAGAAAGAATTTCATTACCAGTAACACTAACATGCAGTATTTCTTAATCAATTAATGTTCATGAATTCGACGATGTTTAAAAGGTGCAAGACATTCTAATAATAATAAATTAGTTGCTAATCGATTCTATTTAGGTGAATTTGAAATGATAGCTGGTAATTTAGCAAAGAGCATAATACTGATGAAAAATTTTAAGCATAGACATACATATCGAAGTAGATAGCAAAAATTCTCAGTTGTTTTAGATAGATTAATTGCTTGTAATATCAATTATGATCGACTTTGTAGCCTGTGCGTGTGCACAATTTGTATGTATAATATGTTATACAATACACACTAGCAACTGTCTATCATGACTTAGTCTTCCTGAAGTAGAATTAATGTATAGACGGATATCTTTAATGGAATATAAATTAGAAACCAATTGGTAATAATTAGGTTGCATCTCCCTAATAAGTAATACTTTTACGTACGTTAGGCAAATTTTATAGTTTAGTACAATGAAAAAGTGTCAATGGAGGAGATTTTCTAACAACTACTGTATTATTTTTTGCTTATTATTTATGGAGTGTACATTTCGATTTATTATACGACTATAATTTATTGTCTAAATGCTATAATCTTAATACCTTCACTGATTCTGTATTCAAACAAAAAATTTTTAATTTGATTGATTAGTTCGTACAAATACATATTTTAGGGATTGATCAATTCAAATTAAGAAAATTTTTTTAAAATCCGTCTTAATATTGATTTATTATTATCTTCCTTTAAAATTTTCGATTCTAATTAAGTTTCATATGCGTGCATTGCTATGATAAGGTGATATAAATTACAATTACCAGCTAAAAATTTGTTTGCTTAAATAGCTATTGATCTCAAGTTAGCTTAATTCCTTTAATGTGTTTGTTTTATCTAATTTTATGGGGAAAGAATGTATTAAAAAACTTACTTAGTTAGATTAGGAATTTTAATGTGTATGAGACGATATGAATATTGCTAGTGGTTACATGTTGGATAAATACAGTGTCAGAAATAGCGCTTTGAACTATCCTTCTATAGAATTAAATTCAAAATTCTTTGAATAATTTTTCACTGCAGACATCAGATGTAAGGGTAAAAATTAAGCCTCATACAACAGTTCATCATAATTGTCTTTAAATTGAAAGCTACCTCCCCATTAGCGAAATACATTTATTTTGTTGTTCAAATTGCCTACTCACCAAGATTTGGCTAAGTAGAGTAAAAAAGAAATTAATTTGTTTGATAAAATAGCAATTAGTACTTTGTCCAGAAATAATAATAGTCCGATTCAGTCGCGTACACCTGCTGCCGGTCTGGCCTGACAATTATATAATGATCGTTTTATAGCTTACGTAACGAATATAGAGGTACAAATAAAACGTAGTGGCTGCACTCATTATTTGCTTGCACAATAATTATTAGCAGGTTATGCTATATTATGATTTTTTCGCTTTTAAAGTCCTAATTTATTAGAAATCTATTAAATTTATTATAACATATTCACACAGATTACTTTTAATTAAAATTTACATTGAGGCAAAACTTTAAGGCTTCATTATTTATTATAACATCAATATTTAACTATTTTCGACGTAGTGTAATCGTTTTATTTTCTTATTATCCATGATTGGAAGAAATAAATCCATCACTCTTATTGTTTAAAATTTCATACAGGCAGCAAAAATCCATTAAAATTTACCATCAATTGTTTAATAATACGTTAACTCGTCTAACTTTTTACAGCTTCTGATAACATTAACAGCCGTAGTGATACAGAAACATTTCTCGGATATACTTCCAAGGTCAGTTACTTAGTGTTTAATTTACTAGATATTCGTAACTGATTGGACTATGAAATACCGCTAATTATTATTGTTATATAGTTTAATAGAGAAAATAAAACAACGCTACGGATTATATCATTTATGAAACTAAAGCTATGCAATCAGATATTCTATAACGTGTTGTTAACGTTTACTTATCGCTTCTTTTAGTCAATATTACCAATGGCAACATCATCAAGCACCAATCGACCTCATTCCAATAACAGAAATGTGGGTATTATACCAAGTAATGTGCCTAAAATTAATCGCACATCCTCACCAACATATAGCTATACTGGTACTAATCGAATAGCGCCAACAACATCATCAATAACTGCTCTACAAGGCCAAATCAGTATAGCTAATATGGCCTCAGGCTCAGTTGCCAAAAATAATAATGATAAATCTAACAGTAGCAGCTTGAATAAAACGCAAGAGGAATTTAACATATCGCCATCTAAGCTGGTATGTGTCAATTGATAAATACTCTATAAGCTATTTAATGAAGTACGAGTATTAATGTTAACTCGTATTAGCATATTTTTATCCTAAAATTTAAGATACTAATATTATATCGCTTAGTGTCAATAGAAAAATTGATAGTCGCTAGTGTAACGATTTATTTTCACAAACTATAATAATAAGAATGATTAAACTTTCGGACATACAATGTTTATAATTTTATTAGAATGCAGCTTCTGAATTAGATACTATGACAATTCAACGACAACGACATGAATTACAGTTACTAATAGCTGAATTAAAGGATAGAGATAGGCAAGTAAATTTATTAAATCGTTGTCACGGACTCTAATAGTTAACTAATTAAATTGCTATTGAATGCTATCCGTTAGGGAATTGAATGATATGGTTCAAGCGCATCAGAAAGAAATTGCAGTCTGGGAAGAAGATAGAGAAAGGGTCAGTTATAAATAGTATTTTAGATATTACTGTACGAACTATATTAAATATCTATAATATTGTAATAGCATAATTGTAGTCATTGTAATACTGTAGCTTAATATACCGTAAAAAAATGAACTCAGAACTTCCTGCAGATAGCTATACTCTGCAAGACCAATCTATAGTTAGTGAGCTAGCTAATGATTATACGAGCAATAGTGCGAAATATGAAATGTAGTCATGTGTACGTAGAATGCGAAGTCGAAAAACCTCGAAATCTTAAATGCTTGTAATAAAGTGTGAGTTACTAACTCTATTCGTGGAGTGTACTTGTAGCTTAAAATATAACAAGGTAATTCATGCATAATATTAGTAACAGTTACATTACTACAAGCTCAGTCAAAAATTAAATGGCTAATAATAATGAGATTTCTATTTAACGCAAAATTGTTTACAATAGTTGAGGCAATCAGAGCATAAGTGTGCTCGGCTAGAGGGTGAACTTAAACATAGACGAGAACAAGTGAAATCGTTACAAACGAGGTGAGGATATGAAATTTACTTATCCTATCTACAATTTTGCTAGGGTTAATGACTTAATGATATTATTAATATTGTATCTTACTGTTATTAGAATAAAAATTGTCGAGAGTCAAGAATATTCTAAATCACGTGCACTCGAAGACGCCCAGGTAATCGTATTCCGTTAAATCTTTCAAAATATCTATCATCAGATGTTTTAGCTAGCTACTGTCCAGTAAGAAACTGGTACTCAAAATCTATATCGTTCATTATAATTAGAGAAAAATTCAGCAAGTAAATGAACAAGCCAATCTATCATCACAACACTGTCAGGATTTAGAGGTGGACTATTACGATAATTAATTACAATGACTCCATTAATGCGTGTTGCATCGTAGAGTAGAAATTAAACATTTTCAAAAAATTTCTTACATGATCGATGATATACGCATAGGAAAAAAATGAAACCCTATCTACTTCTCTACGAGACTTATCCACCTCAGTTGGTCATTTGCAAGCTCGTGAGCAAGAATTACTTACTATGTTTAACTTGAAGGTGGGCATTGCAACTTCCACTTTAAATTTCAATTAAGCTAGCTTTTATTAATATACAAATAAGGTTTCTTGCTAATGATGAAATTTTCTTACATCTAGGAAAATGATTTGACGGAAGCAAACAAGATTTGTAACGATCTCAGGAAAAAGTTCAAGAAATTAGAAATTATGTGTGAGGTAATTTGCAACAGTTTTATATCTTGCGTATTTTATTCCTTTTAAATTTGTGATCAGATCATCATGATGGTACATGTGTCAGAATTTTATTCGCAAGTACAAATTGATACAACTTAACCATAATTTTATCGTTGTATAAATAAAATGAAAGGAGTGTACTAGGTCAGAAAAAGCTGCGCGAGCTGATCTTGCTCAATGGCGACAACAAGCTGCTGCAGCTAAGGAAGAAGTTGAAAAATTAAGAAGTAAAGTTAATAGCATAACTAGGAGAGTTGAAATTGATATAACTGTCTATCATTGTAACAGTTTGGTTTATTTCTTAAAGATGAAATTGAAAAACAGTGCATAAGTGGTGATAAAGCACAAGCTGAGCTGTCAAAAGTAATTTAACGTTAATGTTTTAAAGTATTTTGATTCTTGTTTTATGTCATGTCTTTAAAGTACATAAAAAATTTTAATTGTAACACAGAACAAGCAAGAAGTGGCAGTTTTACAGAAAGAGTTATTTTTAGCAAGTAAGTCTCAATAAATATTCCTTTTCGTCTAAATAATAATTTAGAGCTACTAGAGCTTTCTTTACGAAGATCAATATAAAAAGGCTTATAATTTTTTTGGTGTTTGTGTAGATGAGCGAGACAAGAGAAAAGAACAACTTATTGAGTTACAAAGATCTAAACAAGAGAGAGCAGATGCAGAATTAGCAAATCTTCGCCAGGTTTGTCTGCATACTAATATAGTTGATAAATTAAAGGGCGATTTCAGTTTTCATTCATTCATTTTTAGTTATATGTGTTGGAGCTATATATAGACAAACTCATCAGGTCGATAGTTACAAACAAATTGAAGGTATTGTATTGTATTACACGGACTATCATATTAGGTGTATGATCGACAACAGCGGGATCTGTCAATTCTTCGACTTAATTATCAAACATCAAGAGACAGAGCATCAATGCTTGGGACCGAGTTGACGTTTGATACAAGTAATATCGACAACGAACTAAATGTTAGTGGTCGTGATGATATCTTTAACTCTATTCATAAAGCATCATCACCAAATATGATGGGTTTGGAAGATAATTCTAAGGGCAAATTGAATGAAACAGTTGAGTTTTTCATTTCAAAGTGCTTACATAACTGCTATTGTCACTCTTGAAGGAATTCTAGAGCATTTGGCAGTACAATACTACTTAGTTAGCGAAATTGCTCTTTATTATTTAATAGCTTTCTCCTAGGAATTTTACTTTTTTAATAATATGTCATTTCAATTGATAGTATGAAGGTACTGAAGATGCCGAGGACCTGGAAGGTAAATTTTTCCCCTAGATCATGGGCTACTATAATTTTGAAATAATCTATAACTAAATTATAATTTTTGATTATTTTGGTCAAATGTTCTATTATAGATGGTGCATCATCATCATTTAAAGAGGATAATGCTATTTATGGCAGTTTAGGCAGCAACGCAGCAAATGAGAATCAGGATAAAAGTCAGGTCAGAAAAGTAGTTGTAAACCAGTCTTAGAAAAGCTCATATAATTTCTCTATGATTGCGTTATTTCCGGTTATGTACTTCAGTAGTATGCGAACTTTCAAGCAAGAATATCTAAGATCTTTCGTAATTATATATCTTTTTCATTGTTGCATCTCTTAACATAGACCGGAGAACAATCACTATTAATGTCAAAAATGGAACAGACTTTAAAAGAATCTCGTGAAATAGTTGAAAACTTGCAGCAGAGATCAATCGTTCCGTCTAATTCGGTAAGTACGTTTCGTGCTATGTACTGTATTTATACGTGTGTAGATATATACCGTACATATGGCATTATAAACAATTTATGTGATTGTGTCCTTGATTCAGTCATATCTAGCTGAGATGAGAAATATTCTTCAATGCCCTAGCATATGACATAGATACGATATTGAGTTATCTAATTGATATTTGAATGTAGTAGTAAAAAATCTTGATGTATCCATTCATAGAGTAAGTAAACTTAATTATATCGAATACATCTGAAAATTGAGTTACTACATATGAATTATTGTTACGAATCTGACTGAAAGACAATGAACTTATCGTTTTTTCGAAATATAAATGTTATTTGAACGTAATTAACAGATCAATCCTATTTTGCAGATACATGAAGGAAAAGAGCAGCATTCTTTTACTAAGAACAGTCAAATAAGCACTGAATAATTCCCGATGATACATTTACTCTGTAGTATTTTCTTGCGGTTAATACGACTAATCTTGTACGTAGGAGAATAACAGAGATATCATAACCACATCAATTTTATACTTACCTTTTTGTGAAATTTTCCATGATCATTACGGTTTATTAAAGGCTCCTACCCTATTATAGTTGCATCAGAACAATTTGGCAGTTGCTATATTCTACAGTTATTTATGAAATTCTATTTCCTCTTTAATAGTGTTTGTAATCAATAAGCTTAAAAATGAAAATCTGATACTTCCATTCCATGAATTTAGTCGTTATAATAGCTGGTTAAAGTTGTCAGAATCTTCCTAATGTTTTCCTAGGATGAGTGTCGATAATCCTAATTTTGAAATCGTATACTAGAAATACATATACTAAATTCATTGCTAAGACTATTTTCAATTCCAATATCTGATAATAAAGCAAAAGAGTAATATGGATTACAAACTGGATTATCAATTCACTGAGTATGATCCGTTTGTCACTAGATTGAGCCGTATATTGCGTTTGGTAGAAATTGTAGTACAGAAGTAGCTCATTAACTTGATCACTGTTATTATTTATGACTGTCTATATCAAGTACCAAAGTACGGAATGCGTATCTTTGCATCATTTAATAGATGCAACTACGAATCCTAGTAGTAAATAGCCGTATTTTAGTTTAATCATTGATTAGTGTAATAATTGCTCGCCTAATTGACTAATTTGCCTTAACCCTTTGTAAAAACTAGTCAGTTATCGTAAAGGACAGTTTACTAAGTCGAAGCTCATCAATTATAGCATCATTTTTCTATTCTGCTAATAAAAATTAGTGATCAAATCAATTGAAGACGTAATAATATCTAACCGATGGCTAAAATACTTAGCTTACCACATTCTACACTGTACCTGCTTAATACCTAACTACCTATTCGTGCATGTTACATATATATAATTAATTAATGACACCTATTCTGAAATATCACGATTTAATCGTTTTTATTGTATACCATGGTTCATTTACATACGGTTTTCAGCTAAGAACTTAGTTCAGATTCGCAATTTAATTTCAAATTATTCTATCGGTTTCCTTACAGCTGCGATTGCGATTTACATTTCGGTTCTAAGAAGTTTTTTACAGTTGGCGCCTATTAGTAATTTTAAAGTACTTCACAATAAAAGCTATTTATATGTTGGAGGTTGCTATATTTTTGGTTTTGCTTCACCTATGAATATTGTACATTTACAGAATGGCATAACTTTTAATTTTACGATATATCGAGTGTATATGAGTTTATTTTTTATTGATATATGAACCTTTTTTACTACTACATTATGTCTAATGGTTAAGATTTCTTCAGTTGCTGTTGTTGGTTTTGTGCATTTACGGTAGACTTAATTTATTTTGCTGGTTCGTAGCCAATAATTGGAAGTTTCTATAAGAGAAAAACAATACATGAGATCTAGTGTTGTATACAGTTTTTAATCAGCAATATTATATGGTTTATTAATGCCCAACAGTATAAAAATGAAAAAAGATGTAAATTGAAATATAGCCAGGTAAACTAAAACTACTTAACGACATTAGTGGGTCATAATATTAATTTCATGTTGATACATCAAAGTTATAAAATTATTAGATCTATCCCACATAGAAAAGGCTGTGGTAGTCTATTACGGTATATAATCAGTAATTATAAAACCCATGCTAAGTGTCAAGTATCTCTATACAAAGAAGTAATTATTGGTAATATCTGTTTATAGTCATCTATTCTGCAGCCTAATTATTAATAATTTAGAATAGTTATTAGGGACCGTTACTAATTACAGAATACACTTAAGATATATTTTCAATTCAAACCTCCACTTCTGTATCACTCAATTTATTTATGCGCTCAGGATCGCTGTAAGCTTTTGAGATATGGATAATTCTAGATATCATAACTTGTTGGTCATGAACCAGAGTAAAGGATGCAATTAAGAAACAGCCACAGCCAATGATACATAAAAATGGGCTAGCCATCATTGCATATCTTAATGCATATGATTGAGAAACAGGATCCTTGCTTGTCGTTATACTATCTGCTATCTAAATAGTGTAAAATGTAATAATCATAGTACACGTACACAGCCTTTAGTTAAGTTATTTGTGCATTAAGATAAGAAATTAAATTTTACTTTTAATTACATTTATAATGACTTACAGCACCAATAACGTATGGGCTAAATGCATCTCCGAATAAATGTGAGATTGTTATTTGGAAGGCTTGAGCAGTAGATCGTCGAGCTGGGATAATAGTATACTATTCAAAGGAGAGATAGATAATCGATAACAATAAATAAACTATACGATGAAGATATGGGCTGAAACTACAGCCAAATATTAGGTATAAAAAATTAATGTTGTGAATTGAGGAAGGATAGTCTAAACTTACTAATACTATATCTAGAATTGGTGTCCATACCATACATAAAAACATAAACGTTACAAAAATAATAGCCTAAATACATGAAGAAGAAAAAATGTTGTATGATTAGGACAGAATTATTTGATAGGATACAGGTACGATTAGTCTAATAGTTTGGCGATTAAATAAAGCACCCAAGTTAATGCCATATTATATGAAATCAGTATTGAAACTGCATAGATGCAAATTCCTGAGGCACCAGATGCTATTGCGCATAGGATAACATCAGCACATTGATATCCATGTTTTTTTGCCCATCTAGTTATCTCAGCGCCAAGCATCGTTCCCACAATACCGGATATGCAAAGAACGAGACCAAAAATTGAACCGATCCTTTCGGCAACATCAAGAAAATTAGGCTAATTTTAGCATCTAGTTTATAAGGACCTTAAAATTTATTTTTATAATTATGAATGCTGATTGTTATACTGTATAAACATAAAGCCTTTCTTTCTAATATGACTCATTGCGTTTAGTATTTAGTAAAAAAAAATAGTAAGTTAAGATCACACTAAATAACATACGTTGATAAGTTTGCTGTTCCTTTCGAGCTAATAACTACATAAAATATAATAGAAGGTCCCCAAAATGCCATTACTCCAGTAGCAAATAGTTGGCATGTAAATCCTATAGTTGTCCATATAAAAGTCTTTCTATGGGAATATTCAAAATTTAAACAATTTTCAAATTACTGGTAAAATGTAGTAGGAATGCAAATATGATTTGATAATATGAAGAATTAGGTATGCAAGTTAGACTAATTTGCATAAATTCAATCAATTTCAAGGCAATAAGCCATAAGAACTTTGCTGTCTGCAACTAGATTAGACGCAATTAATCAGTACTTATTAGTTATATATCAATCATTCATGCAATTCTATTCAATACATGAAATCAAAAAGACATAAGCTTTTCTTTAAATGATTTATAGATAAGATATTAAATATTCTAAATGGGAAACATGAATTGAATGGTCATGATTTCTTGCACACTTGATTCAATTTACATTCGATAGCTCATGACTTACGTCATAATAATATCGATGATATCTTCTTTAAGTGATGTTGGTTTTATTCCATGACCGCTTTTTGAAATTTGCCCTCTGATATCAGCTTCACCATGAGGAGGATTAGCGTTAAATAGTGCACAAACAATTGCGGCTGCACCTCCTATACAAGGAGCAATCTAAAAGAATTTTTTATAATAAAGTTCAATACTTTTGACTAGATTCATCAATGTACATATATTTGGAATATAGTTTCAATTTTTGTAAAGGTTGTAGTCATTTTCTGGAGCTCTACTCTTTTTGAAATTAAATTTTATGATTATAAGAATCATCACTTACGGTTAATCAAGCTCGTATCATCATTAATGTCAAATAATATGGACTAGGTGTACTTTATATCTAGTAGTCAATGCAAATAGCCATCCTATTAAATTATCGTCTACTCACTCGAAATGCTGCTCTCCAAGAATGAGTGGCTAGATTCACCGTAGTTCCTGTCCAATAACCTAAACCACTGTTGACAATAGTGTGGCATGGATATTTAATATAGAATTATCAATGTCCGTTAAAATTGACCCATATTTAGTATCAAATTAGTATATTAATAAATTTATTACGCATTTATTTCTACCTTCCTATCGAGATGCCAAGATTAAACAAAGCTAGTATTCGTGATCGATTATCTTTCGTAAAAAGGTCTGCAAAAATGCTAGGAGCATTTGATGCAAAGCTAGCTTCTCCTATTCCGACTGTTGCTCGTAGTAGAAGTAATAACCAAAAATGCTTTGTAAGGAAACAGAGAAGATATTATTTATTTGGTATTAATGATACCAAGAATATTATTTAGAATCATGCTCAATAACCCTCCTGCTTTAAGGAGTAGCCAAGATTGCTTTAGGTATCTTAGTCAACTACAAAAATAAGGATATTACTGGCGTGATTTGATACCAATAAATTGCCTTACTTTACTGACTGTGAATTAATTTCTTGACAAAAGGGTTGGAGTTTATTTAGTAACTGTCGCAGGCGGAATTTTTAACTTAAAGGACTAAAATGGCTGTACTATTATTATATATCACTGTCAATTTCGTAGCTCAGTATTGTTTGAATAGTTTAGCATAGCAACTAGAAGCATCGACTACGTTATCTTTAAAGAAAATAGCTGGCGAGTGAAATTTATTATTTGCTCTAAATAATTAATTAAGTACATACTTGGCTTCCTTCCGGTATGAAGGAAGATACCATGATAACACTTGACCAAATCAGCATACCAAAAGCCATGACATGATTTCTGTTATACCGATCTCCAAGATATCCAAATATAGGAGCAAAAAGTAGAAAGCCACATATTGACAATGTTTGTATTAAACCTGATAGTTGATCGTCCACTTGGAAAGCACGTTTAAGGTTTGGTAAGACGCCTGCGGATTTGAATATTAAAAATCAGTTTATCAAGCACGTTAGAACTAGAGAGCATTGCATACAGTATGTAGCACAGTTCGTCTCTCTACTCAGCCTTTTACTGACAATTGCGATTATTACTTTCAAATTTAAAGTACTAACAAAATTAAAGTGGCTAATTAAATGTTTAAATATTTTATTACAAGAACTAAATTTCAACTATCATCATATTGATGTACCCATTTAGCATGCAGAATAAAGATTTAAATCATAACCATATTAAATTTCTAAATAAATTGAAATTGACAATCTATAGGCATGAAATAAAAATAGGAAAGATGACTAATTAATTATTGCATGAACCTGAAACTACATTACGATCCATATTGTTGGCTAAGCTCATCGTGAAACAGGTCATTACGGTAATGATAACACGGATTTTCGTCACCATGCTTTAAAAAGATAAAGTTCGATTTACTTTCGTATGGCTTGATTCTGTTAGTAAATGATAAGAATCCAATCACTAGAAGCTTCGGGTGACTTTTTATCTTCAAACTTGAGAGCTTTGCGGTGCTACCAGTATAATTTATTGTATATTAGATTTCTTATTGTACAATGATACTTTAGATGGTAGAAGATCTGATAAGTTAATGGCATTAAAGTAAATTTAAAGTCAGTAACAATGGAATGTTTCTGTGTTCTCCTTTTACTTTACAGGCTTACTTATCAATGTCTTAATTAGTAATGATATATAAAAGAAAGGTTTAAATCAGGTATTGGCGTATTAAATCAATTTTATAGACAAAATCGAAAAGTTTCATGATGTATTCATTTAATCATCGTAAACATGGTCGATCTAAGTAAATAGTATAATGCCATCTAGCTCGAAAGTGCATTGCTAGTAATAATTATTTAGAATGGAATTACTTTAAAGGTAAACATCGGTAGATTTCATCGAATCATTTACTTAAAAATTAAGGATGTCTCAAAATCAAATCTATTCTTTAACGACAATGTAGAGTAACAGCGGGTCTTGCTATAGATTCCATGTACAACTTTATCAAGCTCAAATCAATAACAACTGATACATCCTTGTTACGTCCGTTTAATAAACTATTAACTTGATTAAAGTGTGTACTGTTGCTTTAGGGATAAATTTATTTCGATTCGTGGGTTACTAGTTAATTGTTGATTAACTTAAAGGCTAATTAATAATAGCTAATAGAAGTTGCCCTATAAAGGCCGAAATAGTCAATACTAGCGAAGCAAAACTGTAAAATCAATCCAACACCAGTCTAAATGTTGTCGCTGGGAATCGAAATTTAGAATTTTTGGATATTATAATATAATGTGTAAAATCTTGCTAGGATAGATAGATTTTTAGTTTATTAACACTAACAGACGGCAAGAGTATTTTTACTAATATACTTACAACGATGATCATGAAGTCAACAGAGCACTATAAATTCTTCTAAGTTGCATTTTGTAAAGTGAATGATTTCGTTAAATGTCGGTAAGATATATAGAGTGCTAATAAAGTTTTACTGATACCTTATCACTTTTCTTTATTCGTTTTGGGCATTTTCAAACTGACTACTGCATATGCAAACAAATCTTTAGAATACGATTAAAACTAATTAAATCATGTATTATTTAATTATGAAATTAAAACGTCTAGCCTTTCTATTCTATGCGTTTGATGATCTATTCGGAACTGTATGTCTTGTGTCCAATATTATAATTTTGATCTAAAGACGGTAAGACTAATAACAGATTTACTGGCTTTTATTAGTGTAACTCAAATATTTGCAATTACGTGACCGCTATCACGAATTGAATAATTTATAATCTATTTTGTTATCTTTATACAAATAATTCAAGTTGCCCCGCAGAGGCGCTATGTTCTCGCTTCTGCCCATGAGCCCATTACTGTATCTATGACTATGTTCATTATTTTTATACTCCATTCTGTGTCTCCTGAACAATTGAGAGTTGATTTGCAGTAGCAGCATATTAAAAATAATGCACTGATTTTATATTAAACATAAATATCTGGATGGTGTCGTATTACAGGTTATGAAATTGTAATGTACAAAATTAAATTGATATTTCTTATTTTAATCAAGCGTTTATATTCTATGTTTTGGTTCTTACACGCGTAGGCTAGTTATAATACAGTCTAAAATATATAGAATCGAACATTTTTGGAGGCAAAATACCGTTTACATTAATTCTTTGTAAATAAATATTGAGTATTAAGAGAACTTTAGAGACGCTCAGTATAATGCTACATAAAACAACAATTCAGAGATGCCTCGTTTTCTGCCTTATTTTTGCGATACTGTTGGGTCTAAGATACAACACGAGTATGAGGTAAATTATATATTTGTCGTCCTGCTGATTATATGTCTTAACAGACTTTAAACTGAGACACTTAATAAATTTAGAAAAAAGGCAATGATATAATTTTATAATACTGCACCGCTCTTGAAAGTGTATGAATTTATTCTGCTTGGGGATATTTTAAAATAGGTACGGTATTGTCTCCTCATTTAAGGTAAGACTTCGATAGATGCCGACAGAGTTGGATATAATTTATATATTCTGTGCTAATCTTTAAGTTCAGAAGTTATTGCCGTTTCAGATATGCGTTTATTCTGTAATCAAATGATGGTAATTAAAGATGCAAGTAGGAAATGAATTTAATGTTTGAATAATTTGATATGTACGAGTATAATTTGTACTGAACGAATCAGACGTCAAATGCTGTGAATCTTTCCATCTGCAGCACAGTTTGGTAGCTACCGTAGATTTCATATTTAGTAATTAAAATGGCTGCATAGCATCATTTCTGGGGCACTGTATGGGTAAATTATTGAGAGGGTAAAATAGAGGGTGAAGTAAATTTCTGTAGTTCCTTTCGGTCTATTTTGATCGCAACGTTTTAGGATCATCAGGACTGCAATTGGATTACCATATATATCAGTGACTAAGTTTAGGCTTTTAGTTTTACACTTTAATTATGGTCAACCACGAAGCATTCATAAGTCGAAGTGAGCCAGCATTTTATTTTCATTGTTCGATCTAAATGACTGAGATAGTGATATTATTCGCTATTTTGCATTGTTAGAAATACATCACTAGAATATGAGAAACTTTATCTCATATGAAGTGCCAAATTCTTTCTTTACGATTGAGTTGATAAATTCTTTTATGAATAAACAGCTATAATGATGTAATATTAGGTTATCATTAGAATTTTAACTAAAAAAATAGGAAATTTCTATACAGAAGACGATATTACTGTTATGATAACGAATAAATTTAATATATTCAGTTATGACATTTTATTATAAGCCAAAAGTTCCAGCGTCGCTTTGATTGATTCGTTATGATATGGCTTTAAGATCGTAAGAAATGATTTTTAAAGATACTATGGTAACCGAAAAAGGGCACCTTTGACTTTTGACTACATTGAAATAATTAAAGATATTTACAAAGCTAGCTATGTGACTGAATCTGGCTGAATGGGCTTTACTCTATTGCTTTATATAAAATGTTCGGTAATTATTTGATTCAACAATAAGTAAGTTCTTTCATTTAAACAAGTATATAAAATTTGTAACTTTTAATATAGAAGTACAGTATATACCAAACATTTGCAAGGCCTATGTTAAAATATTTGTGTGCGATTATCTTTTATATATTATTATTTAAATATACCCGTATGTCGCGAACACAATGTATAATTGTAATCAAATACTTCCTCGACAGCCAATGTGTTAATTTTTCAAAAAATAAAATATTTACTTTTAAGATAGACTTTAAAGTTGATTTGCATATAGTATTATAGCTGTTTGCCTACCAAGAAATGGCCAAAAATAGAATAGTACGGTCTTCAAACTGTCAACGAGTAGGTATGTTGCGAATTATGCACATACCAAATCAGCACTCAATGCTCCTTTTATAACCACATAGTTTATGTAGGTTTCCAGATCAACGTAGCAAATCTTTATCGTAAAAGTGGTGTTTTCTATTGCAATGATATCGACCATTAGATATTTGTACATTAAAGTTTTTACTGAATATTTCTTTTAAAGATTTCAACAAATGATAATGTCGACTAGTTTGTTAGTACTGACCTCCTGTAATATATCGCTATTTTCAGATACAACCTGTTGGTCATCTACTAATACATCGTTATCGCCAATAAGTCGAAGCATTTTTTCTCTATCATTTACCAGAGTTAACGATGCAAATAAATGAAAGCCGCAACCAAGCATACAAACAAATGTACAAATCAATAGAGAATATCTTAGAGCGTAGGATTGAGCAACTGGGCTTTTATTTATGGTGATTGCATCCGATATCTGTCACAACATGATGTGATAAAGATTGTTTTAAAATCTTAAATAAATCATCAAAGTAATTTCAAAAGAAGAAGATAGGCTAACCGCTCCAACAATGTAAGGACTAGCAGCATCCCCGAGTAAATGACCTACAGCAATTTGAAAGGCTTCTGCTGTTGAACGTCTGGCAGGTGGTATAGTATACTTTATCCGCAATTGGACATGTCAACGGATAAATATTAAATGAATTTAGTTATTATACGAGGTGAGCAAATGTAGCGATTAGGTTAAATGTTGGTGTTACTGATATATCTGCGTTGCAAGACACGTACGTAACCGCCGTTAATGCACTTACCAATAATATATCTGTAATAGGAGTGGTGAGTAAGAAAATGGCGAAGCAGCCCATGAATACGAAAACCTGCGAAAATAAACCAGATTGAACGTCTTAATTTAATATGGTTGTTGCTACACGGTATAACTTGAACTTTAGAGTAATTTTTGCATGATAATTACCCATGCTATGACTATGCTGAATTCACCAAATACTAAACAAAGGTACAGTGATATCCCAGATGTAGCCATACCAACTGCGCATACAATAGCATCACCTTCCTTAATCACATTTTCTTTTAAATAACTTGCGGCTCCAGCGCCAGTTAATACGCCAGCTATACCACCAAAGCACAGTATTATACCAAAATATAATCCGGTTCTGATGTAGAAGTTAAAGGTAAATTTAGAAATTGCACCATGTAGCTGATCGGTGCATTTAGAAGTAGAAGTACACAATTAAATATGTTATTAGTTTTATTATTTGAGTACACACTGAAGTAGCGTAGCATGTCCAGTTATGCTAAGCTGCAGGTAATATAAAGTCGGTGCCGACCAGAATGCCAGCGCTCCTATGGTAAAAAATTGACAGGCATATCCAAGACTGGAAAGAACATAAGTCCGCCTATTTACGAGTAATTGGATATTTATCATTTAAGGCTTGTAATGATTTTAGAAAAATAAAGAATTATTACGTTTTAAGAATTGCTTTAATATCGGTTATCCAACTAGTAGCGCGAAATCCATGCCAATTGTCGGTAACATTTGAATTTACTTCTGCATTACCGCGGGGTGGATTTTCGTTAAATAAAATACAGATTACTGCTGTTACAACTCCTATGCCGGGAGAGACCTATTTGCAGTAAATTTGAGGTTAAAAGAAACGAAATTTTGAACGTAACGTTGGTATCAGCTTTGATTATTACCAACATATCGCCGTAACTACTACATAACTTTCGAGTACCTAACTTAACTTACCCAGAAAGCAGCTCTCCAGGTTTTTGCAGCTTTCGCTACAAATGTTCCAACTAGAAATCCCAAAGCACTATCAATTATCAATATGTAATCCGGGATGATTAAAAAGATTTTAGTAGTTAAATGAAACTATCATAGGAGATAGGTTATGTAATGTACTGTATGTTGCAATAACATGTAATTATTTCTATTAAACTTGTATAAATACGGAGTTATATTTATCCTTAAGGTACGTATTGCGTTATATCAATCGCGTTACTTGAGCGATAATTTCATATTACCTTCCAATTGGAACAGCTAGATAATATAAAGCTAGTGCAGTAGTGCGTTTTCTGTCAGTGAATAAATCAGCAATAATTGTAGGAGCAATAATACCATAACTTGCTTCACCAATTCCGCTGCATGCACGTAATAATAGGAATAGCCAGAAATGCTTTCATAGGAAATATTAGAAATTGTATGTCTGTTAATAGCTTTAAAACTAAGTAAATACTCCAGTCGATGCATTTATGAAGCATTTTCGCACGTACTATATAATATGTGGGTATGAATAATGCTATGTTCTACTACTTGTACTGTACGTATATCAAAAACGAGATAGTAAGCATATAATTTTATTCGAGAGAAGATGAGTTAGAATTACAATTTTGGTAGAGTTACCTGTTTACCCTTTGCCACAAATGATGAAGCAAATGTTACTGATGCCCACATAAGCAGTCCCATAGACATTAAAGTATTGCGATTAAAGCGGTCTCCCAGGAAACCAAAAACTGGAGAAAAGGTCAGATAGCTAATAATAAACACACTCTGAATAATGCCCGCCTGTCCGTTATTAAGATCGAATGCTTTCTTAATATCAGGTAGAACACCTAATGAAATAGCAATTTTAAAATGTTACAATTATTCGTGATGAATCCAAGCATAAGTATCTTCTACAGTAGCAAGGTAGAACATGAATATTCCAGAATTAACTAATTAACTCATAAACTAGCTCGTCTGTCTTATATTTTACGTATACATTATCAGTAATTGGAATAGCTTGACAAATAATTATATCATGTAATCGCAATTGCAAGTATTATGCTGACTAATAACTCAAGGTTGTAAATAATTGTTATGAGCTGCACCTATAGCACGTCTTATATTAATTTAATTTGATATATACGAGCTGTCCAAGTTATCTTTATCAATCGGCTGTGTGAAGTATACTGCAGTGCATAAAATTGAGTAGTGTAGATACAATAGAGTACAGTACGTCTATGTTGGTCTATTTGATCGCATTCTATAATTTAGTTCCTAAAATTCTTGTACAATTATCTCAACCTGATACTGTCACACGGTCCATGTTGTTCAGTAAGCTCATTACTGTCAAAACAAAGACAGTAAAGATGGTTCGTTTGCTGTTAGCCATCTTTTTACTTGTCGTTAATCCAAAACACTTTTCTACAAACTTCTCACAAGTTACAGTACCATCTTTACTCGTAATCGGGGACGACTGATAACTGCTGGCTCAGATTTTATTTTTATCTTTCTATCCTGTGCAATTTCAATTTTGGCTTTCTATCTTTGTCATCTTTAAATTTGAACACAGCGATTTTGAGCAGTAGAAAGCGCTGACTTTTGATAATATCCTTCAGTAAGCTATCGTTCAGTGGAAGCTTCGGACTCTTGCGTCTTGACTACAGTACAGTACTGTACAGTGAAATTTTCCTACGCATGCAGTACAGTACAGTACAGTGCAATCTGCAGTCCTCGGAACACTACTGTATAGTGTATACTGTATGTATGATATGCTCGATTACAGCGATATTCTGGAATTACGGGGAATATAAGCATACCCGTAGATGATAAAGTATATGAAATTCATTTTCTGTAAGTAGAACCATGGACAACTTAATATACCATCTAGAGCATAAAAAGTGGTATTTCATATCCAGGTACTGCCTCGTACAACAATGCCTAATAACAAACCATACGGGCATTTCGTAGACTATGATTCGTATGTCTATCATGATGTTTATACGATACGAAACTTTGTGTATAGTAGATTTGCGCTAATAAATGGGGTTATACTTCACGCTTTAGCGATTTCCGTTCTATCCTAACCGCAAATGCCATATCGACCTTACTAAGTTGGGTAATGATAAAATTGTTGTTAGTAGAAGCTAACAATATCGGAATACTCGTAGATCATTCACCTACTTAAGGGGTTTACAGTAAACTTTACACTTTAAAAGTATGGTATATCTGCACCGTATAACACATGTTATACAGTTATAGTATATAGTATAAGGCCAAAATCTACGTCTTAATACTGTGATTTCGGAGATGCAATGTAAAAGTAATATGATACTGGTACAGTACTGAACTCTATTCGAATAATGTAACGTAACGTAGGGCAGCTTCAATTACTGGTCGATTTTTCCTTAAGTTAACCACACATCGATATACGATCTACCATGCATTGTACAACTTTTTATTGATAATTGTAATGTATATTTGGTATACGGTCTTGTAACACACTGCCGATATAAGTATAAAGTCTAAAATGGAATTACAATTATAGGTTATAGTTGGTATTGCATAAATGCTAGTAGAAAGCCAATCCAAATAGTAAAAATATTATCGTTACAGAATATTTGTTAGTTAGTTGTACTTGATCTATAAATTTCAGCTGATGACTATAGATTGTTGTTCGCATAAATACTATAATAGAATCTTCTAATTTGAGATTTCTTAATAACGCGAGAGCAATTCGTAGAATAGTCGTAACTTTATAACAACTTCAGATCGGCTAGATGATAAATAGATTAATAATTGGAAGGAAATAAATTTCTAGATATAACAGCATAAAATATTGACTATTATTTGAAAATGACAATGGATATTACCTAGCAATCAGTACTTTCCATATATATTTTCTATGATTTATATAACTTATCAGCAGCGATCAACAATTTTACCTGCTAATACTTCTGTTTATTTTTAACATGCACATATAACAGTAGTATCGCCATTTTTCTCCATTGATTACTATTTACAATGAGGCGCTGTAGATTTTTATAATTAATAAAATCCATGAATAGCAATTAAACAACCTTCAGTGAAATTGGAAAATTTTTAGCCATTATCTACATATGTAAATTACATTATTTTACGATTGATTTTCTCTTTAATTCTGCCATTTCGACGATTACACTGCTTTAAAATCATTAGCAACATATACCATCATAGAATACACTTCCATGAAGTTTCATCATAAATGTGGAGGTTTCTGAGAATTATAAAAATAATATCAAATGAATATGGCAGAAAAACTGGCTTTGTGATATTGGCGCGTATAACCTATAGAGTACCTCGTATGGAATCTGGCTATCTTCATTCTCAATCTGTTGATATTCAGCTCTTACAACGTTGTCTCTTATCTGTTGTAACATTTTCTGTTGATCTCTCACCAATGTTAAAGATGCTAGTAAATGAAAGCCACAGCCCAAAATGCAAGCAAACGGACAAATCAAAAGAGAGTATCGTAAAGCATAAGATTGAGCAGCTGGTCCTTCATTTGTGGTTATTGAATCTGCTATCTGCATATTAATAAAGTTTTCAAAAATTATCAAATGAATGTTTTTTAAAACTATATTATAGCCCTTATTTACAGCACTATTTGATACATGTAGCACTATCTGATCATAACTGACCGCTCCAACAATATACGAACTGGCAGAATCTCCAAGTACATGGCCCATTGCTATTTGAAAAGCTTCGGCTGTTGATCGTCTAGCTGGTGGTACAGTGTACTACATTTGTGTAGTATAGATTGATATAAATTAAGATTTTCGATTAAAGGGATGTCCTATCGCTGTACTTACCAGAAGTATATCCGCTATAGGAGTACCGAGCATGAAGATGCTAAAGGAGGTGATAAATAGAAAGGCCTACAGGGAGATTTAAAAGAAAGTACGTATTGTAGGGCTAACAGTCACTAAGGTAATAGAGCAACATAACGTACCCATGCTACTCCCAAGTTCAGTCGTCCAAGCGTCAAACAAAGATATAGAGATATTCCTGAAGCCAACATACTAAGGGCACATACAATAGCGTCACCTTCCATTATCTTACGTTTTTTTAAGTAATTAGCAGCAGCAGCCCCAGTTAATACGCCACATATCCCACCAACAAGTAGAATTACACCAAAGTATAACCCAATTCTAAGATCAGGTTGATCAAATAAGAGAAAAATTTTCATGATATAGGATTTTAATCATTGATACCATTGTCATAAAATAGGAATGCTAGAGTGGTTGTCTTTGTGAATCTTGCAGACTATAGAGCATACGTACTGAGATAAAGTAGCGTAACCGGTTAAGCTAAGCTGTAAGTAGTATAAGGCGGATACAATCCAAAATGCTAATGCTCCTAGAGTAAAGAACTGGCAGGCGTATCCCAGGCTAGACAATACATATGTTGGCCTACAGCAAAGATTAGTGATTGAAAGCGATTAAATGACGATCATTCGTCAATATTCTTTCTATATTTCAGAGAATGTCATAAGATTATTACGTTTTGAGGATTGCTTTTATATCAGATATCCATGTGGTAGCTTCAAAGCCATGCCAATCTTGTGTCACGTTTGATTCTACCTCTGCTTTACCGCGTGGGGGATTTTCATTAAATAATATGCTAAACACCGCTGTTAAAATTCCTAAACCAGGTGACACCTAATGAATAATAATTTATTATAAGGTCGAATCACGATTGCATGTACATGTATGACATTGTTACAAAACTACATTTCGATATGTACTTCTACTTATATACGAGTACGAATAATTGTAGTTACCCAGAAAGCAGCTCTCCAAGTTTTAGCAGCCATTGCTACAAATGTTCCAATGTATAGCCCTAGGGCTCTATCGTAATGTAAGGGTTAATATGATAAATTATATTAAATTATTGTAGTTGTTCGCAAAATAGTTACTAATCATAAATATGAACTTTAGGATGTTGATAACGTTCAAAAAATTTATAGTGTATCCCATGCAGCCATGCTATTTTATGGGAATTTGTTAAGTTATCTTTCGTAAATTAAAATTACCCTCCAATTGGAACAGCTAAATAATATATTGCCAGTACGAGCGATCTCATTCTATTGGTAAATAGGTCAGCGATAATTGTAGGAGCAATAATACCATAACTAGCTTCACCAATGCCACTACATCCACGCAGCACCAAGAATAACCAATAATGCTAGTTAGGTGGAAAAATATGTCAAAAATTGAATACCATACGTATTTGTTTCATCTCCAGTATGCTAAATACCCGTTTCTACAAATTGTATTATTATACCATAGATACCTGATAGCCATCTGCTACGAAAGAAGAAGCAAACGTCACGGATGACCAAATAATTAATCCTGTAAACATCAAAATTTTGCGATTGTAGCGATCGCCCAAGAAGCCATAAATTAGAGCACTGATCAAGTAGCTAATAACAAAAACAGTTTGGATTAAGCCGGCTTGGGTGTTGTTGAGGCTGAAGGCCTTCTTGATATCAGGTAAAACACCTACACGGAGTGCAACAATAAAAATAACCATTGGGTTTGACATAAAAATGGGCTTGTACTACGAACACAAAATGGAATTTTGCGCCTACAAATACTGTAATACGATGCAACAAATGAAAGCACTCGTATCATATAGTATTTAATATGGCCAGAGCTTAATATCATGATGATTTTCTAGTATTACTGCATTGTATGAGCCAAAAATTTAGGATCTCATTGATTCGATAGGGTTTACAGTTTACATTACGAAATCCTCTTGAACTTTGATGCACGGTTGGCATTCGTAGTGTACTGTACAGTACAGTACTGTATAATGCAGTAGTACTGACTGATATGCTGTCCTGAAGATTTTAAAACTCGCAAGTGCGCCCACTATATAGTATCAGACAGTAGGAGTACTACACTAATTTGTAAATTTAAATATTGATAATATCACTATTATCATTGTCATTACTTGGTTAATTACGTTAACTAATACTACGATGGTCATACTGTATTTGTCATTCGATAAACGATTATTAATCTTTGATCTATTGATAGTTAAATGAATGAAGTTTTATATGAAACTATTTCTAGGCCTACTTTTGTCCATTACCTGATATAGTCACACGATCCATGTTGTTCAGCAGGTTCATTAAGGTCAAGCTAATTACCGTACAGATAATCCGTTTATTATTTTCGGCCATTGCAGTATGGACGAATTGGTAATGATTTGCAGAAAGGATCGCGATAGTAGCTACCTCTGCACTACAACTTAATGGTAGATATAACAATGCATCAACGACATCAGTTTCGGGTTATGCCATTTCATCCAAGCCTATTTCTCCATCGTTTTTGTGTACTGTTAGCTTATTACGCAGTGCGGATGCTGCATTGATCTGTATAATTCAGAAATGCAAACGTCTTTCTCTCTATTTTTGAGTATTCCCCTGATGTTAAGAGATCTGCAGATTATAAGGGAGAATCAAGGCGTGTAAGTTTTTGCGATGGAAATCAATCAACTGACTGGGAATCTTATTCATTGTACCGTACCGTAACGTACTGGACTGAGTTCCTTACTCCTGACAAGGCACTAGACCTGAGAAAGGGTTCGGCTCGGTTCGGTCCGGTCCGAACCGTTATGATCTATTGAAGGCACTAAAGTACAGTATGGAAACTAAACTGCACTGTACGAAGTACTGTAAAGTATACAGTAGTACTACAGTATACTGTACTGTACGTACTGTACTGTACAGTATGACGTCATGTAATCTGGCCTACAAAGCAATGGCTACAATACCGAGCTACAGTACAGACCTTATAACAATTCTTCTGGTACAGTGTAAGTACTGTACTGTACTGTACTGTATAGTGTTGACAGAAAAAACTACAGTACTGTACTGTACTGTACCGTAAACAAGGTGAAAATAATGACGTTACCGTAAACAGTACAGTACAACAATTTCCAAATTGGACCGTGACAGCGGCTCGTGTCGGCTACTATAGATACTGTTACAGGAGTAACAAATGACATCTTCTCTATCTTTTAATTGTTGTTACTTTACTTTCTGCTTGGGATTAATTAAATCGATCACTTACTCGATCGGCGTTCTAATTTGGAAAAGTTTAGATGAAGAAGAAGCCGCTTGGTTTGACAGCGAATAGAATGCATTCTATATGAGCACAAGAACTACATACGTATCTACAACATAATTGAAGATTATCAATTTTCATCAGTACTACTGTAGTACTGTCTATCTGGGACAGGTATTTTAAGTGATACAATTAATTATTGTTGAAACTCGTTGAAGGAAAGTTCAAGGAGAAAATCAAGAAAATGGTGATGACAGCTAGGCAAGCGTATATAACAGTTGGGGTCCTCTTTCTCATCAATCTTTTAAATTACATGGATCGTTACACATTAGCCGGTACTTCAATATCATTACTGATATTACTACAGCTATCATTCATTGAACAAATTCGGTGCTATTTTATCTTTAACCTTAACTAAAAGCTAGAATTATGGTCAATCATGGTGTGATGAACTTCACCAAATATAACTGTTAGGAAACTTTTCACTTCGATGAGCGTAGTCCAAGCGTACAGTACAGTACGACTATCAATGCTGTCCAAAATAGCATGCTGTTACACTGTAGTTTACATAGTATTATTATCAATTTACCCGGTCTTCGCTTGAATAAATGATAAGATTAGCTGAAAGCTCAATTAAATTTACTGGTTACAGTAGTTGATTTCCACTACCTTCTACCATGGACTACGACATTGTTAGTCCATGATTCTACATAGTACAGGTTACCATGCTTAATTGATATTATTAGATTGTTGATGATATGCTCATAAGGATATCACATTATCATCTGATAGCATGATAAGATCAGAAATGGACGTTGTCTTCAATTTTCAATATCTGCTAAACCAGCTCACTATCCAATAGTACTTCCTCATTCATACTGTAGTCACTGTAGAACGTATATAAAAATAAATAATAAAAATAAATTTCTCTTAACGTATTACTACTGTACAATAGGTGTACTTCCGATGATTAAGAAGGCTTTCGGACTTGATTTTGAAGTTGCTGGCCTGCTTCAGACTGTATTCATCGTTAGTTACATGTCTTTGGCGCCAATATTCGGCTACTTAGGTGATCGCTATAACAGGAAAATTATAATGGGTACTGGAATACTTATTTGGGCTGGGACAACATTAGCTACTTCTTTTGTTGCTGAAGGCAATAAGGCAAGTTACGATTGAGTCAATCTTGTGCTTTCTTTAACATATACTGTATACAGCGTGCAATATACATCTCTTAAATTTAAGTTAAACTACATACGCATCCAATGACCACTTTTAAAAGTTTCTGAACTTAACTGACGCCTGACGTATATCTTCACATACCGTAATAGCACTACTTTACCATTGTTGTAAAACAATATTTATCGCTACAATTTTAATAGTATGGCTTATTTGTTAGTACAGTAAATTATTATTGCACTATTCGTGATGGCTTTTTATTAGAAGAAAGATTTAATTGAGTAAATCTCTAAAATTTTTAGAATGTATGGTTAATGCTGATTATTCGTGGATGTGTCGGTATTGGAGAAGCAAGCTATTCTACTATCGCACCCACTATTATTGCCGATATGTTTAGCGGTCAGCAAAGAACGAAAATGCTAGCTTTTTTTTATTTCGCCATCCCGGTTGGAAGGTAAGAGTTAGATATCTACGTAAGATCACGGTATTTCATTTGGAAATGTTGTCAATTTTTGACTTATTGATGTAATAGCGGATTGGGCTATGTTTCTGGTTCACAAATCGCAGCAGCAACGAAAAGCTGGAGATGGGCCTTTAGGGTATGCCGTAATTGTACACCTTAAAATATATGTAGTCCTTTAAAATAACGTTTCAATTTGTTAACAGATAACTCCAGGGATCGCAGTTGTATTATCAGGGTTTTGTTTCTTTGTAATTACGGACCCTCCTAGAGGTCACTGCGAACAGGTGGCTCAAAATACTGAAAAGTATGAAGTTAAGGCCACAACTTGGAAAGCTGATATGAAAGCGTTACTTCGAAAGTTAGTAATTCTATTCCATTTAACTTCGATTAGGAAGGGATACAATAGTAAAAGTAAATATTTCATTTTGAAATCTTATCAACTTTCTTTTAAAATTACTGTATATTCAAACGCTGGTGAACTAATGTACCGAATGTACACGTATAAAGCAAAACGTATGTTTGGACGACTATTGGCTTCACGTGTGTTGCTTTTACTACCGGTGCGTTAGCGTTTTGGGCACCCACTTATATTACTTCAGCTGAGTTAGCTCAGGGAATAACGTCTACCAGTAGGTTAGTACCAACTGTATATATTTTCAGTACGTTAACTTTACAGTTATGCTGAGATGTCATCTGATATACATGATTAAAAATCCACTGAGTAATAAATTATAATTTTATTGACTTATGTTTTAATTTAATACAGCAAGATTTCAAGTGATTTCGAATTTCTTACAAACTTAGTTTTCGAGATTTTTATGTGCATTAATTTTTACTTAATTTATTCTTTAATTAAAGTACTGGTTTGATCTTTGGCGCAATTACATGTGCTGCTGGTATTACTGGAGTTCTTATCGGTGCAGAATCTTCAAGAAGATTTAGAAATCGTATACCATATGCTGATGCTATTATATGTGCAGTCGGTTTGCTAGCTTCTGCTCCATTTGTATATGTTAGTTTATTTTTGGCCGAAGTTAGTTTGCCTCTTGTGTGGGTAAGTGTTTTATAAGTCTTTAGCTTTACAACAGAAGTTTTAGAAGTTATGTTTGATGCCAATTAGGTACTGATTTTTATTGGTGAAGTTTTAATTAACTTAAATTGGACACCGATAGCAGATATACTACTGGTACGTAGATTAAAGGATATATTAGTTCCCATGAAAATACTAAAATTTTATTATGCAAATTTGAGAAATAATCTTTATAATAATATAATTTTATTATATTAGTATACTGTTCCCCCTGCAAGGCGGTCAACAGCGGAAGCATTCCAAATATTATTTTCCCATTTATTTGGGGACGCTGGAAGTCCATATCTAATTGGTGCAGTAAGTAATATCGTATGCTTATATATTTGAAATCTAGTACTGGTTTTCTAACATATCAGTCACTATTTGATATTTCTATTTGTCAGATTGCTGATTCTATCACAACCAATAAAGAGCCAGCCTTTCAAGCTTTTGCGCTGAAGTACGCCTTATCAATCACAACTTTTGTATGTGTACTTGGAGGAGCTGGATTTTTGATGGCTTCCTTTTCATTAGAAAAAGACCGTAAGGAAGCTGAGTTTCAAACTGAGCATAATATTAAAAATCAGATTGAAAACTATGATGAAAGTATTCATGACGACGTGAGTATCGATGTCAAAATCTGCTAATTGTATTGTCTATTGCATGCATACTGTGCAGGTTCTATTGCTATTGTAATTATATCAATTTAAGTCTTTAATATTTCTGTTACTTCTTTAACTTAATAGACTGCACCTATAATCTAATGAAGATAAATCTGGTATTTTGTAAATACTTTTCTTCTAACTACTATCAACTTGTATAAGATCTTGCAAGTATCGCTGGAGTGTATTGGCGCCTGGCTTACTATTGTAAATTAAAGTGATAGTCTTTTTGGCTGATCTTCCTAGATCAATTCCTTCGTTATGTTTATCTAGCGAAATTTATACAGTATCCGTGTATGTTATACCATATACATATTACAGTTATTGATGATGATACCCCGTTAAATTTAATATTGTTATTGCCCTATAATAATGAGTATCTTGTTACTATATACTGTAGTTATGTATGATTGCATAGCATTTAAAAGTTTAATACACGCTAACAGAAATTTTAATAGTTTTTATCGAATGCATTAATGCATTCTAATTAAAACTTTTACAATGTTGCCTTGCTAGGTACTGATTCGGTACTTTGCGATTGGATATTTTATTATAAGATAAGATGTATAGTCATTAAAGAATCACTTGAATTCTTCGATTTAACGATTAGTTGTAATTACCGCTGACAGTTAATACAGAAAGAGCAATTATTGATATTTAACGATAACGGTTTTATTTCTGCATACTATAGCTATCTAACCAAGTGATAGTTTAAATTTATAGATATCTATCGCGAAAAATATTCGAAAAATTGAAATCTCAAAGTGTGATATTCACCCCTGATGCTCGAATAACCGGGAATAAAGTTGAAATTGCAATTTTTATAAATTACTAAAGAGCCAAGCTCTCCATCGCTGCTTGAATCAGATTCAGGGCAGTGTGATTTTATCATTATTATTTAATTATACTAGATAACGATTCATAGTAATTTTAGCTGGCTATTGTCCGGCACGTGAAATTAATATTGCATTACATCATTATCATAGTAAACGGCCCTGATCTCTGTCGATGTCCCAGATTCTTAGCTGAAAACGTTTAAAGTGATACTGTAATACGGTACTTACTAGATCTTATAATTTGTATAACAGTTCTAGCTGTATTTCAGCGTATAATCCAAGACAAAGATTATGGAATGAACTTACAGTACCGTTAAAACAATCTAGCAGAAAATTATTATGTTACGAATTTGAAAAGTTAGCTGTGATAGTTCTGTCAGCGAAGTGGCTCGACGTTAAGCAAGTAATAATGTCTAAAATTAAAAATCTAAAATCTAATCTATTCAGGGATTCAATACCATTAAGTTCATATTTCGTAACCCTAATTAATTAATTAATTAATTACAGTATACCGTACAGTGTACAGTACATTAGTTACGTTTTGTACAGTACAGTATACTGTACTGTACAGTACAGTACTGTAGCACAGTGTACAGTGTACAGTATACTGTACTGTAGTCCAGTGGACACTGGACTGTACTTTAAGCAGTCAGGCTAAAACGTCAAAGTGATTTGGCGCTTCTTGGATTTGGGTAAACGCTAGAATAGTCTAGACTGCCATCAGCAAAATCTTTCAGCCATCTTTACTTATTTCATGTAAGTATAAAAATTTGAATGATGTGAAGATGTTATCGTAGCTAAATTTCTCATTTTTTTTGACCTGGTATTGAAATTCTCAGTTCTCATTACATTGCGTTATAATATATTATCCGTGTTGTACCCCATTATATTATGTCTCTAAATTGTACAAAGTAGGAGGTCTAGTATCTATGTATTAAAAGAAGTATACTTTGAAAACGGTAGATACTTGAATGATTACGAAGTGAAGGACTGTCCCTTTTTGGCATTTTCCCTGTACTCTTTTACTAACGCATATATTATTCTTGTAAGCAGCTTAACAGGTTTATCAAAGATGTCCCGTTACAATGAATGTAGAATTTATATTGGCAATTTGCCTTCGGATATAAGAGAAAGAGATTTAGAGGATTTATTTTATAAGTATGGCAAAATTTTAAGCATCAGCCTGAAAGATAATAGGAGAGGGCCTCCATTTGCTTTCGTCGAATTTGAAGATAAGAGGTTAGATTAGTGATGCGTGTGCTACTCTGATGCAATTTTAGGTAGAACTATTACAAATGCAGGACTGACGGATATGTATAAGTTTTATGCAATCTTTGAAATTATGATGTAGTTATTAAAGTTTGCAATGAACTTATTGAAAGAAAGTACTATATAATGATCTGTTCCGGAGGTCTGATACAGTACTACGCTAAGGTTGACTTTCTGCTGGTACTCTCTTGTATTGTAGAATTGAAAATCGCCAAGGAAAGTTTTGTAGTATCAGATGACAATTTTTTATCCATACGTAGAATATTTCTACTATAGTTTTATAAGAATGAACTGATGCAACACGGTTATCCGAATTTCCGCTAGTTGCTGTTTTCACTATTACGATAGAGCTACAGATTTTATCAAAGTAATGTGTTCGACTTTGTTTGGTGTCACTTGTGATACTATCTTAAGTGTTATAAATTAGAAGTAGCTCCATTTCGACATTGATTATAACATACTAAAATCGTGCTCGGATTAGAATGAATATCTGAATTTTTTGGCTATTGTTTGCAATTGCACAATCCTTACTAAGTCGTACTATATTTATAGGGATGCTGAGGATGCAATTGATGGCCGAGATGGGTACGACTTTGACGGCTGCAGGTTACGCGTTGAAGCTCCAAGAGGCGGTGGTGGCGGCGGCGGAGATTATGGTCGCCGTGGCCGTGGTAATGGTAGCGGCGGCGGTAGGGGTCCAGCTAGGCGATCTGACCATCGCGTTATTGTATCAGGGCTACCGCAAACCGGTAGCTGGCAGGATTTAAAAGATCACATGCGTGAGGCCGGAGAAGTTTATTTTGCTGACGTTTATCGCGATGGAACTGGGGTCGTCGAATTCGCTCATTATTCGGATGTTAAATATGCATTGAAACATTTAGATGATTCAAAATTTCGCTCTCATGAGGTTAGCGTTTCAAAGGTCTTCTAGCATGACTTTATGTACTATTTTAATTATGTGCATATTACGCAAGCTTTCGATGATACTATTAAGTACTACTGATAGGCATTCATATTTAAATTACTGTTCATATCGCTATTGATAGGGTGAAACTTCATACGTTCGTGTGAAAGAAGATAGAGGTAGAAGTCGGTCACAAAGTCGGCGCCGATCCAGTTCTGGATCTGCTTCATCCCGGCGTAGATCATATTCTAATTCCAGATCACCGAAACGTCGATCCCGTTCTAGATCTAAATCTCCTAAGCGGAGATCCAGATCTCCTAGACGTCGATCACATTCTAGATCCAGATCTCCTAGACGTCGATCGTATTCTAGATCTAGATCTCCTAGGCGTCGATCGTATTCTAGGTCCCGATCTCCTAGACGTCGGTCGTATTCTAGATCCAAATCTCCAAAACGTCGATCGTATTCTAAGTCAAAGTCACCTAAACGTCGGTCGTATTCTAGATCGAAGTCACCTAGACGTCGGTCATATTCTAGATCCAGATCACCTAGTCGCCGGTCTCACTCTAGGTCTCGTTCTCCTAAGGATCGATCAAGATCACGATCAGATTCGAAATCTGGTTCTCGTTCTCGTTCTAAGTCTCACTCGAGATCACGTTCACCTTCTAAATAATGTAAACCAGCTCCATATTACACCATGTAGATTAAAGAGGACATAAGCATATTATGTAATGATATCTTTTGTAATGTTGTAATAGATCACCTTTATCCCTTGTTTTGCTAGTATCTTAAATCAAATTTAATACCATTATATATATAAGTGTTAGGCTATGGCTCCTTGCTGCCGTATCATCTTTATGACTGGATTACGGGACGGCTGCTCTGAAATTTTTATTGTATCATCTTAATTACATTATGTTAATATAGTAAACATATCGTAATGTTGTTGATATATTGTTACATGAAAATTAGAAAATTTGTATTTCTTTGCCAAATTTGCCAATAACTTGTTACCTTTACTTGTTGAGATTAGGATAGTACACTATAACGTTTGGACGGATAAACTGAATGATAGACTTAAGGACCTTTTATATTTGACTTGTGGACTTAGCATGCCTGACTACGATGTGTTGTGCGTTCGTTCATATGTTTAACAAGGATGATGGACTTTGTCGCATCATTGGAATGACAATGTCTTATTCGGATAATGATTCGGAAGTAATAATACCGAGTGACATGATCGTACGAGGAATTCAATACGTAATCACGTTTTGTTAGTTTATTAGTAGCTTAGGCTAGATAACTACTTATAGTGCGAAGTTTGAATTTATCCATCAGATGTGCAGTCATATGAATTGCTTTTGAAATGTTTTCAACGTATCACCGGTGTTAGGGATTTGTTTTAAGAGATTTGTGTTGATATCTCTAGCAGATAACTATAAGGATGTTGCAACTAGGATGAACACACATGGAGGATTTAGCTAGCATCAGGATACAGTGAAGATTATCGGATTAGTTATGCATTTCATGATTTAAAAGAATAGTGAAACGAATTGTTACGATAATCGACGCAATTGGACGTATTCAAGCACGCTTTTAGTTATGGCAGTGCTGTAACATACGACAGCAGGATATGGTAGTACGGGTATTAAGAGATAAATTAACCTGCCAGGATTTATGGTAATGTTTGCATGTACGATTTAATTACAATATGCATTTTTGCCACAATAAAACGAATACATCTTCCACAGTAAAGTGGGGATCATTGTGTGATTTCTATGGAAAACTTAAACCAACAGTAGAGATTTCAAGGATTGCAAATAGAGAAAATTTAATGATAGTTCTATCGTTGATTTACGTTACTAACACAGTATGTAATTATTGATGTACGAGTATATGCACATCAGTTAAAATCGCAATTTATTTTCGCTTTTATCATAATGATATCGTTACATGGGCAGAATCAATCATGTCCTCTAAGTAAAAATTTGCATGTACTCTTTCTTAGATAAATTTTCAGTTCGCGTCGCATCAAGGTTAATTGAAATGTACGATTTCCTTCACCGTTTCTGTTCTCCTAAGTCAGTAATGCTGTCGTCGTCAATCTACGAAAATGAAATAAAATGAATTAGTCAAGTAATCCTCTACTTAAATTAGTAAATAGAATACTGTATGCAAATATTCATGTGCATAAGCAAGTACTGTAATTACTTTGTAAACTGAAACTTTTTATTATCCTAGATAGTAGCGATGCTGAATTGGTGCGTGATTATAATTAATTTTACTGGATCATAACGTGATGGTAGTGAAGAGATAGATTTAATATGTTCTATTATGTAAATTGGTGAATGTAAACATATGTGTTGCAAAGTGGCAGCAAAAGCTGTGTATTTCTATTGGTTTATAGGATTCATTTTACAATTACCTCTGGCCACTTTTTTTGAATGATATCAATAATATTATCAGTTACATCGCCTTGGACAACTATTTCATCATCGCCAGTTACAGAGGAGCCACAGGAAAATTTTTGAGCGAAATACTTTGAAGCTTTCTTTAAATCTATTTCTAAGTATAAACGATACGATAATATCACGTTACAATATTAATACTGCAGTTTTTTAATTACTTATGGCTACATACCAAAAGTTTTTAATCCAACCACGATAGTTACATACTTTTTCTTACTTCTTTGAGCCAAAGCAATCGTTACTTGTTTTGGCCCACTTGGCTAGAAGTTACATTAAAATATTATGGATAAGAAAATCCTGCATGTATAATTGATTTATACAATAAATGGAAGGTCAATTATAAGAATATTTAAGAGATACATACTTTCTTTTTATTACGAATTGCTTTACCCCCTATTTGGTATCATCAAAATTGAGGTAGAAATAAACCGTTTTAGTATAGTGAGGAATTTACTATAAGACTTGATATACAAATGCTAGAGTTATTTAACATACGTGTATAAATATATTATTATCCTCACAACTAGGTATATCAATAGAAAGTCGAAATTTAAAGCTACACATCACGTAATCTTTTTGGTGATCGTGTTATAAACTTACTTATCAAGCGCCAAAATATCTTTTAGTAAATTAATACCTTCCACATGTAAAACTTTACATGATTATACAGTATATTTAAACGCAACACTATGATAATAATACTGATCTTACATCTTTCCGTCACAATTATTACATAACAATTACTTTATTACCTCTAGTTTGCCTTTTCTTGCTATCAGCAATATCCGCTGATTGAAGCTGATCATTTACTACAGTAAATGATAGATTGAATAGATCATCTTAGTATACTTTCAACTCATTCTTTACAAACTGTTTAAAGTTTTACAGATAGTGCGATAAGAGTATGTGTAATAAGAGTAGTATAAAGCCTACGTTTTGCCATCATATCGTCGTGAACATTTGGTAAACTGCTCTTAAGCCATTCTTTACACTTGTCATAGTCAACTCTAAACTCGCAGTACTGCCAAAACAGTTCAATAAGTTTTTATGAATTGCTCAACATAATTTATAGGTATCACGCACTTAATGTAACTCTATAATTTAAACACATCTAGCAATAATTACAATACACTTTAAATTATTACCTCTATAGGAAAGGAGCATACTAAAAGTTAAAAGATAAAAAGGATATAACATTAATAGAAGCATCACCAACATTTAAATAGTACCTAGTTAATATGCGCATAATGCATAACAAGAATTATGATGCAGTATTTCATTCAGTATTAAGGGCTGATCACTGTCTACGCTGACAGAAACAGAACTATTTACATTAACGTTCTAGATCTACACCGGTTTAATTATACTTTGCAGGCATAGAAAATCCCGCTCCTTAGAAATTTGCTGAGTAATGATATACGCGTAAAGATGTCGTATTTACAAAATGATAATTCGTATTCGCTTCATATGATTAATTTGTTACTCTATAGGGCAATTTTACGGGTATAAAAATCATACGTAGTATCTGTCCTTTACCATAGACTCCTAAAAGAAGACCTGGGCCTAACCCTCTCGTTGTAGCCTTACCGCACACAGTACACAATGGTAAGAAACGAGAAAATTTTATTTACACGGAACTTACTGGTTTTTATTTCGTACTATGTTTGGCCTTGGTAGAAAAAATTGGGTAAGTCTATCTTTACGTGCATTACAGTGTTATGTAGTACTGTATATACACACTATAATTGAGTGATATAATTAAGGTGCGTATGTTACTATGGTCAGACAGGGACTACTAGAGAAAGGGAATAATTTTATTTTCCGGTAGTCCTTGCTACGACAAAGATTAAGAGAGAGCTTTCGTAAGGTAGTGCATATTGCCTTAATTGCATACGTATACGAATATAGTACCATACTGTACTCGTATAAAGATCTCGACCAGTGATGCTTGAGGCTAAACAGAAATATGATGTACCGTCCTCATAATTTTGTGTACTAATGTTTCAACTACAGTAGAAATAAAGTGGTTGATTACGTACAATGTTCTATATAGATACTGTCTATATGATACATACATTTTAGGACGGTTAATACGTGTATAATTTAATCATTCATTCTCTACCTATTCGGATTGCCTTTGTGCAGAGGACATAGAACTACGAAAGCTAGCCACATTAGCTTAAATTATTTCGCGTTATATCATAGGAACAGATTGCAAATGTTCTTCATATCTATAGTCAAAGATGCAGAAACTTTGCTGCAAATATTATATGAAAGAAACTCAAGATATCGATATAATTTGCAATCAGCCTTTGTTTCAGAAATTGAGTGAATATGAAGAGATGATAGCAATTTAGAATTCGTCTACCACTATAAGCTTACTATCTTTAGATTATTAAGAGTTTGATGAAATGTGTACCATCGATTATAATAATAGCTTCAGATGATAGCACACATTATTATATGTAAGGCTGTTATTGATATGAGATTATAAATTATAATATACCTCCACAATAATGAACTTCTAAAGGGTATGATAATGTCGTATTCTGGGATTCTTCAACACTGGTAGCCATATCAGAATGTTACTCTACTTTACTTTAGCTGGCAATCTATTTGAAAGTGCCTGCTATAAAATGGTCGAGTATGATCGAGAGCGCATAGCTGCTCTGTAGTCCGTACGAGAGGCATCGGTGTTTACGGTATCTCTACGCTCTATAGAAATGCATTACAGTCTGCTTACAGTGTACAGTGTACAGTACAGTATTGTCACGGAGTACTGTACACTGTATAGTACAGTACTATACTTGGAGTGATCGGATGACTTGAAACTGCATTGCTTGCTCTGTGCCGTTTCTATACTGTGTACTGTATGCGTATCTAGCATTACGTACAGTATCCTACAGGCGCAGAGCCGGCTAAGCCGTTTTAACATCTCCAAAACTGTGAATTTATACTCCCCAAGATTTAGACCTTTTATCCTACAGGTGCACACTGCACAGCCGTTTTAACATCTCTCAACTGTAGTTTGTATAGTACTCTAAGATTTGGAGCACTATTCTGTACTGTACTGTACTGTACAAACCACAGTTAGAGTTGCTAAACGGGTTTAATGCTCAGCCGGCTTTGAGCCTTGCTGTTCGCTTAGTTCGGTTCGACTCTGAACTGGACCGGACTGGACTGGACTGGGCCGAGTCGTGTTAACGTTTCGGAAAGTACGGTACAGTATACTGTACAGTGTACTGTACAGTACAGTACCAGAAGTACTGTACTGTACTGTATCATACGGTAATACTGTAGGTCCGGTGTTATGAGGATGATGCAAGCCCATAGTGCAGTATAGTACAGCAGCTGGAGAGCTAACCAGATTCGACTATGCTCGTATGCTGGTCTTCAGGCGACCTCGTCATTCTCGATAAATATTTGGACTTGAAGAATGGTCTAGCCAATTTGAGCACAATATTAGGGTTATTATGCTGGTATTACTGAACTAGATGCTGTACATATTATGGTAAAGAAAGAGAGTTTTTAGATTGACGGTGAAGATCAATTCTTATCAACTGATAGACGTAGAAATTTTAGCTAGTACAATGTATGCAAGAGTCGTTGCAAAATTTTATGCAGCAGTAGCAACCAAGCGATGTTCGATAGCTTGTCTAGGTGCTAGTCGTCGTGCTATTCATCAATCTCCAAGTAATCGTAACGATAGAGATAGCGAGAGAAACACAACCCATTTTGGATTTCAAACGGTTTATGAAGATGAAAAAGAAGTTAAAGGTCTGTATGATGTTACGTCGTGTAAGAAATCGATTTAGAATTGTTCTACTGTAGTTTTCTAGACTGCAGAGTAAAATGGTGATTTGCACAAATGCTTTGATAGCCAATGCAGATTTAGTCTTTGAAGTTAAAGTATAGTGTTGAACTGAAAATGATTCTTAAGAGCTATATCAAATTGACTATTTGCTATACGGTTTCAAATTGTGTCCAATGTAATAAATGCTTTCACATCTTTCATTTTTGTAAAACATATCATAGTGGCCGAGGTATTTCATAACGTGGCAAATAAATATGACCTGATGAATGATGCGATGAGCTTTGGTATTCATAGACTCTGGAAAGATACATTTGTTCGCCAGTTAAATTTACAGTCTGGATTAAATATAGTTGATGTTGGAGGTGGAACAGGTAAAGTGAAGTAATTTCTTTCTTCTAAAAATCCTATTATTGTAGATGATCAGTAATTTACACTCATAATAATATGCAGAAATAGTTGTAAACTCTTTGAGATCAAAAAAGTAAACATACCTGTATTATAGATTTATCGCAGTATTATTTATATCTACACAAGAGAATATATTGAAATTAAATTCGTATATGGGATAGACACTGTTTTCATGCATTTCTTTGCATTAAGCTACTAAAATTATATAGATACAATTATCATTCTTTTGATTACATATTTGTAGGTGACATATCGTTTCGGATTTTAAAATACATGAACATTCGTAATAGCCAAAGAGTAAAGAATTCAATGGATAAAAACACGCAAGAGAATATACCAAATTGTGCAATAAGTGTTATAGATATTAATCAATCGATGCTGGATGTAGGAAAAACGCGTGGAAAGGAATTAGGCTACCAAGGTGGTAATAAAGTAACACTGTAACTATGTTCAATAGATTAAGACTCTTGCCTGTAACATTTAATTGCAGATTTCCATTTTTCAGATGTAGTTAACATGATAGAGTATACTCAACTTAAAGAACACTATCATAAACTGTAGAAGAATTTCACTTACTTTTGCACTAGACGAAGTTGTATCAATATTGAAGAGTTAGATTGATTGAATGTACACACTCGAATATGTACAGTCACAGGTTATTTCTTTTGTATGTAATCACCCGCAATAGCAAAATTTTATACAAAAAACCTGTTCTTTTGCAATTCATCTTGCTAAAATCCGCTGTTAAAACGTAATGCACCTCATCGTTTGTATTGAGAATTAATGTATGCTTGATGTGTGTATGCGCCATGATATTATGAAATGGCAAGTGTATGCACAATTGCTATTTTTTATACTACTAGCTAATTATCAAATACCAATCTGATGCTGATAAATTTCTACTGTAGATATAAAATGGATTAAAGGAGATGCTGAAAATCTCCCGGTGAAGGATTCTTCTGCAGATTTAGTTACTGCTGCATTTGCTATAAGAAATGTAACTAATATCCGCAAGGTACGTATTTACAAACAACGAAATACGTACTTATTAATATACTGTATTAAACTTGATAAATTATACCATATTTAATTTGCTATTTATGAAAATTGAGAAGTATCTAATACATAGTTCATTAGGAATTGCTTTTGATATTACGTCAGATCGGACTTAAATGTGCTAAATTGCTTGTATATTATTTGCAGGCAATCTCGGAGGCTTACCGCATTTTAACTCCAGGTGGTCGATTTTCAGTTTTAGAATTTAGCCATGTTACGAATCCATACTTAAAGAGGTGAGGCAGCACACGGTATTAGATAATTATTAAATAAGCTGATCTCTATCTTGAACGGACTATTTTACAGCTTATATGATACATATTCATTTGAAATGATTCCTGTGATGGGAGAGATAATTGCTGAAGATTGGAAATCGTATCAATATTTGGTAGAAAGTATAAGGCAGTTTCCTACACAAAGTGAATTTGCAGATATGTTTAAGCAAGCTGGATTTAGATTTGTAAGATTTCAAAATCTTACTTTCGGAACAGTCGCTATTCATTCTGGATTTAAAATATAGTAATTTTTGTCATTTTATTTAGCTAACGGTATTAATATTGAATTGGTATCATTTTATGGCATTAGTCAGGCTTATTTCGCCTTATATTTATAAGGTGTGATTTTTGCTACGATACTAAGTAAGATAAGCCAATTTAGTTCTTGAGCTACTACTGACGTATAGCTAATAAATATAATTGGATAGATATTTATGTTATGTAATTTCTTATAGATAATGAGTCTATTTTAGGTGTTATTTCTACTATAAATATTATAATAGGCAATGCTTCGTTGTATTCTAGACAAGAAAATTAATCCAGACATTTGAAGATTAAAATCTTTTGTATGAATTATGAATGAGTAAATGACATTCTGTAATATTAAAGGTTAAGCAGCTACTTCCATGACGACAAGAATCAAATATTTCAATTTCAGCTAGTATTGCAGAAGTTCATACGCGGCATTTCGAAAACACCTAACCTCTGTATTTTAATTAAAATTGTTGTTCACTTTAGTAAATTACTGAAACCTTTGCTCTGATGCTTCCCCAAGGTAATAACATTTATACCTACTTTCGTAATTGCCAATGCTATTATGAAGCGGTTTTATTACAAAAATTACGTAATCATCCTTTAATTTAATTAGTACCAAATCGATCTAGTGGTACGTCAGCTACTGCTAGTAAGAGAATAGGGCATTTTATCTTCTTTACTGAAGGACTTTTTCATCTTGGAAACATATGATATCGTATTATTACGTATAACTTAATTATTTGATATTAAACTACTCGTGCAGCTTGTGCTAGTCATGAAATCTCGAGGTGTATTAATTAATATTTCAGACCTAAAATGCTACTTGCTTCTTAATAGTTCAGTATGCTGATAACTGTACATAATATGCTTTAAGAGTAAGTAAGAGAAAGAAACGGTAAAGTTACTGCTCCTTTTGTTGGTTTCCAGATGCTATATGACGCACTTAAGATAATTCTTTACAATATGTTGACGTTTTCACCTATGATTCATCACACAATATGTGATCTTATGGTATGTAGAAGATGGCAATATTCGAGTTCTTCGTTCTCGAGGTTCAATTGCTCAATTTAATAGTTTACGCTGTAAAAGTCTCAAGAATTTCGAAGTGATTATATAAGAATTAAGTATTTTAGTTCCATTTTTTTCATAAAAGTCCTTGCTTATGTTATTTTGAATATTTCGGCTGCGTTCACTACTGTGGTCGATCATGATCAGATTAACTAACTTAGTGTGGAATCTTCTTGGCTGGACTTGTCGAGTATCATTTGGATAGTATGAGAAACGAAGCACAAGTTAAGCCATTCTACCGAATCTGATCTTGCGATCGTTAGAGCTTCTAGCACGTATAGTACTATAGCCGAAGTACCTCATGAATTACTCCTGATCAACCCAACTGAATATATTGAACGGTGTCAAGTCTACTTTATGCATATACCTTACTACCTCGATGTAAAGTAAGGAGTAACGAAATATAAACGTTGAAATGTATTAACTATAAACGTGCATGTATTCTGTCATTTATAGTCGATGAGACAATCAATATTTAACATACACATGATATTATTCAGGTGAGATAACGTAAGAATTTTACGATTCTGAAGATTTATAATGCATTACAATAACGGTGCTTTGTTGACTAAAAATTATGGTTATAAAATTGTTGAGATAGATCAGTGAAACGATTATCAAATAAGGAAATGCTTTAGTTGCAATTAGGCTTGAAAAGATCCGTTAATTTTTTATTGAAGTAGATACAGTAAAGTTACAATCATCAATTTGAATGGCATGTACCGTATAGTACAATCTTCGATCAGCCATCAATTCATAAGAGTTCCAATATTAGTGATATTAAAACGCTAATAGGCACCACAGATTACATTCTTAAACATTCGAGCTCTATTAATGAATGATTTCTTACATGAAATTATGCCAAGTTTTTACAACTTGCAATATCGAAATGCAGTAACGGAGTTAGAATAAAATAAGCGTACTATGCCTAGGCATATATTCACAGTCCAATTAAACTAGTTACAATCTTACTCCAAAACAAGTATAATGTTTGAGCTGGTAATAGCCTATCCGGACTTAAACAATAATATAGCAACTTGTCCGAGATAAAAATAGATGAAATGTTTAGTCTCATGTGTTACAAATGAGCCAAAATTACGTCCTACGATACAATGCCATGTTGGATTATACTTTTTGTCAAATTCTTTCTTGATATACGCAGCAATATCTTTTTCAATGTTAAACTTTTCTAAAGCTTGTGTAGCGCATTCAACAGCATCTTGCTGCATATCTTCAGCCATGTCGGCATTCTTGATAACGGCTTTTCTGTCAGTCATGATTAAGGTCTGGTATCTAATAATACAAGAAAAGCAAGTTACACCACTGTATATAGATGTTACATGAGAAAAGCACATTTAGTTCAATCCATAGACAATTTTAAACCACTTATTTCTTTTTCACTCTACAGTACAGTATGCTATTCACGACAGTAGAAAAACTGGTGTGTCTATACGAGTATATGCCAATCTTTCAAACTCATACTGTATCTATTCTGTGATCGTAAATAAGACGTATAAATATAGAGCAAATAACCACCATTCAATGTATACGCGTGTGTACAGAATCGAAGCGAACAGTTAGCTCGGATATCATGTGCTATAACTAGTGTTGCAGCAATGTATGAAATTACCAGGATCGATCGTTACAATATTATATCTAAATTCTAATTTAAAAATTCAATTTTAGTTCACTAAGCTAGTTGAAGATATAAGTCTTACCAATATATAGAGTTCAATAGAGATCAAGATCGAAAATGTCTTCGCGGCTAATAAATTACCCTCCAATATACAGTATGAGTTTTTCCAGAATAAAACGAAATTGGTCTAATGCTATGATTTATACTGTACGCTTTATAGGGAATGGCTTAAGCTGGTGTACAGTAGAATGGGTCAAATTGTCCTATACAAAGTATACAGTATTAACTGTCGATTTAATGAGTTTAATGTGGTCTCGAATGAATCCACTGTCATGGTGATCCATGGTTACCTAGCAACATAACGCTAAAACATGGTAAATCATTGGTGTAAATATCGGCGACCAGTAACTACCCAGAAGTCATTGCGGATCTGTAATGCACTAAAACCACACAGTACACCCATAAAACCAATCAAGAAGCTGGATGACAATGGTAGTACTGTACACTGTGTACAGTAGTACAGTATAGTAGTCAAGTTAACTAGTAAGTGGGCCGTTATATTTACAGTACTGTACAAACAGTACAGTATATCTACTGTAGTTTATCGTTTCAGACAATACTGTACTGTACAGTACGCTTCACATGGGATGGCTAGCAAGTAGAAAAGTTTGCTTTACTTTACCCTGCACATTTCATAATGTAGTGTTTTACAACTTTCTTCCTACCCGACGTAGTATCATTTATGAACAGACACTCTCCATTCACTCTAGTGTACAGTAGCTGTAGTAGTAATAATTTATGGGGAAAAAGTCTTTTCTAGTTTTATTTTACCCTATGGCTGTCTCTATGGAAATATGTAAATAATCCATCAATTTACTGCTACGGTTATTTACTTGTATTCATTTTCATTTATTTTTTCCGTAGAACTATAGCCCTAGATCTCTATTACAATAATAACTGTATGTGTGATTCCGTAATTGAATACTATACGTAGAGTGATCTAATAGTATTGAACCGAATTCAGTTGCAATGTAAGCCAAATATCTTCATCGTCATTTGTAGTCAATAAGTAATTTATTCTGAGTTGTTACTATCTATTTAACCGTTGATAAAGAGGACACTGGTGGATAGCCTGTATGGTAGTTTAATTTATAACTTCGTTATGCAGGCACTTTAAAACGAACGTAACCTGCTAAATACTTCGACAACTCAATATGATTGTACAGAGTTATAGATTATTTGTTATACGACGTAGGTATCTGAGCATTTTCTGAAATATAGTAGTGATCTTCTGCAATAAGATCTTGGAGCTCTGTTTTAAAAGGTAGTAATAGCTATCGAAATTATGACTCTTATGAAACTTATAACTATTACTAAATTTAAATTAACAGTCATTGCGATGCCAACTGATCCTATAGTTCAAAATAGAAGGCATTCGTTATACGCGTATAATTACAATTTACAGTTCTATGAAGTGTTCATACATTAGTAACCCTCGAGGAAAGAGTAAACAATGTAATGCTTTATATAATTAATCATCGTATTTATTTATAAAGTCTGTATGTTGATATCCTCTTGACAACAGAATGCATTGTAATATTAAATTTACATATAATTAATTGTATATGTACTACTTTATTGTCTGAGGCTGCGGACTCGGTAAAGTACAAATGTTTTCGAAAGAGTTGATATTTGACAAAATTGTAAACATTAGACATTACAGATGCAAGTATAAGTTTTATCTTGCAAGGGCCATGAAGTAAACAGAATATATGCGCATGTTAATGTTGTTAAAAAACATGAGTTTATGCGCACTAGATAATATCTAATCCCAGTTAGCTCAGTTAAAACTTAGCTAATGTGATAAATGTAATTTGAATTCAATCTAATTTATTACCTGATATGTTTAGTACGACAAACTGTGATAGTCTTATGATTTTCAATCTAGCGAATGGTGCAAGAGGCTAGTTGTTAGGTCTATAAAATATGCTAGTTTGGTTGTTAGTAGGTTTAAGTTGGTAGATTGGCATTAATATATTGATTCCCTCATAACGATATTGCTCAAAGGGCACAGTCTTTATACTAGGATCTCATAAAAATAAATTGATAGTTTTATCACGTAAGAAACCACAAGAACTAATGCTGAAATCAATAAGGTCTACACCAACACACAAAATTTGACTAGGAACAATCATAGTTAAGCCAGGCATTAAGTTGAAAAGGCTATTGATTGTAATATTGACAGAATAGCTGGTAACTGCTGGAAGGGTATCGCCAGGCGAAACAAAAAGTTTTGCCTACTTTTGAAGGTATCAATTTCAGTAATTTCCTCATAGGGCCTATTAGATTACGGTGGAATACGAATAAATAACATCGGAGTATTAATGATAGCTTTTGTGTTTAGTTGCTAATAATTATCCTGCTTATGTAATAGCAAGGGACTAAAATCTGTCAGTTATATCAGATTTACTTGATCAATATTTTATCAATTAATTACACTCGGATACCTTGTAATGTTGGATAATAATAGAAAAAAATACTGTACAGTACGTACCAACTGAATGTACTGTACAGTATGCTTGATTGTACGGATCTCGAGGGACAAAGTAACAATTTGCACAGTACAGTACAGTACAGTACTGTAGCCATTACAATGTACAGTACTGTACAGTATAACGATAGGTTACAGTATACTGTACTGTAACTGAAATCAATCCAGCAGTACAATGTACTGTAACGATTTGATACAGTACTGTACAGTGTACAGTACAGTACAGTATCGGCCTCTAATGTTAGCTTTACTAGTACAGTACAGTACAAACTCCCGTCGCTTTGCTGACGGTTTACGATAATGCTACAGTACACTGTACTGCACAGTATCATCATACTGTACTGTACTGTACGCTAAAACTGAAATCAATCCATCCAGTACCATGTACTGTAACTAGTTGATACAGTACCGTACCGTACAGTACTACAATTTATTCTGCCGAACACTGTACTGTACAGTAAGCATTTTTGCCATTTTACTGTACTGTACTGTACAGTACAGTACCTCGCTAGTACAGTAGCTGGTACGGTAGTCTACAGTGTACACGACTGCAGGTACAATACTGTAGGCTAAGGTGGATCAGTGGATCAGCCATTCAGCGACTTTATGGGGTAGTACGGTTGTCAGAGTGCGCGGGTATAAATAGAGGCAGTAGAGCGGCAAAAGTCCAGTAGGTCTGCAGGCCAGATCGGAAATCGGAAACAGACGGCGGACGAAGGGTACAGTGGACTGGATGGACACCTACATAGAGACACAGTAGTAGTAGTAGTAGAGTAACCTGCAAACTTGGACTTCCAGTATGACAGAGTCAGAGTTCTCGGTGAAAGCGCAATACTCCAAATCCAACCGGTCAATATGCAAGATTTGCCATAAGAAGATTGGCAAAGGTTCTTTGAGATTAGCTCTTTCAGATATGGTTAGTTCAAAGTAAAATTTTCTATAAGGATGTTGGACAGTGGTTATTAGTAAATACGAGTACAATAGCATGTGTATTGCCATGGGTGCACTATGCTGGTCGATGCAACTCTGTTTGCTAAACCTGGTACACTAGTTACGACTCTTTATTGTAGCCAATATTGCAAGAGTGTCAGAAAGAACAAATAGGCAGTCAGCGTTTCAACTTCCATTGCAATAGCCGATGTGAACTTGAAAAGTTCAACCGTGATAGTTTAAAATAAGATTTAAAATATACATTTTGCACACAATAAGATTGATTTATTGATCGACGCTGCTAATGCCCCCAAAATACAGCTCTTTGCCAACCCATATACTGCATATACTTATACAATGCACAAAAGCTGAGGTCTACACTCAAGTCTGCAGTATCTGCACAGACTGCATGCCACAATTGTCCTAGTCTGCTGCATACTGCATAGTCGCACACAAAATAACACCGTTTCTTCTTCGTCATCTGCTACACTAGTGCAGTACCTACATCTGCAGCAAGTCTACACTATCTGACGATGATGATTCAATATCATGCATGACCCTCAAGTCCATCAGAATGCTATATTGCAATCTCCGCTGCTGTATCAATTTTACAGTAATCCATATGTGAATTATCACGGATTTAACAATGCAAATATTTTCAACTTTGCTGTACAACTGCTGACGACATACGAAACAAATGGCTACCATCTTCCTACATACTTGTCCACGTACATAGCCATAGGTTGTAAACAACGATGCAAAAGTATCAAAATTTCTCAGGGTTCATAGTACTGTACTGTATGTACAGTATGCACCATCATAGTAATGGAAATAAATGTGCAAGAATGCATAGTTCAGCATATTATACTGTAGGTATAATCAAAGTTGAACCTTAAAGGATGCAAATCTAAACGATGCTGATGATGCAATAATCACCTAATTAATTGAAACTAATGCAGTCTACGTAAATATTAATTTAACCAAAGTGGACCAATGTTATTGCGAAATAACGGACATGACTAAACAACTATGCAATGGAAATTGAAGTTGAATATTCTTTTTCGCTAAATTTCAATCATGAATCAATGATTAACCATCCAAATTATAACAGACACTAGTTTGGAATCACTGTGGTTGCTTCTTCAAAAAATATACGCTGCCCAATGTAGAAGAAATTGATGGTTTTGCTACACTGCGATTGGAAGATCAAGAGAAAATTAGGAAATATATAGCGGCAGATATTGAAAATGCCGCCAGTGAATACGTTGAAGAGACTGAACATCTCGATCAAGACCAAGACGACTTACTTATCAGCTACGTCCAAAAAGATTGTGAGAAATGTACCAAATGTCAGCAGGATATCCATCAGGTCTAGCAGTTTGACAGATATTTTCTGATTTCAATGTAGTAGAAAGACTATCCGTTTACATGATCATAAATTCATAAAATATCTGTATATCATAATATATACAGTATATACTCCTAGGTCTTAACGATAGGGAATTAACCTGCTAGGTTTAACATAGCGATGTAAAGCAAAGCTCTTTTTAATCCAATGAATTATGTAGGGAGAATTATACGTTGGACGAACGTCGTACAAGCCACAAAACGGTTCAATGTCTACACCCTCCAACACAACCGACTTCTATCATCCACAGTGTTTTCGTTCTGCATGTAATACGTTAAAAATTGAAAATTCTATAGAGTCAATAAAAGGATTTTATAATCTAAACAAAATCGACCAGAGTAAATTAGCGGAATTGTTGCGGTATGTCAATATACTATTTGTTAAATGATAATTATAATTAGTTAACACTACTATTGATGTGTTGCGGTGAATATACTATCAGTCGAAATGTGATTCCGTTTTCTTTCACTTACAGTATTTATCGATCAGCATATTGATCTTACGCTTAGATAAAATGCTTAACCTTAAAATAATCCATAGCATAGATAGTGCTGTATTCTTATGTTCCCCTGCTGGAATGCTAAGATCATCAATAGTAGGCTTTAGAACGCATTTATAGCATAGAGTTCGATGTATTGGATGATTGCATATATTTAAATGATATTAAAATTGATTAGAAGCGATGTTAGTATTAGAAAATTATTTATTGATATTTACTTCAACACATGCCAACATAGAGGAGTGACGAATGGAAAAGATAAAAGAAAGCAAGATACTGACGACGATCAAGTTTCCAAAAAGCCAAAGGTAGATAAAGAAATCTACAAGAGAATGACACTAAAGGTAATTTAGCATATCTGATAATCGTATTGCTGTTTTGTGGCATCTAGTTACTTAGAAAGTAGTATTGTTTATTATGATAGGAACAGACAGAGCTATTATGGAACATTTATGACAATTTAAGAAGAGAATGTACTCGTGAAGTGATGGAAAAGATGCTGTTATTTAATAAACAGTATGCTCCTGTTGATGAAACGACTGTAAGTCATCAAATACAGACTAATAATTAATACATGCTTGCGCTAACTTGGAGGTGCGTCATTAAGCAATAAAATATTTGCATGAACTACCAGATGAAGCTTATACATTGTATATATACAGTATATATCAATCGTTGTTTTCTTATCTTGCCATTGTAAATTGGTATTTAAGAAAGTTGCTTTCTGATAGATAAGTACTTTTACAATACAATACTGTATATGGGAATACAATGTATTTCTGTTCAGACGTACTAATGTCAAGACTATAGATGATATATTTCTTATCATTTCTCAATGTAGCTATATCGATGTTGTGTAGATGGTATGGCGTTTGGTGCATTAAAATGCTGTCCTGTTTGCACAGAAGGTCAATTATACTTTGAGTAAGTTTATGTCTCCTTATTGTAAGGGTAATAATAACCTTTTGTACTTATTCTTTTACTGTTGCACAAACTATTCTTTCCTTGATTAGCTACAAAATACAGTGCTATACGTGTTTGCGTGCCGGCGACGACAGTTCCTGTCAATATACAACACAGAAACCTGAAAGAATACCTTGGAAAATACCAGAAGAACGCTACATTCAATCTTCCTTCTTGTACGTTATCACCATTATACTGCTCAAAATAGTTGACTCCTAACCGTGAGAATGATTACTTGACAGTGAAATTAGTTTTACCAAGTTTAATACGAATTTTTATCATGTCTATGTAATAGTTAATATGGCTGTATCACGAAGAGATAATTTCTGTTTGGTTAGGAAACAATTCAAATTTGAACCATATGAAAGGATATTTTTTAACGCAGGCACCACAAATCAGACCGGTTTAAAAGTGAGGTCTTGGACAATATTGAGGTTAATAAACATGTTATTTTTTGATCATATCAAATTCCAAAGGACTCGTTAAAATGCACGACCTATTTTCAAATAGCTGGATTTATAATTAGGTTTCATTTTTTACTTTATATACAGTATTCGCGCAGTCTAGATCAATTAGATGTAACGATAGAGAGAATACATATATTTTTTTGCGAATTATAATTAACGCTGGTATTAATGAGATATTGGAAGACTAGAATTTACATAAAGACTTAAAAAGAAAGCTTGTAATTATCGTTAACAATTTAAAATCGAGTTAGTTATAAAGAGAGCTACTACTTTACATCTTTGACCCACTTATTAGGAAAGACATCATAAAGAAGAAACCTCTAGCCAATTTTCATTTCGCTATTATCGGTAATTCAAACCAAAATCAGGTGAGCTATAATTTTTTGGCGAGCATTGTATAATGGAATAAATATGATTGATATACGTTCGTGTATAAATATCAATTTAAAAGCGCCATTTAAGCAGAGCTTTGATTATCACATTTGCTAGATGAAAAAAGAGATTGAAGAATTCGGTGGAAAGATTGATGAGAAAATTTCGCGTAATACTGATTTGTGTATCAGTTCTCATGGTAATACTTTATGATTAATTGCTTACACATAGCTTAGTTGTATTTGCAAGTCAAGTTGAAGAGTTATACTCTAATTGGCATAAAGCGATATCAGGTCAATATTCTATACTCTTTTGGTTTTTATATGAAATTGGATTGATTTTAATAGTTGAAATGATACGAAATAAAGACAAAGTACAGCAAGCTCAAGCATTAAATCTTCCAGTGGTTAACGAATCATTTATTACCGCTGTTACAAATGGCGACTTGAAAAATGTCGCAATGAAACATAATATAGCTAGCTGGACGGACGGAAAGGTTTGCCAGATATAAATATGAGTGAATTCTGTCACTATAATGTTGCAATACTGCTGGCAATTGAAGTACCTAATTTCTAGCTTAATTATGCTGTACTTACGATATGATTAATCGGATAGGGTATCAATATCAAACGCGATGCATCTGGTTAGTTTCGATAAAATTTCATTTCTAATTATATGTAATTATTAGCATATTGGTATTTTACAAATTGCCATTTAAAAGTAGTCTATCGTGTAGTACAAAAATTTGATATGATTCTAAAATAGAGTAGTCCTGTAAGTTTCTACCGTATTAGGAAAAGGTTTAATTGTTACTTATTTTGCCTTCAGATCAAGTATCTACTAGTATCATTAAAGTAATGGAGAAAACTACGGTGGATCCATTGTCAAGTGAGGAAGAACTTCAATTTATAATTGTATTGTAGATATTGTTCATGTCCCGTATTACTCATTATCAATGTTGTTTGCAAGACAAGCAAACAACTCTTACGTTAATGTCTCCATACCCGTAAATTTTGATTATTCTGCTGCTATGGTTTGTAATGATAGGATTAGATGACGGTTATCATATTATTGCTGATGCCAATGGCAATATCTATAGTACTGTTTTGGAAGCCAAACACGATACAAGTGACATTTGTTCCTTTTATAAAATCCAAGCTTTGGAACGCCATGATTCTCTTATGTTAGTGTTGTGGATGTTGATGAACAATGCTCGGATGAGTGCTAATTCTGTTTCTAATTGCTATTGATAATACAGATGCTGTCTCATTGTTATTACCAATATTAAACATCAACTAAATGATAAAATAGACGTTATTGTTGAGGTAGGAAAATCTATTTGCACGTCATACTGTGTTGTGATATACTGGATATATTTTAAATATGTTATAACATATCATGTTAGGTATAGGATAATTTGTTAAACAATGTATGATAGTGATTGCATTTAATGGTTACGACTTACACAATTAATTATAATAGGATGGCTACTCAAAAGAAGAGGTGAAGATGGCTTTTGATGAAAAGTACTTTGAATTGACAGGTACGATTTAAAAAATAATTTAGAGATAAGCAACATCTGATTTTATGATAAAAATTTTGCCTTCCTAAGTATTACAAAAATTTATTCTAATTTTAATGTACTGCAGGTAATCGTTTCGAGACTAGCGTGAATTTCAAGAAAAAAGCTGGTAAAATGTATCCACTTGATACGACCAATATTTATGCCAAGGTTAAATAATAAACATGTTTATATATAGATTCGCTTTATGACACACTGTAACAGACAAAACTTTAAAGGATAAATTTTATCATATTAGGATCAAGAAATACAGAAATATAACCAAATTATCAAGACTAAAAGCAATAAATTAGAGTCGAATGTAACGAAACTAATGAAATTGATTTTTGATATCAAGTTGATGAAAAATGCTATAATTGACTTTAAAGTATGATTTCTTTCTTAAATGATTCTACTGTATTTTCGTCAATGATGGGCATATTATAAACGTGAAAAACTGATTATGTATACTATACGTATTTGGATTACTTATGTTCATTATAGATTGATGTAGATAAGAATTCTATTGGAGATCTTACTAAGCAGAGAATTGAGGATGCATCTCAATGGCTTGATACATTAGAGACAGTAAGATTTCTAAGCTAATTATGTAACCTAATGTATTGTTATGACATCACATGATTGAATACCTTAGACTCAAGAAACGCATTCCAAGATTTAAAATGTAAGTATTAACTTCTTTAATCCACAACCTTTTGTATAGATGGTATTGGAGAAAGAGAAGAAACGGGAAATCAAAAAAGCGAAAAATGAATTTACTAATTTAATTGCATTGGACTTGGATTTATCCTCCAATTTTTATCATGATAATGTTAACATTATTCGGGTACATTCGATTCTCCAGCTGTTATAGTTGTTATCTGTGTTATAAATTAATGATATGGATATAATTTATGAGTATATATATAATATATATATATAATTCGAAAAGCAGATTACTTTAGATTGGAATGAAATTATAAGCCTAATACTGATAATATAGTTGATGAAGTTCAACTAGATCGAATTAATGCCAAACTACCGTATCAATTATACTTTTATTACTCATTTATGACCCGCTGATTTGAACCATTCTATGTTTACCAGGCAACAAAATACGATTTGGAAGACTTGCTGGATATTGTATTTACTTACAATCTTATGAAGCAAGTCGTCTATGTAATGAAGGACCCTCTTCACATGCTGTATAAGAGTTTAAAGACCGACATTGAAGTAAGTAATATCGTTTATCCCTCTTTTATGTCATAACTGTTCAATTGCTAACCTTTTTTTACCTTTAGCCATTACAACATGAAAGTAATACGTTTAAGATCATTCGAAAGTATGCTGAAAATAGTCGTAATCATCCTTATAGCAACTACTTTAAATTAAAAATCGAGGAGGTATGCTGGTCTGATGCAAATTCTATTGCTAATATACTATACTTGTATGGAATTACCCACTTATTACGATTGATATACTTATTTTACGGCATGACGATAAATTTACATATTTACCTCCGCGATCTTTGACAGTTGCTTTTTGTTATATCGTAGGTATTTAAAATCAATAGACATGATGATGATGAAAAATTTCAAAGCCACTCAAGCTATAGCAATCGAATGTTATTGTGGCACGGATCGCGTACAGTTAATTCTGCCAGTTTGCTGTCACGGGGGATGAGATTTTATCCTCCAAAGACATCCTCGGTTAGTACAATGACCATCACTTTTACTAAAGACAGACCGATAGTTTTCAATTGTTTTAACATTGGAATATTAAAAAACTATTTTTTAGAAAAGATCCTACATGTATGGTAAAGGAGTTTATCTGACAGGTATACTAACTTATGATTAAGTACTGTAATTTAGATCAGATTAGCAATCATCGAAAATTAATGAATTACTTGCTATGATCGCTAATGTTAGTGCTATGTTCACTATTTCATACTAGATATAATGTGGAAGGTAGGAAACTAACTCATGACTTAAATCGGTTAATTTATCCTGGAAGCGATCTTAACTAGAAATGATCAGGATGTGCACAATTAGATAACATGTTCTTATTTTGATGGACCGTAATTTCGGCAGAGTGCCATGCAATGTCAAGCCTCTTTCGCTTACCCTACTGGTTTATTGCTATTATGTGAAGTAGCACTTGGCAGCATGTAAGAATATGTTGCAAGCTTGTAGCTTCGGTTATGATCTTTTAAAGTGTTCTTATTTAGTTATCATCAGTTAGCTTCTCTTTTCCTCTTGTTAATTTATGTAGCTAACAGGATGATTTATCATATATATTGCTGTTTAAATAATTTTATCAAAGATCATAACTTGCGGCTTAAAACGCTGTTCAGATTATCTGCATGCATGGCGTTGCAGTAAATATTTCTTTGTAGTATGTTATTATGACAGTTATAATTTCTTATTAATAGACATGTATGCTTATGTATTTCGTTATATTGTTATGCTCTTTCTATCAGAAATGTAACCAGATTTTAAATTTGTCTAACTTATTTGGTAGGCATGAACTTAAAAATTATAAGGATATGGCTAGACCTGTTTTACCGAAGAACACGCATAGTTTTAAACGTATGAATTAACGATCGTATAATTTGAATGTCTTATTGCTGTTACGGTATAACGATATATCTGCACAGAAATATGAATTACGTAACGAATGCTGTGATATTAAATAGGTATAGGGGACGTAGCACCTGATCCATCTGGTAATCATGTGTTAGAAAATGGAATAATTGTACCTTTAGGAGAGATAAAAGGAGTTGAGACAGGCACCAAATGCAATGAGTATCCTTAATATACTTTATCAATTCAAACAGATGATTTTGCTCATTTTTAATCTAGTTTATTATAGAAGTTATTAGTATACAAAGACTGATATAGCTTATTTTAACTTATAATTCCTTAATATATTACAAGATATGTCGTTTATGATGTGCGACAAGTAAGAATTCGGTATATGGTTCAAGTGAAATTTAACTTTACTGACGTATCATTAGACTAAGTCTTAAAATGATTTAACTGAAAGGTTCTTAGTATTTTCGAGTTATTCACAATATGCAAAACTGCATTTATTATATATTTATAAAGTACTAAACACTCTAATTCTGTTTTAAAAGTAAGAATTAGCAACCCGTAATATTTTGTATTATTTTGAAAGGTGAAAATGTTGACGGTATCGTGTGCATTGTAAATACTACACACAATACATGAAAATTTAGCACTATCTAATGTTGCTACCTCAATCCCAAGTATGTGCACTCATATACTTCTAAATGTTATTAAAACATGGCACTGCGAACGTTAATGATTGTAAACCGTAAAAATGTTTTCAAAAACTTTACGTCACTACCTGATATTTTCTAATGCAGCCAAGCCAAGATCAATAGTAAATTAAATTTTACAAGAAATTGCTTGTAGGTACAGTTTAGAATATCTGATTTAATGATTCATCATGATTCGTCCGTTCAAATTTTGTATCTGAGATTGGTTTAATTTATTGTTTAATTTGGAATCAAAATAACAAAATGATGTTCTTTACTCGATTGCTGTTGTCTGTCATGTCGTTTATGTTTACTCGAAGTGGGATAATCTGCATTAGATGATTATAATTAACTCGTATACATAGGTATGAGTTATGATAATACGTACAACAGTACAAAGAGTAATGTCTAAGTTATTGTTACAAATCTCCTTTGTAACTAGAAAACGGGTCTTAAACACTATCTTCACTAGTACTCGTGTTCCCAACTAACTTAGGGACCTATCGTAGTTGAACTAACTCTCAGCTACACAAATAAGCTACTAATGATTAGTTACGTTAATCTTAGTCGTAAAATGTACTAAAGAAAAACGTAAGAATATTCTTAGCAGTAATAATCAAGTGATCCTGCAAGTGACGGAATGGAACTGAGCAGCTAAGCTAGTGCTCGGCTTTTTATAGTCTCGGCCTACGCCGATGGTGCACTGGTGAATATTCTTGACATAGCGACTTACACTGTACAGTATACATATCCTAGTATACGAATTCAGTTATAAGAAGTTAACATAGATCGGTATAAGTCAACGCTAATTAACATTAAATGAATTAATGAGCCAACTAGAGCCTCAAGGCTCTGCAACGTAATTGCACCTTACACTTAAGGTGTTATCAATTGACGTTTACTGACTAAGCGTGTTAGCTCCGACACGTCAACAATATTGAACTTTCTGATGCCTTGGTAATAACAAGTACTTATTAATAAACATGAATATCTAATAAGCTACTGGAGCAAACAACAATATATAAATGAGATATTATAATTAACATAGCAATCAATATTTCGAAGCATGGCTCCGTAACAGTTATTAACAAGGATGCAAAACCTGAAATGTACTTGAGCGGAAAATAAAGTCAGTTACGTTAGACTACTTAAGTGTTGAGCATTAGATCATACACTTATTAGCGGTACTATCGACCTAACAAGTGCTATTGGTAATTAGCGTCGGCTTTTCCAAAAAAACATGTGTGCAAGCACTTAAAACGGATATTGCTAAAGCTACGCATTTTTGGCGTTTCTGTATAGCGTGCACTTCATTATGACATGAATACATTGCGAAATATTTATTGTTTTGTAATTTTACAAGTAGAAGTCTTAAGCAACAAAATCGCTGCAACTCTTGATAAAAAAGAATGGAGCATTAATTAAATCGTGTACATTTGTCTCAATGAACAAAGAAAGTTACAGAATTTTTAATCCGTAATGTATTGCCTAAAAGGAAGGTTCGTGACAAAGAAAGATAATACAGCTATATAGGATCATCATCCTAATATTACCGATTAAGATCTTGCTATAGTTGCACGGGTTAAAGTTATAAAATCAAAGTATGAAGTCTTGCACTTCTCAGGAGAATAGTTTTTAGATATAATACCTCTAATATCTTTCTAACAACAAGTTTGCTGCAAGTAGAAAAATTTAAGAATAGCTCAGTTCTGATCTTGGTGTAATATGTAATCTATTTGTTTTATGTAAAGAAGAGAATAAACTAATTAATTTGTATGATATTTTAGTCTTGCAATGATACAGATAACATTTCGTACCGTTGAAACTGTTTAAACACTTTTCAGAACTGTGCTTTAACTATAAAAATAAAGCCTTAATACGGTAACTCTCTGAGTGTCCTAAGAACTAACACCGTGAACAGAAGTCATATTCCCAAAATAAAAGGATCAAATCACTTAACAGAGAATTTTTGATTTAGTTGTTGCCAACTTCGTAATTTTCAGTATACAAGTATTATAATGTAATAATATTTAGTTCCAAATGATCACGGCTAAGAATTAAATCCGAAGTTCTTTCAAAATTATTACATATTTCTATTTAGCAACTTTTTTATAGTGTTGTTTGTTACGTAACAGTTGACATAGGTAATTATGATATATTAAATAAGTAATAAAGAATCTAGCATTAAATACTAATGAAACAGGTCATTCCTGAAATTAGCTTTCGCTTTCACCAAGTACCTAATCTGCAATTGTCTCGTATCATAGACGACATAGCTGAGATAATTGTTAAGTCTCAATAGATATCATTTTCTAAATTAGTATATAGTGCTATCGTAGAATACACATAGAAAATAGAGAAGAGATGTATAAAGATACTCATTTGCACCCGATCCATTATTGTCTTTTGTCATTTTTCCTAAAGGTACAACAGTGCCATTCTCGAGAGTAAATTTTTCTGATGGGTTCGGTATAAATTCGCCCGGACCTATATCATTTCGAAGTACACAAAGTAAATTGACTTTTTTTAATGTTTATACTATACTAGCGCAGGATGCAATGCTGAGCCACATAATAGATCCAGTAGTCGCACACATGAAATTAATTACTACAATACATTTAAAGCTATTAGCCGTTGCTGGCATTTTGGGCATTTCATGGCAGTCTGGAAATCTCATTTCATATCTGTTGTAATATAGAAAAGAGTCGTAATTAAGGGTAAATATGTATTACAAGTAAGGTAGATTCCTTTATTTATCACTAAATATTGCCATATAATACATTTTGCCAAGAGCTACTTCGCAAAGACACATAATGATAGTTGGATTAGTCATTGTTGGTTCACACCGCTCCGCACACTAAAACGTAGCAAATGCTATTATTAGTAGATATTAGATCAAAGTGATAAAAAGGAAACTAGCAATGTATATTTGGCCATTATCGTCCTACCATAGATGCTGAATCTATAATTGATAAGAAGATAATGTCAGTAACATGAGTAAAGAATATGACGTTCGTGAGTTATAATCTAATCGGATTTATTATATCTTACCAGTGAAGTACACCCCTTTACCGTAGATGTAACTCCTATCCTATCAACAATAATAATTGTATAGCCTCATTATCACAGCACACTTAGAACACAGTGCTCATTGATTGCTTCAAGGGGAAAGGATCAGTTTATCATAACCAGTGATTATGGATAATACTTACTAAACACGTTTTAGGAGGTGTAAAACGAACGCCCTTAGATAACATACTAGCATAGCTAGTAAATCGAGTTTGATACCAGAGCAACATCCGATTATTGAAATTTGAAAAGTGCTGATACTGTTTATCTTCTCCATATCTTTCAACTTTAAATACCTATGATCAGAAGGTATCTAAGTATAAATTTCTAAAACATTGTTTAGAATATTTGTTAAATGACATTAAAATGTGTGAAATACAACTTGTATAAACAAATTAATTGATAAATGGTTAAATTTAAGTCATAATTTAGTCAGTAACCTCTTCAACAGTTAACCAGAAATAATTATGAATTGACAAATGGCTATTTTCAGCATAATTCTTTACCATGCCAAATTCTTCACTATTGCTATAAAGATACTACAAAATTTTCATATTTTAGATCATAATTTCATATCATAATATTCGTTATTAAAGAAAATTTCTAAAAGATATCTGTACCGTAATTTCGGTCTTTAAGGACTTATACAATGTATCCATAGGATTTTGGCCATCACTATTTGCTCTTCTAATTATGTCATAACTAGTAATGATATCCATGAGATCGTCTAGCATGAATTCTTTATCCTAGTAAAAATTAATAAATTGCAAATTAAGTAAACTATTCTTGTTGCACTTGATTAAGAAATATATACTAAATTTTATACAACAACCAGAATCAGAATATAACTGGTACGTCTATAAGGTAGACGTAGGAGAAATAGGTGCGGTGCATTCATTACTTAATGCAATAAAATATTTAGTTGTAGTTACCTCTAGTTCATATAAATTGTTTATTGTTTCTGGGTCATCTATTCCGAAATTATGGGGAATTACGGCATAAAATCTATTCACTTGCTCCAAAATTTCTTTTTTATTCTTGCGTTTTGATATAAGCTGTTAGGTCATACGATTTTTTTAGTATCAAATGATAAAGGCAAGTAGTATATGGACATTGTCAATTTAGTACTCTGTATCCATGGATATAATAAATAATGAAAATATTACGATATTATACTGACATTTTGCAACATAGATAGACATTGAGAAGCGTCATTAATTTGGTTCTCAGATAGATCAGCAAGTTTGATTGCCTCCAGGTCAACCTAAGGATTGTATTATCTACGAGTTACCTTATGAATAATTAAAATTAATATAGTCACGATTTACTTAAATATCATTGGAATTTGTTACAAATATCGCACCCTGAATTCCAGCAGAGTATTTTTCATAGCTTGAACATCGAAAATCAGCTTAAGGAGATTTCTTATATGTCGAAACACTTTGCTACCTTTATCTGTAAAGATTAAGTCTACTTGTCTTCCTTCTTCGTCCTGCATTAACGGTTTGGAAACGAAGGGATTGCTTGTGAGTGAATCTCTACCTACGTGATATAACAACCTCTATACTTACTTTTTCGACGTCTAGATAGACAGGATAAAATTTTCGAGCCATCTTAACAAATTTCTTTTCTTTTCCAAATCCATTACCTATACGATAAAGAATTAATATTACTAATATCGAACATTATATTTCAGTGATAGTGTTTTCGAGTTCGATAATTAGAAAAAATAAAACTGATATTAATTAGTACCGGTTTTCTCGAAATACATTTGATCAAATATTAGCATGGCTTCTTCTTTTGAATACCCAGTCTGTTAATAAATAGAAAAATTTCAATAGTATAATAGCTTATGGTTATATCAGTAATGAGATGAACTCTGCGTATTCTTTCTATTACTCAATGTCGCCTAACCCATAGGAACAAATAACATTATAATCTTACTTCGACACTGGTTTCTCCTTTCTTACTGTTGACGTCACCCCATGCATGAAAAATACAGCACCTAGTTTGTCATTATTAATTACAATCAACTAGAATAATAAAACCAAAAATACCTACAATCCAGTTTATTCAGAAAAATAGCTTACAGGTTCGTGGTGTTACTCTGCAATGCTTGTATTTTACAATAACTATGATGTCTGTATCCGTTTTCTAGATTTACGCTATAAACTGAACCATCTGGCTCCTTAATGACGTGATGTGTATCTAGCAGACCTATTGGATATTATAAAATTTAAAAATTATTAATGTTATGGTAAATATTATAAACCCTTCTGACCAAGATTTTATTCTCAGGTCAACAAAACTAGTAGGTATTATGCGTTGATAGTGACAGATATAATGCTACTTCTACACGAAACTATAAAATTGCTCCTACCTGATCGATAATCAACAGCAACAGATTCGTTTGAAGTGGTTTTATTTTCAGTTGTTCTTCCTACAAATTTTAAAAGAAAGAAATAGTTCGATATTTTGTCTTAAAATTATCACATTAGTATCTATAGTCTAAGCCTGCAATACTATAATAAGTGTAAAATTTGGGGTCCAAAATCAAGTATAACCTGACTGTATTTCATCAGAATTTGCAGGGGAGGTCGACATGAAAACTCTTTCACGCACTACACTTCTATATTCTCTTCTATTTAAGCAATTAGTCATCGATGGTGGCAATCCCGTAAAAGCACATATCCAATATTGCATTAAATATAATGTAGGGGTTTGAAATAAAATAGTTATAATTCGATGATAGAGGTAACCGTAGTGTAATTCATAAATTGATAAAAATAGAACTAGAATTTCTGAATTATAATTGACAATATATCATATGTGCATGTCACTGAACGTACAAATATTTCGATTTCTCACAGAGTTCGTCAGGAATTTTCCATTGGGTCCTGCTTGGGTTTTGAGTTAAACTATGACACCTGAGACAACGATAGCCATGATCTACTCGGCTGATGACAATCAACATAATTAAAATGCATGACTTTCAAGATACAAATAAAAAACTTTAAAGTGTTATTATTAGTACATGCTGTATTATAACTATTGTAATCCCGAACATTATCACTCCTTAATAAAGCAAGATCATCCATACAAAAATAAAAATGCGAGTTACTTACAGAATGTTTGTATCTATACTAACCTAAAAAACAATATGCCACTGCACTCTTTACAAGGGTTTAATGCACCAAATGCCATACCATCAACAACTAAATGAAATCCCTAAAATTAAAGGTATTATGCATTAATAATGAGGTATAAGACACAAAATAAAATAGAAAAATAACTGTAACTATATGCTTTAAATTGAGTTAAGTATTGTTTATCTACGTACCCTAGTATCGGCTACCAATTTTTGATTATTATATATTAGTAGATCCTTCAACATTTGATTATTACATTCTTTTCTCAGGTTGTCATATATACTCCATAACCCTACAGTTTGCTCCTGCAGCCAGTAATTATAATTTATTGGATTATATGGCCAGCACATTTAAACGAAGTGAATCATTTTTAATTATCTAAATATAATGCAATTTATAACGTGTACGTTACGAAATATAACAATTTTACGTTCGATCATACCCTTAATTTCATTATTTTGGCCATATTCTCGTCACTTTTGCCTCTTTTATTCGCTATGTCTGTATCTATGTCTTTGCTTTTTCTTTTTCCTGTATCTTCTTTATTTCTATATTATTAATAAACGATTTAGTAATGTTATCAAACGTTAGTTGAGGCATCCATTAGAAACAAGGGAAACTTTTTGCCTATCAATCGTATTTAAATTTCATTTATATTGCTCTTACAAATCTAAATTTGTAACGAGAAACAGTTGAAAACTATTATAGAAATTGCAAAATTATGAGTCTACTGTCAGGTTTGTCCACCCTAACATTAACCTACTGTACAGTGTACAGTAAGACTCTAAATACTAACGATCTCCTATCGTCAGGATGAACAGTAATACAACACTAGTCTCTAGACATAACTGAACCCAAACTTTAATAAAAAGTCAGTCAATTTATAGTAAATTGATATAAACATTAATTATCAGTTTGTAATTATATAATATCATAAAACTGTGCAGTTATCTATTAAAAATATGTAAAACATCACAAATAACGGTATGTAAACACATTTCTAGATAAATTATCTTATGGAGTCTACTGTACAGTATGTTACGAGAGGTTAAACTGATTAGTAAGATAGATAATCAAATCTTACATCGCTGAATTCGATGATCCTTCTGAAGGAATTTCGTGAGCCTGCGCTGAAGAGGTGGACGTTTTCGAATATCCCTGATTTTGAGTTGTGGGATCAATTCGATTTCTAATTTTCTCTTGATCTTCTGGCCGCAAGGAATTAAAGCCATCAATATCGCCCTCGTTGGAAATATTCTTTTTTCTGAAAAAACAGCTGTAATGATACCATTTTGCTACCTAAGATCAAGGGTGTTTAATCAGTCAGATTTTGTAGTACTTTCAATGCTTGCATATGTATGCATTAATCCGATAATACATCAAATTAGAAATATCTAAGCAGGGCATCATGATTCATACACACAGGATAAAATACAGAATAAATTCTAGCTATTTTAATAAAATTGATGATTTTTCAAATTGGAATTATGTACCAATGTGTTAGTATTCTAGTAACTAATTTGTTGAAATAATCTACCAACGCTGCACAAGCCTATTATATTAGACTTATATTACAGCAAATAACTTAACATTAATTGTGCACTATCGATTACAATTCTTATAAAATAAATGTGACAATAGTAGACCTTACCTTCGCATCGTCAACATACCAAGACTAGACGAATAAAATATAAAATCAATCTGTTAAATAACCTTATAAAACACGTCAGTTTAAATATGTATCTCCCAAATAAGTAAATATATATACATAGACGACGAAAATTTCGAGAGATCAGCTGTTTAATGCGTCATACTGCAGCTAAATTTATACATGCATGTTAATCGGTTGAAATATTATAAAATGTTACCTAATTTACTATAGTAGCAATTTAATACCTTCTTAATCTTTGTACTGTAGCTGTAAATAAGATTAGGTGGGCGCTATGTTTATCGTTTAGCATTGCTTGTATTCGAATTAAGATCATGATTAAAATCAAGATGTACGCGTAGTCATACTGTAAGATATAATGAGATTAACTATAGTTTGCATTTCCGCTAATTAATCTATCCTAAATCGATATGGCCATAATGCAGATAGTATACCAGTATTTTAGATAATTCGGGTGGCTATTACACGATATTCTATTGTAACTTGCAAAAATAATCAATAGCTTAGAAATTGTTAACATTTTAATTTTAGCACGTTCATTTCACATGAATGCACATGTTAAGCCTTTGTATGAAGTTTCTATTAATAAGAAAATAATTGACAACTTACAGAAAGCATAGCTGCTATCCTTAAAGAATTTTTACCAATATTTTTTTTACACGCATTACAAAGTGAACGTTTCGATTTTGCATATTCTGCTTTGAACGGCAAGACATCAGTATCGGTCATCTTGTATTTCTATTAAGATATTAAAAAGTAAAAATGATGATAAACGATTAGAAACGAACCACGGTACAATTTTACTGCATGATACAATAATAACTGTACTGTATGTACAGTACAATAACGTCGTCGAATAGGCAATCCATTATATCATTATTATTATTAAAGTTTATTAAGATTAAACAGTATCTAGTTTACCCAGTTAAAATTACATGTGGTTATACTGTAACTCATTAACAATATAAAATAATGTAATCGATATTCGATCTCAACATATTTATGCCCAGTCAAACGATTCACTTTCGACTACAGATTTAATAATGCTACTGTTGTACGTTTACTACTTAGTAGCAAGTGTCTTTATTTATTTTAAACAATGTATATCAATTTTTCAATCTGTATTTGTACAGTAGACGACGAGTGGAGTAATTAATTTAGAGAATAGTTTATTTAAGGAGCTTCCTGGCCTAGTTCTATCGATTTCAAATTGATGATTGCCTCATTGTCTTTGAGATGATCAAATAGAAGGTATCAGCCAATCAATCGTCATTTGTAGCGTAGTTTGAAATTGAGTATGTGGAGATGATTTATAGTATGGTTAGAGACGATAGATAAAGTAGCAAGTAGAAAAATCGAGTATACTGTTGTGACCAGCCTAATAAATGTACTTTGCTGTATTATTGCAATATGGTGTACAGCATGGGCTGTAAGCTTATGTAGAGAATGTATAAAGAGGATTACGTTTCAAAACTATGCCCGTGTTAGTATAACGAAGTTTATGCAGTAACGTATGTGATGAAGCAGCTAGTAGCCTGATACTGTATGCATTAACACAGCAATGGGAACATTATTCCAGGCATCAGTGGTATGTGATAATTTAGTTACAGTTTATAGTGGTGACTGCAAAGTTAGAATTAGAAATAAAGCATAATTTGGCAATTGTTGCCATTGGTGGTTGCAGACAAAACCTGTACATGATACGTGGTATACTTGTTATGTGTGCACTTCTACAGTAGATCAACAACGACTAAAAAATGAATTATAGAACTAGTTAGTGTCATAGAGCTATTGATTTCTCTTTAATAAAGGCAATCAATTTCACTGTCCAATGCAATACAGAATGACTTGTCCCATCTTTGATCGACTTTTCTTGCATAGCATAAAGCAGACAGCAATATGAATTAATTTGCTATCATCGCTCTAGCGCTGATAGCAAAACTAATTGATCACTTCTAATTATTGCTCATTCAACTCGATATTAGTAGACTACCAGCATAAGAGAGAATCAACATTGAATACCAGCGATTCAACTAATTATAACCAACTTGCAAACTAGGAAGACTGACAAATCGACCATGGTTGAATAGTGTACATGATTCGTACATTACAACAAAACTAAGGTAGTACCCTTGTAGTACACTAGTACAGCATGGTTGAAACGTCCATTGAAATGTCATTTTTGAATCATTATGCTATCTTGCCGGTCTGATACCAAAACATAGAGAAATAAAAGATAAAATCCTTGTACAAATTCTTTAAAGCCTTACAATCCTACTTCAATCCATCTCCATTAGCAATGCTACGCTTAAATCACTTACATGGATAATGACTAATCTGCAAGTATCCAAAGGAAGAAGAAATAAGGCAATGAAAACTCGTTCGTCTCTGTCAAAGAAACGATGAGCTATGTGCACCTTTGAAGTTGATTTCGTCAGTCCAGAACGGGTCAACCTGGCAATGGTATGACTGGTATGGCAGGTCAATGACTAAAAAAAGATCGTCGTTCATTAGAACAATATCATTATTGTCATAGTGATTATTATTATTTCTTAATGATGTCACGCATGGCATATAAAAAACTACTTGACAAATGAGAGGCAAGCACTCACCCCTCGTAAGCTCTGGCTACAAGTACAGGTACAGGAAGGAGTTTACAGTAGTAGGGTTAAGAGGCGAGACTAGCGAAGATTAGGCCACCCTGAAAGCAGGGACTTATTGAAAAGAGAGAGAGAAAAGAAGCGGCCGCTCACTGCAAAATAAGATGGCACATATCATTTTTCGAGTTATTGTACTATACGCTCCCACTGAAATCGTCGACAGTATTACACTGACAAAAGCGATCAAGCAACTGGATGACAATCGAGTTGCAACGGTGAGCAAATACAGTACAGTACTAGTGTAGTGTACAGTGTACAGTGTACAGTCTGTAGCCTGTTTACAGTAACAGTACTGTACCGTAAACATGGTTTTGGGCTCGTGCCTTGATTGTTACTGTACCGACATTGATTGGTCAATGCTACAGTATACGCTATCACGCCATTGACAGGGCATTGACACGCCAGCTGCACGTTGATCGTCATGCAAAAGCTTTTTCTTTCGTTTTATGCCTAAGGCATCATGCTTGCTGCAGCCATGGTCATTAATTAATTATAATCATGACGGAAACTTCCTTCTCAATACTTGTAGCTGCACGTCGATCGTCATGTAAAGCTTTTTCTTTCGTTTTATGCCTAATGCATCATGCTTGCTGCAGCCATGGTCATTAATTAATCATTAATCATGACGGAAACTTCACTCTCAATACTTGTAGCTGCACGTCGATCGTCATGTGAAGCTTTTTTTTTCGTTTTATGCCTAATGCATCATACTTGCTGCAGCCATGGTCATTAATTAATCATTAATCATGACGGAAACTTCCTTCTCAATACTTGTAGCTGCACGCCGATCGTCATGCAAAGCTTTTTCTTTCGTTTTATGCCTAACGCATCATGCTTGCTGCAGCCATAGTCATTAATTAATTATAATGATTATGGAAACTTCTTTCTCAAAAGTTGGAGCTAAGCTCTGAACAAAAGTCTGTGTTACTAGCCATAAATGGATAGTCGCATTTTCTTCTCATAAAAAGCACAATGAGACTAGTAGAATGAGAGTTGGAATGCTAATGACTATCTGTTTCACCTATAAAATGAGTTCAAATCTACATGATCATTTGATCCTCCCCATATAGAAGAAGTTAAAATGTCATTTATATAGCGGAGAGTTGTAATGAATACTATATCTATTCGTTTCATCGATAAAAATGAGTTGAAATGGAGTGTAGTTTGGAGTTGTAATGTTAAAGACTCGCTGCCTCCTGTTTGGTAACAAGTTGAAATTGTCTGAGACCATGTACAAGTAGAAGTGTAGTAGACACAGATGCAAGGATAATTAATATAATGACCATTTGCTTTGGATATAAAACAAGTGGTAATGTAGTATAATGCAGAGATGTAATGATAATTAATTCATGACTATTTACTATTTTACTTCAAGTAGAAGACCAGTTGGAATGTTAATGATAATTAGAATACCAAATAAACAGAGTTAATATATAGAGTACAATGTTATAATATCAACTATCTATTCGTCTCAAAGATACGTAAAACGAGTTGAAATAGAGTGTGTAGTACAGAATTGTTCTGTTGATGACTCTTTGCTTCGTATATAAAAATAGGTAGAAATTGTCAGGTCCACAAGTGTAAGTGTAATACACAGGTGTAATGTTAATTGACTATTTGCTTTACATACAGAAAAATAAGTAGGGGGTGGAGTATAGCAGTCGCAATGTTGAAGATAATCTCCTTCACAATAGATATGTATATTTAAAACTATAAAAGAAGCTGAAGTGCAGTTGCAACAGTAATAAATGCAACCAGACCATATTGGAGTAAAATGCAGTATTGGGATATATTACTGTAGCTGTGTGAAAGTTCTCGATTCAACATGCAGATAATAGAAATTTATTACTCTAGCGCTGGTGTATAATAATTGATTAAAAGTAAATGATTTGATACGTGTATGCTGTCTACTATTACCTTGTCATACCCATAAATGCTATACGAGTACTGTACGTACTTTTATGTATATTATGTAATTTTAATCGATACCGGCACAGCAGTTCGCTTCCAACATAGGCTAATTCACGTATTGATCGCCAAACAAAATTATTTTGATGGCACCTTTCCTAACCTGCAACCAAGGCCTATCGATTGTCATGATGTTACACAAGTAAGCCGTATCATGGTGTCAAAATTGTCCAAGTATTATTTAATCTTCCAGCTACTAGTGTATGAGAAAGCGTTAATATATACTGTATATCCAATAAATACATATGTATATTCACTGCACACTCAATAATAATTAATTATATAATTATTGAGTTACTACCGACTACAGTATGCGCTATGATTAAATAATATTACAGATAATTAACATTGAATGAGCTTTTACTACTAGTAAAATGAAGACACCATCATAATATACTATTTATGTATAACTTAAAAATTTCAATTATAATTTTAATAGTATTAATTTTTATCGAGTAAATATCTTATGTAGATAGAACTGTAGCTTTTTCATGCAGCACACAGAACTCCATCAATCGTTGTCACAGTTAATACGTGATATTGAACTAGTTTCTTCCTCAGTTTAAGAATGGAAGGAGTAAGGAATCAAATGATATTTGAGATTCATGCTAGATTTGCTAATTCATTCTACTGTAGGAGATGCAAATTTATAGTCAGGATGATGCCCACTACCAAAGATGCAATAAGTACCGGCATAGATTGAAATGAGCCACCACTTGCTCCATTTGTGACAACTACAGTTGCGTTGACAAAGAATACAATTAGTAAATTTAACATATGTAATCAGTTAGTTAAAGCGGGAATATAATGATCGAGTTAGCTATTGCGAGGGTATTCGAGTGTTTAAAACTAAATAGGAATACGTATATCGTACTGTATGTGTTCATCTATTGCTATGCCCTTATCCCTACCTGTAGTATTAGCTGTTCAAGCCATATCGTATATTGTCGAATAGTCAGCGGAGTTGATGTATATAGAGAAATTGAAATATAGCATACTTTAGATTAGTTGCAAGTATACTAGCTGTAATGAATTTTTCTAGCATAGAAAACTATTGTATCATCTGAATACTTTAAAGATTTTATAATGTCTGTACTCATTTGATAGTTTAATTAAAACAACTATTAAAATGAAACAGACATTTTCAGTATTGTAAGTTGGTTACTTTAATATTAAAAAATATCTATGACACTAGTTGGAGAAATTCAGATAAGATTAGCTAGTAGTCAATAATAGGATCCCATTTTGTTTACGAATATAAGATTAACCATTCTTTAATCTAGCAATCTTAAATATAGTCTATTATTGTTCAAATTACTATTGGTATGTTTGTAAATTATGATTTAGTAAGGCAGTGGAAAATTTAAAAATCTATAACGTTATGCAATGAATGAATACTTACGTGGGCTTAATAAATTTTGTGATACTCTCGTTAATTGTAATCTGGCATAAGGTAACAAAGATTGACCGTTAGCTCGGTAGAAAACACTTGCTGATTGATTAGACGTCTTTATTTGATAGATTGGCACTCTTGTCAATGAACCGGTATAGCTATATTGTTCAGTGGCGGCCGCTTTCGTACCAGCATCCCACAGATATAGATCAATAGTCTTGCTAGCAATAAAACCACAAGAACTAGTACAAAAATTCACTCGATCTACACCAACGCACCAATCTGGACTTGGAGCAATCATTGTTAACGCAGATAATAAGTTAAAATTATTATCAACGTTAACAGTCACTGAATATGTTGCAGTTGGTTGGAGAGATGATCCAGTGGACACAAAGACTTGCTTAACATTATTTGTCATGGGCTCTAGTAGAGCTTTTAAAGGCACTTTATTTTAACATAATAAACTCCTCATTAGTATCTTGAAATAGAGAATATCTTGGAATAAAATATGATAACCTAACAACACTTACTATGTAGGATAATAGCGCACATTAAGAATACGCTAAAATTTTTGCATAGGATCACTAGATCGTTACCTGCATTTCCATTTTCAGCTACGGATTTAACCTGAGTCGATGCATATTGTCCGTAAGCATAAACAGTTACTGCTGGGGAATGTATAGCGCCAATCAATGGCGACCAATGTGGAAAATTAGTTGGATAATTAGGATAGTTATTATTGTTAGCCCATAGTCCAGTAAAAACAACAGTGTAAGTAGCACTACCAGAGGTGCAACACGACGTTGAGGAAGCTCCCAAGGTTCTTGTGATTATCAAACTCAGAAGAATAGTTATCAAAGTATACTTGCACATTTTTTAATCACTTATGTTCTGGGTATTTCAGATTTGCTAGCCCTATTAAATTAAGAAGTAAGTTAAAGCTAGATAATAATAGTCATAATTCGTTTAATCATTAATATAGCTTTAAGGAGAACTGTGTGTATCAAGCACACGAATACACATTCTGATGATTCTTTTCAACAAAAAGTCTCCAGACTTTGATCAAACTATTAAATAGAAAAAGTTGATCCATTCAAAGATGAAGCTAGAATCAAAATATATCCTTTACAAGATAAACCGTGATTGTAGTTGTTGCGGCACTGTTAATTACATCAATCGAGACATACAGTACGCTATGCTAGCCATTAACTTAGCAGCCATTAGTAAATTACCATGCTTTGTACAGTAATAAATGCTACTATTAGTGCTTAACATACGCGTATAGTCTTTAAAGTGTGTAAGAACTATCGATCCACAATGTACACGAATATTGTAAGTCTATACGAACGCAAATTTTTTCCCTACAATCGCGTTTACTGTACTTCCTAGACTAGGATCTGGCAACGTGATACTAATATGGCATATTTATATGAAGTTACCGGCAGTTTCCGAAATTAAGCATTTTACAAAATCGTTAATCCCTTCGGTATATACAAGTACAGTGCGAGTCTTTCTTTCTTCAAATTAAGTCATTTCAAACTATTAACTAAAACGGTTTTCACAATTGAATCGTGGTTTATACCCTTCTGAGGTGCAATTCAGTAAAGGGTTATCTGGTTTAATTGAAGTTGGAAACATTGACGCGATTAATAATTTAGAACATATTTAAGCGTTCCATTTAAGCCAATAAAATTTTCCCTTGATATCGGTCAAGTAACGACGCTTTAGATGATAAGCTAGCTTTAAACTGTAGATTACGAACCTTTCTTTACTGTACGCTCTATTTATTTAGACGATAATCTCGAGACTTTATAAGTGTAGTGCAAGCAGCTCGCTAGTTAGAAAATGATTTAGATTGTAAATTATGGGTCCTCAATTAACTTCCATTTACGTAATAGTTGAGCAATAATGTCGTCGTTGATGATTTCGACACTTTATAAGTACAATACAAGCAGTTTCAATGATATAATGTCATATATCTAAATTTGATCATGCATTGTACTAGTATAGATACGTAATTCCCATTTTAACGATATGTTCATATAAAGAATTTTTAATATGACATGACGTTGCAGTTAACAAAAATTCTCGTTTAAGGAATAATATGCCAGAATGTTGCACCATTGATTAGCGATAATCAAGTTAAAATAAAATTGCTATTATTCGCGTTCTCATCAATTATCTAATCTAAATACTTCTAAACGTGTGCCTGTACGCTAGTAAAGTAATTATACATAATTCATTCTAAGGATGAGTTATGAATCCATTGATGAAATTAATAATGGAAACAGGCCATTTCCGTTCAATTCCTTACAGCTAATCATAGTTGATATTCGTAATCTGTAGCTAAATATTACGCTAATATCTTATTATCGAAATGAAATATTCGTACGTGACTGTCACGTTCAAAGGCTTGACAATGGGCTCTAGTTTGAAAATGTGTGCGTGATCCTTTTAGAGATTTTACTGCGACAATAAATATTTTTTAAATACTATTAGCATCTCGAATGCTATACGAATACGCGCATAAACTTGGATCATTCTAAGTGCAGACTTATTTTAAAGGCATCTCCAGGGTGATTTGAAATATATTTGAAAGATTCTACATTAACACCACAAGATTGTTTTGATACAGATCTATAAAAAGCAATTCTAAATATATCTCAAATACTTTAACCTTCGCCATGTTGTAATTTATATACTTATTGCTAACTTACCTTTCGTATTCTAGTACGGAAAAAAGGTAGATGAACTAGATATAATACAATCCTATCACCTGAACTGAAGCTGTAAAAAATGAATTAATTGACAAGAATTGTTTATTATATATGATATTGACTTATTGTTCTATATCATATTAATAATGCAAATAAATAAAAGTTCATTGATACATAAATAGTACTATAGTATAGACTGGTTTCTAAGCTGAACGGTATAATGTTTTCCGTTAACAGGAGGTACCTGGTACAGTTTAGTACTATTCATCCTACAGTACGTACAGTATAAGGATTTATTGTATTCGCCTAGTTGGAATAATTATTTTTATTCTTTAATTATTGTACTATAATTGTATGGAGTATTTAATATGAATGATCTTGTTATGCTTACTATATATGTTATTTGATACGGTACTAATAGACTTTAGTCACCGTTCAAAGATATTGAGATATTTATTGACGCGTGAATAATTGCATAAGATTTCTGCTTGTAGTTAATAGTAAATTGATAATCTGGCGATTAACTAGCATGGGATAGTGCATTTTAATAAATCTTAATCATTTAGGATGTATAGTATTTATGAATGCATTTTATAAAATGCACCGGTAGTAATTAGAAACTTACCGGAAGATAGTAATCAGCAATTCTTTATTATCTACTTCAGGTTTTGTTAAAAAAGAATTACGCTTACAGTACTGTGTTTAAAGCCGGGGAAGGCATCGTAGGTGATTTCGATCAAGAAAATACTTCTATTATGAGTATCGATAATTGTTAGCAAGCTTGTTCGCTCGTAATATAATAAATGATAGTACGAGCATTGCACAACGTTTATCATTTCTTGAATGTAAAATGTTGTTGATCGGCTTATTTCATTCTCTTCCTCTTTCTGTATATATCTTAATCTGTCATCTAGCATGTTAAAATTGTAGATGGCTATTGGAAATACTATCGTGGTTAATTTTGAATTGCAATTTAGTCGAGTGAGATATACCAGTAGCTGAGCTAATTTTACACTCTCATAGGAAACTCCGTCAACAAATTTAACCTTTTATTCTCTATGTATCCCTTCGAGCCTATTAAGTACTAAACAATTTCATTTTTGGAGCTTGCTAAGTAAAGATTTTGAAAATATCTTACATGATCTTTGCAGTTAAAATCAGTATATTTTATCTATATGAGATAAACGTAATTTTTCCAAAACTACAGGAATTAAGCTTACTTCTGCATCCTAAAACTTCCACGTAGACTGGTATCTTATAGAAGATAGCTATAATTTTTGTGTACTCGTGTATGTATGTATGCATTACCATCGTGTGAATTTTTTAAAGTATCAAAATGATGATTAAAACTAGGTCATCGTACTAGGAGTCTGCATAAATAGTGACATAGTCAATCACAAAGCTGTCATTAACATATTGATTGGATACTGCATATATAGGACGACAAGATTTTTAGCCAACACCAGAACTAGAATCCCTTAAAATCAGTCATTACGTAAGTATTACGTTTATTTAAAATTTATGTGTGCGGATAGCACCGGGTATACATTAATAATTGAATAATAATCCCATATAATCGATAGTAAAATTGTGAAACAAATATTGGATGAGAAAAAAGCTCACATGAAAATTAAAACCAAAATTCAAAGTGTTGATTCAATCGATATTGCAGCACTTTGCATATAAGGGGTGCTACGGAAAATATTATCACCTTGCCCTTTCTATCATGTTCGCAAATCTGCTACATTATAACCAAAACATCTTCGATTACATTAAGATACGCCTAAGGTTTCTAGTAGTAATTAAACTTTTATCAATATCCTAGAATTGAGATTACATTCGCACTTTCCCGCCTCGAAACTAGCTGTAAAACCACGTATACCCTAGAATATATCTCATCTGATATTTTATATCTGCAAAGGATGTAGCTTAAATACATCCATACCGCCTTAATAATTAATCTACTATTTTATACTACGCAGACTCTACGGTAACATACCAAATCGATTGCGGCAGTATGATAGATTAAGTGGAAGTAAGAAATTTAGCTACATTTGCAATAACCAAGGCAAAGAAGATCAAGGCAATTGATCGCGAAGGACCGGCCATGGCATCATTAATTCGACCTATCATAGAAATTATAGCGTTAAATTAAATTCTAATGACGCTAATATGCCGGCAACATTAAAACTGTTTAACAAGATCTCCAAAGACTAGCATAACTCTTATGTTTTGATGGGAAATAGTTTTTCTTATTATGACCGTTTATATTGCGTATCAATTGATACTTAAAGTAATTACCTGTAGTTTGCAATCATTTCGGTAACGATCGGTAGCAAGATAATATGAACGATTAATAAAAATGTTAGTGTAACAGTATAATAGATTAACAATATCAGTTTTAATGTAGCAAAGTAATAAGTATGTCTATGCTTTATTCCTTATAAAGTCACTACACTTCAAAAACTTGATAATAATTACCTGTAGTAGGTTTAACTGCATGGTAGGTGATCAAAATTATAACAAATTTAGTTAGTAATTCGTAACAACAAGACGATCCGAAGGAATTTAATATTTAATGGCAAGCGTTTACTATCAAGCAATTATTCGAAGTATAGCTTCAAATTAATTCTATGCTTAATTACTATACATTACCTGTTGTCGCTGTGGGTACTGATAGCAGGAATTAAATATGAAATTAAAAGATTATTAACATATTCGGATTGATAGGCGATTACAATAGTAAAGTTAATTTAAAGATTCTGAGATAATTTGATAACAAATATCTTCGATCAATGATTGATCTGAACATAGCTTGAAATTAAATTTATATTAACTACATTACCTCTAGTCGTTGTAGGTTCTGATAGCCCCAATTAAACATGAAATAAAAAATTGTTAGCATTTATGGCTTAATCAACGATTATAATAGTAAAATTAATTTAAAAATTCTGCTTTTAATATTCGACGGCAAGTGTTTTCCATCAAATGATTATTTTGAGTATAGGTTGAAATTACTTTTATATTAAATACGTTACCTGTTGCTGCTGTGGGCGTTGATGGCAATAATTAGATATGAAATTAAAATAAAATGATTGTTAGCATTTTTGGATTATTTACCAATTGAAAAAGTAAGATCGATGTTGAATCAGTAAATAAATAAAAGTCGAAATTTTGCTTGAATGACGATATGAAGTTTTTAAGTCAAGGTATCTTGACAAAGCTTGAACTCTGATACATATTGAAGATTTCAGACATATTTGAGTATTATGCTATCGATTGTAGAAATACCTTGAGTTGTTCCTGATGGAAATGAAACAAAGAAATAAAAGACAATTGTTAAAATTTAGAAAGTTATTAAAAGTCATCGAATATATCTGTACATTAAATCACTGATACTTATGTTATTATCTGTCTACAATATCGCGAACCTAGCGTGCCGAGTGAACCTAGCGTGCCAAGTGAAAGCAACCTGATATGCAACTTTGCAAAAGGTGGCAAGGAAGTGCCGTTAGCTCGATAAAATACACTTGATGAATCGTTAGTTGATTTGAGTTGATAAATCGTTCTATTAGTTGCGCTACCGGCGTAGGTATATTGTTCTGTAGGTCCGGCTTTGGTACCAGCATCCCATAAATACAAATCCAAAGTAGTGTTGCCTATGAATCCGCACTGTTTGGTACAGAAGTTTACACGACTTACGCCAACACACCAATCTGGACTAGGAGCAATCATCGTTAAAGCAGATAGTAGATTAAAATTTTTATTAACATCAACGGTGACAGTATATTTTGCGGTTGGTCCAAGATATGCACCAGGAGAGACGAAAACTTTTTTAACTTTGTCAGTCATAGGCGTTAACAAATTTTTTAATGGACCTATAGAGCAAAACAAATAATATCGGTATACGAGGATTATTATCTCAGCTTAATTTCTCTAATTCACCGCAAAAATTAATAATTGATTACTTTAAGGTTATGCTAGCGTTGTCGTAATGTCTAGTACAGACTGTATCTGTATAATTTTATCTATTTTCAAACTTACCTGCGTTACCAGCTTCAGCAACAGATTCTACTTCAGGTGATGCATATTGACCATATGAATACACGGTTAGAGCTGGAGAGTGGATAGCTCCAATAAAAGTAGACCAATGAGGAAAGTTAGAGGGATAGAAGGGGTAAGCGGAACTGTTAACCCAGATTCCTTCGAAGGTTAACTCGTAAGTAGCACTACCTGCGCTACAGCAAGTTGCATCATCTATTTTGAATAGATATAACGATGTATTCGCAATAAGATTATTATTTATCGTTAATTACACCGATAATAAATAACTATAGAATAGCAAAGAATATAAACTAATTTAAAATAGTAAATATTTCAATTAAACCACAGTATCAAGCTACCGTACTGAACTTTAAAAAGGAAACAATTTCATATTAATTAATTAGTGAATTTACTTTGAATAGGTGTGATTGATATTGTTAATACGTAAATGCAAGAGTCCTTGATACGAGCGTTATTAGTTAAAAATTTAAAATAATTGTCGCTATTAGATTAACATTTTAATCAAAAAGCATGCGGATGATCATAATAGCGATGCTTTGAAATATTTATTATCGTACTTGAAGCTATATTTTGTGATAATCTCTCGATGTGTAACTTAGCATAAGGTGGCAAGGAACCGCCGTTAGCTCGATAAAATACGCTTGATGAATCGTTAGTTGATTTGAGTTGATAGATCGTTCTATTGGTAGTACTGCCGGTGTAGGTGTACTGTTCAGCAGCTCCGGCCTTAGTGCCAGCATCCCATAAATATAAATCCATAGTCGTGTTGCCTATAAATCCACACTGTTTGGTACAGAAGTTTAAACGACTTACACCGACACACCAATCTGGACTAGGAGCAATCATCGTTAAAGCAGATAATAGGTTAAAGTTATTGTCAACGTCAACAGTGACAGAATATTTTGCAGTTGGCCCAAGAGATCCACCAGGCGAGACGAAGACTTTTTTAACTTTACTTGTCATGGGCGTTAATAAATTTTTCAATGGCTCTATTAGAACGAGGTAGATTACGTGTGCAAAAATTAGCATCATTACAGCTCTATAATTATGAGTAATTATCTGGAGTAAATCCATCAGTAATATATGTCGAATTATTTTAATTTTATTTTTATTCTTACGAGCTTGACCAGCTTCAGCAACGGATTTAACTTGAGACGATGCATATTTTCCATATTCATATACCGTTACAGCTGGGGAATGGATAGCTCCAATGAAAGGAGACCAATGGGGAAAGTTAGTCGGATAGTAAGGGTATGAAGCAGTGTTGGTCCAGATTCCTTCGAAAGTTATCCGATAGGTAGCGCTTCCAACAGTGCAACAACTTGCATCATTAGCCGCCAAAGTAGATGCAAAAATGATGCATAGCAGTGCAAAAATGGCAGAAGAATGAGTAGTCATCTTGACAGAAATAAGAGTCTGAAACGGATAATGAAAGAACTATCAGCAATAAAGGATGGAAATAATTTTGTATATTTCCATCTTTGTGTAATAGAGCTACTATGATATGACGTATCTCTTTAACATTTGCAGTAAGATATTTTAGTGAGAATTACGAGCAGAATGATGAAAGTAAAAATTACGCGGTTTATTTCGCATTTAAATTGTATTAACAAACATAGGAAAAATTTTTTAATTAATGATATTCGTACTCTTTTCGTTAGAATTACCATGAGAAATTTAAGTCTATTTTTTAGTATAGCAATCATCTAACTGTATATAATTTTGCTTTCATTTTAGCAACAAGTTGGCTATATTTTACTAACGGGTATCGATAGATAGATATATCGTAATTTCACTTACCAATCTTTAGAATCGATGTACTGCAACGTCAAAGCAAGTGTTAATGACTCTGCAATTATGCTGCAACCTTCTGATTAACAGGCTATATGTACCGTATATCTTGACTGTATCAGTATATTCATGTAATCTTAACCGTATTCAAGAATAGAAATTATAGCATAATTGAATAGGAATGCAAAGGTGATGGGTTCGTACCTGGTATAATAAGGTACAGTGCAATGGTCGTCATAATGATGTTTGCATTTATACAATTGCATATTATTTTAATAAGGCAATTATTTAATAAGGGCATATTAAGAATATAATAAATGTCTTTTATACAATATAGTGAGTGTACAGTAATTGTAGTTTAGTAGTTACAAAAGCAATTCTCCTCATTGGCACAATAGGGTCACATTTTAAAAAAGACTATGGTAAAATTTTTCAAGCAGTTACGACGAATAAAAATTGCGATATCTTCGAGTAATACGAAAGCAACTCTATAATAATGTTTGAGTTCATTATGTAAAATGAGTACGTACTGAACCATTCATTACACATCTCTAATTACAGCTATTAAATAAAGTGAATCACGTACGTATTGACAAACAAGTACTTTTAGAGAGCTTATTGCTATATTTTGCCTGTACTACATGATTGAATAAAAATTTAGTGTGATGGTGATAATTTTGTGGTAACGTATGAACAAGAACCACTAGAATTTAATTAGGTGCATTAAAGCTCAATATATATAATCAGCTTCAGCAATAGAATACAATTCAGAGAAACATTTACAACACTTTAATTAGCTCATTGCTTAATAATATAATCCGTGCACGTTTAGACTTTCTATGAAGGCTCTTAGGAGACCAAACCTTAAAGAATACGTCGCGTTAAAAATATTTAAAATACATTACAGTTATTAAATAATCCATTATTCAATATTTTACTAAGAATGGCGTGATTATGTCAAAAGTAGCATCCTCTAATTCAGCTTGGCCTAAGAAGCTCATTACTATCTTCAATTTAATTTTTTTATGCTGTTTTAACTTTATATACTTATTATTGTAATCTGATATACAATATAGACGTGTATTATTATTATAATTTATAATATAATGCCAAGCCATTACGTATGATGCTGTTAAATATTGTTCTTTCTTACCCTAATTGTACGTAAAGAAGATCATCTTAATTCTAGTATTTAGGCCATCCTCATACCTACATATGAAACTATTAGATACTAACTGAAAGTATTTATGAATATGGACAGAATATACTAAGGCGAAATTTTTATATAATGCCCGGTCAACTTACACATTGTCTAAAGTGGCGACCATTGTATATATATGTATGTATTAACATATGCATTGCTAGATTTTTTCATTACCATTAACATGGAAGTAATGTACATGTTGGTCAGCAACATGTCGAATTGTCGATGCGTAACAATTGCAATTGATTAAAGAGTAAATATACGTTGATGTTTCCGTTCGTAGTCATGGATATTAGAATGAACATGAGTCATTCAATGGCATAAATTGTAGTATACTAGAAATTTAAGACTAATTGGCGATAAACTATATCTATATAAAAATGATATGTCCATTTCTGTGATACCGGTAGAACGGGAACGGTAATTGTATTCGTATTCTGATTAGCTACTGTAACCGTATGTAATTTAGTCTGTCACATTATGGCAAGGACTTCTAGGACTAATACGTATTAGTCTTAGAAGTCCCTAATTATGGGCTATAGAAGATAATCTAGAATTAGTACTTAGATAACGCATTAACGATATCCAATAAATTTTACGTTTAATCAGCAGAAATCATTAAAGTTGTAGATATACAGTATGTACAGTATATTGTATAGACACTACCACATTTCATTTCCTTATCGCATACGGTACCAAAACCCCTTAGTGGCGAATAAGATACGCATTAGCGATGTAAGTATTCAATAAATTTTATGTTTAACCGGCATAAATTATCGTAGTTCTCTCTCTCTCTATATATATAACATAACAATATGTCATATACATTACTATATTCTATCTCTTTTCTGCATACGCTTTAATGGCTAGCAAGCTTCGTAGACTTACACTCGTATAATTAGAAAAGATTATAATATGGAAATTAATTTTTGATGATATACGGTCATACGAGAACTTATATCATTATGGTCGTTAAGTAAGGATATGTGCAAGGAGCCCATTAGTATGGGAAATGTAGTCAAGGACTTCCAACAATGTAATGATTTCAGCTAATTACAGTATTTATCTACTAGGGGATACAAAGAGAAAATTCTAAATTTTCTCTTAAAAATTCTTGATGCAGTACTGCATTGAGAACCATCGTCATGTTAATAACATTTGACCAAAATACAAGAACAACAAATTCGTTTTAATATATTCATTTATCGATCATTTATTGATAAAGTGATGTTATCTGCTCACTATTTTAAGCTATACAGTAGCCAATTTCATATCATATATAACAAAATATATTCTAACTGCAGTAGTGCAAGTGTAAGTTATCGTAAAGAGCATAACGCTATAGCGTTCGATTCAAGACCAAAATCAACCAAGGCACTACCAGGGTAACTTCTTGTCCATTGCGTCTCTGTTGTTATTGGCTAACCAGAGCTGCAGCACTATGGAAATAGCTATAATCACTCTACAATGTATCAGTGCTAATGCCCCACCTCTTCTGCATGAAGCTTTACATACGTTTAAACGTTTAATGAAACAAGAAAAAATTTACGGTATTACTAACGCAAAATAAGGTTTAAAAACAAACAGGCAATATGCTAGTAGAGATAGATAAAAAAACCGGGTTTTATATCTACGAGTATGTTGCGTACCAGTAGAGTATTCATATGTGTTAAGATTAATGATATCTCCAGTTTTTAGAGATTATTATTTAGCATTGATATTGATTATTACATGATCTAGTAGTATTATCATAGCATAGCTTATTTACTGTAAAGTGAAAAAATATCTGACTAAATAAAGATATAAAAATTGAAAGCACTAGACATACATAAACTGACGAACTCGTATAATTTTATTCACGTAGCTACATTGTTCATTTGGCTGCTGATCGAATACAAATGGAAAATCAATCCAATGATTAGTAACGTGAGCAGCCATAAGCATATTTTACTGTTTTGCAATGATTGCGATCCTTAAATAAGAATTAGGTTTGAAGTTACTATTATTTGAATCGTGTCCAAGTATGGATATTACAGGAATGTTATTGTCATGTTACATGATTTATACATATACCATCAAATTCTCCTATTTTGAGCATCCACTACATAGTGCCAGTGCCACATTGGATCACGTTTAAGTATCGTTAGAATGCTAGAAAGTTCCTTCAAGCAGCTATAAAGCTCTAATCATGATCTCAGATGTTGATCTCTGAACAAAATTATTGTTAAGTAAGCGGCTGATTATATTATAGCAGCAATGGGTTACTAGAAATTATAACGGTATAATTTCTAGTAGTCTATTTAGCAGCTCAGAATAAATTTCTGGAAAAGAAATGGTGGCTTGCATTATGATTGTGCTAAATCTTTATTGATAACAATTTTAGTATTTACGATCACTAGGATATTTCATTACTTATCTCCCAGAAAAGATTATATGAGATGGGAAGTAGTAAACGAAATTTAATTTAATTGTAATTCATTTCATAAGCTATCGCCGATATTATTCCGTATGCTCACAAATTACAAATACCATAATCCCTAATCAGAAATCTAGAAGAGGAAGTAGTAGCACGATATATCCCTGATACACCCATTGCTTCTATGACATCATACAGCAAGTGAAATAGGATGGTATTAAAGCAAGATTTGAGCCTTGTAGAGAAAAAAATACAAGAACTTTTACGTACAGGATATGTGTGACGGTTGACTATAAATTTCTTTTCAATACTTCAAACGATAAAAGAAATTAAATTGACACTGGTCCCTTAAATTAGAGAAAATTTACACTGTGACTTATGGGTAATTTAATTTTTATAAAGCAGACGCAAACATGGAATATTTTAAGCTTTTTATAACAGCTAGAAGAGACACAATGATACAGTTCGAGTAGTACGGTACTATTATTTTCTGTGATCAAATTATATGATTTCGAAGAGTATACTACCGGGCTAATAGAATTTTCAGTTTGTTAAATAGAAGTCAATGGATAGCCTTACAGGTAGGCAACAGTCTTTAATTTTAATTTTTATCTGAATAACTTTCATTTTTCATCAACAGCAATGCGGGTAATACTTACAGAGTGAATTTTTAAGGAAACTCCGAATATATAAATCAATGTGATTAATTGATATGTATTTAAAAGCAATTTGAAGTTTCAAAGTTATTTCTAATATATTTTGGATAAAAATTAAATTACTAGCTAGTACGTATCTCAAAAATTTTCTATGGCCACCATAGCAAAAATTACTCAAACGTGATTCAATCGCAGAGAGTCAAAATTATAACTGTCTAATTGCATATCTCCGAGTATATGTTTTCTACTTAGTGATAGCAATAGATACAGTAATCTGCAATTAAATAAAACTCTACAGCTTCTATCTCGTTTACAACAATTAGTTATGGAT